CCTTTTGTGGACTGACTCCCTGAGTGGGAAGATGCTGTTGGAAGGTACCGACCTCCAGCGTAGGTCAAGACACATTGACATCAAAGTGAACTGGTTGCGAGAACTTTTGGCGACAGAAATTTTGAAGATTGGACATGTTCGAGGAACTGGCAACATTGCCGGTCATTTCCCCAAGTGTTTGCCAAGGATCAAAGCTTCGCGCTATGAATTACGCCCAAAACCAAACACGCGAAGTATGTATATACAAAAGGGTCAATGTAGACGCGTATAAATACATACATATGCGTATATCTATAAACATCCAACATAACCCGGATACGCCGTCGAAAATCAAAAACAACGTCGTTGTCAAAAATCCGCCGAATGCAAAACTGTTGGAAATAACTTGAAACTGAAACAAACAATCCGTGCAAAAAGGTTTGGCTGCCACTCTTTTTCCTGCGTGGAATTTTGCTTCGAGTTTCCATCACTTTCCCGCGTTCAGAGGTGTGCAGCTCGCAAGCGCAAGTTCCCAATTCACAGTAAAGCAAGTGCTGCCCAAAGTTTCAAGTAATTTGAAGCCTAAGCGACTCGGTGCATCTGCTATGTGGCTCTCACTGGCAACTCTAGCATACCAAAATTTTGAGCCGGCAGTAAATTCGGCATCCATAATATTTGCTGCTACCACATGAGCAATCTCTGTCTCACCACTTCCTCTGAGCAGGGCCAGTCGCACTGACTCATCGTCAATAGAGTGCACAACTTGACCACCTTTAAACAAGTGTTGCCAGAGGTAGAAAGATATGAAGACAGGGATCATCTCAAGCTCGTGGATGGGGTGGCTCGAAAAACTCAGCAACAAGGACATGAGATTGTCGGTAACCCGGGCTCCGAAGTGATGGACAACACGGTGGCTTGGGGATACAAGGATTCCACCAACACCCCCGCAAGGCCTCTCACCTTCGCAAGCACCGTCAGTGAAAATTAACCAAGTCTCCAAATTTCTGATTCCAAGTGGGATTGCAGTCCCTGTGTCTACACGTCTGCACAACCGTCTCACAATCTCGATTTCTCCAATGGTCAAGGCGCTGGTCGTGCGACCCGCTCTGCACAAATTTCTAAATAATTTCAAATCCAAATTGGCCACTCTTCCGCAAACGAAACACTCAAAGAACAGCATGCGCCCTCTGATTCTCTCAGCCTCTTTGGACAAAATCTCACCTTTGTTTGTGATCTCCTCAAGGCACTGTTTCAGCTCAGCACGTCTCTCTGCAGTGTGCGTCACGAAAAACGGTTTGGAGGGAATCCCTTGGAGATCTACCACAAGCCCGAGCATTTTGAAAACTGCATTGCAAGGTGGTGCTTTCGGACCTTCCTTGGCATAGAGGAGCCCTGTCAACTCGAACAGGGTGGTCAAAGCCCAGCGCGTACTCGCCTCCAACTCAGGACGAGTGATAGTGGAGTAGTCGTCAAAGTATGCGCTCCATGCTATGCCTGCTATGCCCACTCCAAAAACCCAACCCACCAAATTGCAAAAGATATCTTCAAAAAACCAGCCACCGACCCTATAGCACCAAAGGGCAAGGCGTTGAGTCCCACCAGCACGGGATCAACATTCCCAGGCTTGTTAACAGCAATTCGCACGAGGTTCCGGTCTTCATCACATAAGCCAAATTGCTTGTATGCTGATTTGAGATCGTATGTCCTGCCCAACATCGGGCAATGTGACCCCCTTGCCAACTCCAAACTGTGGTCGATCATGCTGCACATCTGGTCAATACTGTGCAGCGCGGATTTCTCCCTGGTCCCAACTGTGAGGTTCAACCCACATACAGTGCAGTCATCAATGACACGGGTCTTCGCCCCTTGCCGTATACCGAAACGGCGTGCAACAGCTTTACTGTCCCAATTACCGCTCGCGTCTTCCCAGATCCAGCCTTGTTCAAGTTCGTGTTCGGTCTCACTCCAAGTATCAGTCTCCAAAACGGAGTCCTGGCGCAATTGCATGTGCTTGTAGACCTTGGAGTTGAAGGATCCAGTGGACTGTTGCAGAGCTTCCAGAGTTAGAGTGGGACCCCGCGCATGTTTTGGAAAAATGTTTCAGTCTGGCATACAACCGCTGAGTTTAAATCCTGTTGAAATATCCTCAACAAGTTTTTCAACTGGAAAACCAAGGCCTGCCAGCATTTTTTCAAGAAGGACCAGGCGTTCAGCTGGGATTCGTCCCGACATTGCACCGTCGGGTCCGACCTGATCATGCTCACCTTGAGGATCGCAAACAGCTACAAGAGCATTGATCTCTCTTGCAAACGACGACTCAAATGGTGGCAAAACGACAGTTTCCTGATTTGAATAACGGAGTTCTTCACAAGGCCCTCCACAAAACATGCAGTTCCTGGTTGAAAACGCAGACAAAATATTTGAAAAACTGTTGTCACGGATTTCAAAATCAAACGAACAGTCCAATAACATGCTCTCAAACGCAGAAAATCCAAGAATGTTGAAGGCTTCCACAGGTTACCCCCTTTTAACCTAAGAGGAATAAGTGAGGGGGGTGGAGTAATGTCATGTATGGAGCAGACATGCTTTGTGGAAGCCGCAGGCAGAGAAGGAACGGAAGGAAAGTCGTGTGTTGCAAACGATTTTAGTTTTGCCTGCTGCTGATATAGTCCGTTGGGCTTGGCACTTGTGAGTGGGGTGTGAAGCTATGCTGGACCTGAACGGCTGGTATGGTCCAGTGGGTTTCGCATTGAGGATGCTTGAACATTCTTGTTGGATTTCGGTGAGGCTTCTGATGGACAAAGCGCTTCAGTTTTGGGTAGAGGAGCCCTTTGGCCTGCAAACTGTGGGGCTGCCTTGGTAAGGGTTCTACTAGATGAATTCATGCTGAACCTCAACGGCTGATATGTTCTGGTGGTCTTCGCATTGACGATGCTTGAACTTTTGAGGGGTCTTATCCTTGATTTTGGAAGCTGCAGGCAGAGAAGGGACCAAAGGACTTGGGACAGTCATGTGCCACATGCGAGCTGGTTTGCCATTAGCTGAACCTCAACGGCTAATATGGTCCGTTGTGCTGCCTTGAACTTTTGACGGATCTTACCTTTGGGTCTTGTTGGATTTGGGTGAAGCTTCTGATGGATAAAGCAAGGTGCCGTGAGGGGGAGAGGTGCAGGCAGAGAAGGAAGCGCAGGCCTCGGCCTCGCTAAGAATTGTTTGCTACATGCCAGCTGGTTAGGTGGAACCCAACGGCTGATATGGTCTGTTGTCCTTGGGTCGTGCTGGATTTGGGGAGATGTGAGGGGGGTGGAGTAATGTCATTTATGGAGCAGACATGCTTTGTGGAAACCACAGGCAGAGAAGGAACCAAAGGACTTGCCAAAGTCGTGTGTTACATGCGAGCTGGTTTGCCACTAAATGAACCTCAGCGGCTGATGTGGTCCGTTGGGTTGGGTGTATGGAGCAAGTGTGCTCTCTGGCAGCTGCGGGAAGCAAAGGACTTGCTCTGATGAACCTCAATGGCTGATGTGGTCCATTGGGCTTGGCACTGAAGATGTTCAAACCACAAATTGACATTGTTCAACGGCTGATATGGTCCGGTGTGCTTTGCATGGAAGATGCTTCAATTTTTGATGGATTTTATCCGTGGGTCTTGTTGGATTTGGTTGAAGCTTCTGATGGATAAAGCGCTTTAAGTGTTGGCTACAGGAGATGTGAAGGGAAGAACTACAGGCAAAGAAGGAAGCGCACGAAAATTGTGTGCTAGATGCTAGTTGGTATGGTCCGTTCTGCTTGGCACTGACGGTGGCCAAACCACATGCGAGCGCAACCAGGTCTAGAGTCTAGGGTGTACCTGTGCAGATGCATGGGGTGAGAGATCTACTCAAGCCGTTTGCTTTTAGACTCACCCCCGTCTGCCCTTCTGGTCCGCAAACTGTGTGCTGGTCCGCCCCCCCCCGGTCCGAAAACTGGGGGGCTGGGCACCGCATGCGGAGAAAACGCTTAACGAACTGTGTTGGCTGGAGGGCGTGGGACGGGGGTGGAGCAATGTCATGTACAATATGGAGCAGACGTGCTTTGTGGAAATTACAGGCAGAGAAGGAACCAAAGGACTTGCCCAAGTTGTGTGTTACATGCGAGCTGGTTTTGCCACTGGATGAACGTTAACGGCGGATATATGGTCCATTGGGCTTGGTTATAATGCGAGGTATAGATGCAGAAAGGTTTTAAATATTTGATGGACCTGCTAAAATCATTTTCTAGTAGATGGTTGAAATTTGTTGAAATTCACCGGGTTTTGGGGCAGGTCATGCTTGAACTTTTGATGGATCTTATCCTGGGGTCGCGTTGGATTTGGGTGAAACTTGTGATGGATGAAACGCTTATGGCTAGAGGAGCTGTGAGCGAGGTGAAGCAATGTCATGTATGGAGCAGACGCGCTGTCGGGAAACCAGAGGCAAAGAACTGAACTTTAAATGGGTTTTATGCTCAGGTTTTGTTCGGTTTGGGTCAATTTTGTGATGAATGAAGCACTTAACGAAATGTGTGAGCTAGAGGGCACGTGAGACGGGTGGAACAATGTCATGTATGGAACAGAAGCGGTTCAAACCGACTCCTGCCTCGGGAACTTTAAAAAGGGGTTCTGCGCACTCTACCGTCGCTGGCTTCTGTTCCCTCCCTCTCAGATAGTAATTCATGTGGTCGTCTTGGGTTTTTCATTCAAACACTATGCATTTTTGGTGATTGACACAAAGACAACTCTTAGCCTGTGGTAACTGCATCAATTTCAGTCTGAATTGTTTTTTCACCCCAGATACACTGTTCGGTTTGGAATTTAATGGTTTGGTGTTTATGGGCTAGCTGCAAACGTTGCTGTCAGACGATGTGCCAAACATTGTAACATTGTGCGTGTCAAATTGTTTTTTAGCGATTTTGCTGACATATGTGTTTCAGAAATTTGCAAAAAAAACGACAATTCCTGTTTAACGTTTGGCTCCGAGCCTGAACATGCGTCGATCCTGGCCATGGCGGGTTCTCCCATGCGCCCGCCAGAAGGTGGTTTTGTACCAGAGTGCTGTAACCTGCCGTTTTTTGCAATGGAAATGTGTGCAATTGTTGGTAAAACCCAGTGACATGGTCTGCATTTTGGGTAGTGTTTGGGAACGTATTTGGTCATGTGCGATGCGCGAAAAAGGGTAGTAGTTGATCATTGTTAGTTATTGTTGACGCCAAATTTCTGTTTCGGAACCTCGTTTTCCATGTGCCAGGCCGTGCTGCAGAGGAGAAGGCGCGTTTTTTTCTGGTTACAGATGATTGAATCACTTAGACTCGACAGTGGAAAGCCGGTAACGGCCTATGCAATTTCAGACGTTTTTTGTTTGGAACCCAAGTCGAGATTGTCCCGACGCTCGATATATGGTTCGATACTTTAGGATTGAACATAAACATTCAATCCAGGAGCGAGATGCTTCGTTGGAACCTTGGAAATCCGACAAAACCCAGATCCACAAAAATTGGTGTTTCTGCGCTTCCCACACTGTATGCCAATGAAGATTTGAAAATGTCAGTTTGCGCAGTAGGATTGTTTTGAAATCATTTTGGAAACAGTATTGCTATTACCGCCACTGTTAGTATTTCCAATGCAACGACGACCATACATTGTGAAATATCGATGAAGAGGGTTGTCCAACTTTGTTTCATTTTTTGCATGAAAAACTGGCATGCATGACATCTTTGACTGAGGGAACGTCGGCAACGACGTCTAAAGCGTCTCCGAGCTGAAAAGGCCGCTGCGTCACGGCACTTTGTTTGATAGATTTTGATAGCAGATTCATGCAGATGGTACCCATGGTGACAGTGCTGTTTTACACAGTTTTGTCAAAACAGTTTTGTTTCATGTTCCTATCATATTTTGCCCCGCCATTCTGTCAATTCCCATTTGCCTTTCAATTCTACTAGTGGAGAGTATGGACATGTAACCAATCCGTTTAGACCGCCTTTGTCCATTTACTTGGTTGCAAGTGCATACTTCGGGATGCACAAAGTAAATACGCAGAATAGTCGTTTGATAATCTGTTAGCAAGAGCACCTTCACCGGAAAGATTATCACCCACTAGCCGTTTGTGGATTTTGAGATCCGAAAGCATGTGTTTCATACAAAAAAAACAACCATAAAACAATCCAATGAGAAAACTGTTTGTCACTTGATCTTTAGCTGCACATAATTTTGACCCTTCTCCTTGAAACCAATTTCAACACCAGAGCTAAAGTGTAGATGTGTGGAAGGTGCGGAAGGCAGGTGAATGTGAGCTTTCGGCAGTTGACTTCATCATGTTGTGCTCATGCTGTGTTCATGCTGTACTTCGTAATTTCTCAAAGGACGAACTTCACTCAGCTCTGCGAGAGAGCAGACGGAGAGTGAGCCCGGGATTCCGATATGATTGGCCCATTGGCCTGTGATGCATTAACTCTCTTGCACTTGGATAGAGTTTTGCCGAAGAAGGAACAGCAAGAGTCATTAGGTCTTGAAATTCTGCTTGTTCTGCTTACTCGTCGCAACTGTTTTCTTTGATCTTTACGGGTTTTGTAGGTACGACAGTTGGAGGCTGCACAGCTGCTTTTTTCCCTTCCGGAGGCCCATATGATCGCAATGATAACTCGCCATTGAGATGGGCATTGAGTTGCACAACTTGAAAGTGCAGGTAATGGAGGTTGCTGATGGTACAGCTGATGGCACAGTGAACATGCAACGTTGGTAGGTGCCCCGTGCTGTGGAGTTAACCGACTTATCGGACCTGTCTCCTGCCTCTGGGTTCAGACCCCAGCCCTCTTGCTCTAAGGCAACTGCGGGTTTTGCTGTGCTGAAAGCTAGGGAGATGATGGAGCATGCTCCATATGTGCAATAGGATCCCTGAGGGGGAGGTGTTTCCACATGTTTCCACTGCATGGAAGAGCCCTTTGCTCGGAATGCCTGAGGGAAGAGCTCTCGCGAAACCCAGAGTCCAAAGCTTCAGAGGAGGCTTTAGATCCGGTATCATGAGTCATCTGAGTCATCCATACAAGTTTTATTAGTTCTATCAAGTTCTATCAAACCGTTTGTGATGAGTTCTATACTATATACTTCACTGCAATGCCAACTCACAAAGTGGAAACATTGCAAACTGAAAAAGCAAAGTCTTGAGATTCTGGATTTTCAAACCTTCTTCAAGAAAACTATTTTGCTGACAGAAAATCCTTTTGATTCAAGGCGTACTGGGAGTATGAGAAGTACACAAGGTTCTTGACATGTTCTCACCATTGCCTGTCGATGTGCAAACGTTGTGTTTGCGAGGGTCCACCGCTTGTAGCACAGAATCTGCTCCGATGGCGTCAGCTGCGCCAGATTCTGCAAAGTCATCAGGAGGCCAGGAGCAGAAGCAAGTCGAAGCAAGTCGATTAGCATATTTCAACAATTTTCAACACCTGTTTTCGCTTTAGATCTCGGTAGATCTCGTAAGGATGTGAGCAGGATTGAGCAGGTGTATGACATGGACATCAGAGACCTTGACATTTGCCACGTTTGAATTTTGCAATCCCCGACCATGGAACGCGGTGAAGTTTGGGCTTGGCTGATCATTGGAAAACTTCAGAGTTCAATCCGTGGTTCACCTTCACATTTTTAAAAACCATTTGAAGGTCAGGGAAGCCTTCGCGGGTCATTTGACGTGTACTCACTGACCGTGTACTCAGTTTTGAATCCTGAAGCCCCTTCTTCCTTGTACATCTTGCAAGAAGACAGCCTCAAACACTCAGCTCATAAATACTAAACATAAATACTAAACATATATACATATTATATACATATTATATACATATTATATACATATTATATATATTATACATTTACATATATACATATATACATATATATACATATATATATATATACATATATACATATATACATATATACATATATACATATATACATATATACATATATACATATATACATATATACATATATAGATATATAGATATATACATATATACATATATACATATATAGATATATAAATATATAGATATATAGATATATAGATATATAGATATAGATATATAGATATATAGATACATAGATATATAGATACATAGATACATAGATATATAGATATATAGATATATAGATATATAGATATATAGATATATACATATATAGATATATACATATATAGACATATATATATAGATATATAGATATATAGATATATAGATATATATCTATATAGATATATCTATATAGATATATATATAGATATATGGATATATCGATATATAGATATATAGATATATAGATATATAGATATATACATATATACATATATACATATATACATATTGTCTGTTAAACTTCTACATTCACTGAAGATCTTCAATAAGGGTTTAATTCTCCCACCCCCGTTAAACTTTACATTCATTGAAGATATCCAATAAGGGTTTAATTCTCCCACCCCCGTTAAACTTCTACATGCATTGAAGATCTCCAATAAGGGTTTGATTGATGATGATGATGATGATGATGATGATGCGTCGCCCGTCGTCGTTGCGGGTCCGGGCAGAACCCAGGCATTTGCCGTATATATATATAGACATACATACATACATACATACATACATACATACATGCCAGAATATACATTTTTTGACAACAGGCAACCTGCGCCGGCACCGGCACAGAGAAAAAACGTATATACATATATACATATGTATATATATATATTTATACACATTTACATATATACATATACACATATACACATACACATATACACATATACACAAATACACATATACATATATACAAATGTATACGTATATATATATATTTATACAGACATACATACGTACGTACGTACGTACGTACATACAAACATACAAACAAACGAACAAACAAACGAACGAACGAACATACACACATTGCATTGCATTGCATTGCATTGCATTGCATTGCACTGCCTTGCATTGCATTACATTACATTACATTACATACTGCTTACTGTATATCTGACAAGGGGATCAATTCTTTTGTACAAGTACTGCAAGTACAGCCACAACACAACCTGTCGCACTTGAGCTGCGATGGGGTTGCCCCATTTTGCTGTTGCCAGACCTTGGAGCATGAAGAGGCGATGTGGCAGCAGGTATTGCAGCAGCAAGAGGTGTGCCGGGTGTGCCCTGCAATGGCAGCAATTTTGCATCGATAGTCAAAAGGTATCACTGAGCTTTACCAGATGTCACCAGGTGCTAACATGCATCCTTGCCAAAGTATTTTTGGGAATCCAATTTACCTGAGATTTCTAAATTGCTTTGCCTAGACTTGATCATCATTCTATCATTGTTTGCAACCTTATCGAAACACTCCTACCGATCAAACCCTCCCTGTCGTAAAGATGTATACACTTTGGACATTTTGGGAATGTAGGCTAATGTAGGCAAGAGTTTTGGGACGGCAATTTCTGAAGGAATTGTGGAGACTTTGAACTACGAACGGGTACGAATTGATACCAGCGCAAGGGAATCCCAAATTTTCCAAGTGCCACAGGAGGATGCAAAGCAGCTGAAGCTCCGCCTCGGTGAGGTGAGCAGGGAAAGCCGTGTCAGCGGTGTCAGCGTTGATGTTGGCTGGCACCGGTGGTAGAAATGGCTGTTGACGCACTGGTTTCAACTGATGTCAGATCAAACGGTGCAATGTTGAATGTTGAGCAAACTTGACATCATATGTGGCACGTTGTGATTTGGTTTGGAGGTGAGGCACGGACAAACCAAACAGGCCCACAAGCTGCCAGAGTATAGTAGGATATTTGCATCAAAGTTTTGACAAGAATTTGACAAGCACAAGTGACATTGTGTCTGTCAAATGTTTGAGATGCATGTGCAGAGTGACCTCTAAGGCTGAAGAAATGCAGCACCAAACTGAGGCTCGAGTGCAGCATTTAATGGATCTCATGGTATGGGAGCTCAACTTGCTGAGACACACCATGGAATGGCTTAGACTCTGACGATTGTGCTTGCCTAGATTTGTAGCTCTTGAGCTCTATGATCTATGTAAGATATTAATAGAAATTACACATACGTATGTTTGTATGTTAAATATATCATTGAGATGTATACATTGTATGTACATTGTATACACACGATGAGGCAAGAGGACGTTGACCCAGCTGAGGTCGCACTGCTATCACCTGGCTATACCCAGGAGAGTCAGCAGGACTCAAAAATGGACGTGCAATAATCAAAGAGCTTTTCCGAACTCACCGAAGCTATGCTTGAAGATGAATGTCCAGAAGCGAGTGAAGGTATGAAGGTACTGAAATGCTTCTGAAATGCTTAAAAAGCAGGATTGAAGCCTTCACCCGGAGCTTCAATAGAGTCAATAGAGCCTCAGAGCAGACAGAGCAAGAAAGCTAGGAAAGACGAGGAAAGTATGTTATTTTGGGTGACTGGTGACTTTAATGGAAGCCTCCAAACCGAAGCGAAGGAGATGGTGAATTCCAGGTACCTTGCAATGATCGAGGCTGCATTCTACATTCAGAAGTGGCAACCATTTGCAAAACCACATCAGTGTGTTGAACCGTTGAACCAAGGGGAGAAGATTCAAACAACACTCTTTTTTGAGAGATTATGAGAATGGGAAAGGGTGTCCATAATCCTCGTCACAATGGGCGGTTTGATCATGGCTGACATTGTGTCTGCAAGATGATTTCATTTTGTTAGCAGCGTAGCATTTTTGCCTGGCACGCCACAGTCAATCCCTGTGGACCTTCGTGGTTCCATTGTTCTATTCTTGGGTTTGGAGACATGCTTAGCTAGTGGCGTCATGAGTCTGACAATGATGTTTTTCCAGTGCCATTTGAGTGCATGGTTTATCTTCCTGGCTTTCCTGATTCCTGAGAAATTGCAGAAGTGATCTCATAATTTACTATGAGTATGGGGTTGGCTTTGCCCTTGTTGAATTGTGAGCTTCCCTCATTCGGTGAAACAATCTATGTATGCATGTACCTGCATCCACTATCATTCTAATTGTGATAGTATATCATTCAGATTCATTGCCCACCCCACCACACATCAATCATCCACGCAGAAACAGGTTTCCTGCACCTCACCCCTTGTCATTTGAAAGAGCGGAACTGCTCTTTGCACACAAAGGTGCGTCAAGGTCAAGGTCGAAACTGCTTAACGTTTGATATGGAATGTATCCTCGCCAGGATTTGGATAGCTACTGCAAATCCATGACAGAGCTGCTCGGCACGAAACTGGGCAGCCATAGATTTGTAGTTCTGCGTGCATCCAAACAGGTCCAGTCTGCAATCGTCTGCACATTTCATTTGGATTCAGGCGTAGGTGAAATTCGAACATGGACTTTTCAAGTAAGAAAACTACTTCTTTGTCTGTGCCGGTTGCATGTGACTAACCTCCAGAGAGGCCTATCTTGAAATACACTGTTTTTAAAGATTGTGATACATTGTGGCTTCATATCATTTGGCTCTCTTTTCCCAAGATTTCAAGTGCCACGCCAGATCTGTGCCAGCTAAAACTGCGCCCTCCCAGTTTTGACAATGCCATTCCACTTTTGATTACTTTGGTGACTACTTTAGTGTGACTACTTGAGTGTGACTACTTGAGTGTGACTACTTTAGTCTGAGTACTTTCGTGTGACTGCTTTAGTGTGACTACTTTAGTGTGACTGCTTTGGTGTGACTAGTCTAGTGTGACTGCTTTAGTGTGACTACTTTAGTGTGACTACTTTAGTGTGACTACTTTAGTGTGACTACTTTAGTGTGACTACTTTAATGTGTGACTACTTTAGTGTGACTGCTTTAGTGTGACAACTTCAGTGTGACTGCTCTAGTGCCACTACTTTAGTGTGACTGCTGTAGTGCCACTACTGTAGTGTGACTGCTTAGGTGTGACAACTTTCGTGTGACAACTTCAGTGTGACAACTTCAGTGTGACTGCTTTAGCGTGACTATTTCAGGAAAATCAATATAGAAACAAGAGTTATCAAACATTACATCTGATTTTAATTCTTCCTCATTGTGTTTACGTTTCTGTCATGTCTAGCTTTTAAATCTGGAGTTAATTGCTTCCATCACATATGGTTCCTTCAAAACAATTTAATCAGGAGTTAATGTTTGTCTTACGGCTTTCTTTTTTGTTGCACCTGTTGTCTTAGTTGGATTTCAACTCCAGGTTTAATGTCCTGCTTCCTCTGTTAGTGGCTGCAGTGGCTCGGGCTTTCGGGGGCCATAGATTGCCGTCTGTGCCACCTTGGATCGTCATTTTGACGCCACAGACCATGAAGAAGAATAGATGCTGTGAGCCGGAAGCCTTGGAGAAAAGCAGTTTGCGATGTTGACGAATGTGGAAACAATTAAATCGAGATTCAAAGGTTACCACTTCGTCATTGCCACCTTTTCAAGTAAGCGCATATGACCATTTAAATCTCGTTTTCATTGCTCGGGACAAGTGGCCGTGCCAAGATGAGGAACTCTGGCGTGAATATTTTCCGACAACTATTAAATCAGGATTAAAGAGCCAAAGTTGAAACTACACAGAGAAGTGTGGGTACATCCAAATTAGAAGGATTACCTCTCGATGTAATTGCGTGCGCCGCAGGCTGGTCAAGCAATGCCGGCAAAGAAACATTGAAACTGGATGTAATTCTTTGTAACTCTTGATTCCACGGCCTACCGCTATTTCAGTGTGACTAGTTTAGAGTGACAACTTGAGTGCAACAACTTCAGTGTGACTGCTTTAGTGTGACAAGTTTAGAGTGACAACTTCAGTGCAACAACTTCAGTGTGACTGCTTTAGTGTGACAACTTTAATGTGACAACTTCAGTGTGACTACTTTCAGTTTGACTGCTTCAGTGTGATTGCTTTATATAGTGTGATAATCAGTGTGATTGCTGTAGTTTGACTACTTGAGTGTGACTACTTGAGTGTGACAACTTTAGTGTGACAACTTGAGTGTGACAACTTTAGTGTGACTGCTTTAGTGTGACCACTTTTGTGTGACAGCTTCAGTGTGACAACTTCAGTGTGACTGCTTCAGTGTGACTGCTTCAGTGTGACTACTTTAATGTGACTGCTTTAGTGTGAGAACTTCAGTGTGACTGCTTTAGTGCAACTACTTTAGTGTGACTACTTTATGATTACTCATCGTGTGAGTCGTGTGCCAAAAGGCGGATCAGCGGCTTTCAGAGTGCGTTGGAGGTCCAGGGCTCAGTCACGAACCAATCACCAGCGGCACCAGCTAAACGCTGTAAATCGAAGAAGTGCATTTATATGATGACAAATTATTTAAAACATGTGTTGTATACATACATGCATACATGCATGCATGCATATATGCATACATGCATACATGCATGCATACATACATACCCTACCAAGCCAAACATAAAATAACATAACATAACATAACATAACATACATAACATACATAACATACATAACATACATAACATACATAACATACATAACATACATAACATACATACACACAAAACATACATAACATACATAACATACATAACATACATAACATACATAACATACATAACATACATAACATACATAACATACATAACATACATAACATTACTTACATACATGCATGCATACATACATACATACATACATACATACATACATACATACATACATACACATATACATACACATGTCACATATACATACACATATACATACACATATACATAAATTACATACATTGCTCATTTACACACACACATATATATATGTATTGACGCATAGATTTTTTGTTAAGTGTTGTAGACCTTGTTTTTTTTACAGCAATTGCTTGGAGATGTTCTGGGCTGCTTGTTCAAGCGTGGCAATGCAACTCGAGGGTGAGCGTGGCGAAAATTGCTGTCGCGCCCTCCAACTCTGTGATCAGCAGCGGCGTACTACAAGGTCAAATTTGATTCGTCAATCACCGCATTGTTACTCCAATTGCTATATGCAGAATCATGACGCATCTATCAACATTGTAAATGTGTGTATGTACAGCTGCATGTTTGTGCGGATGTTATGTTTATGTTACGTATACAAGGTATGTAATGTAATAATGAATAGCTGCAGTTTTACGCTTTGTTTTGCAATGTATTGTATTGCCTTCTATTTTGTATTGTATTGCAATGCATTGCATTAAATATGTGTGTGGCTGTATGTGGTGTAACGTCATGTCATGTCATGTCTTGTACCGCAATGCAATGCAATGTAATGTATGCAATGGATGTAATGTATGTAATGCATGTAATGCATGTAAGGTAATGTATGGAAGGTATGGAATGTATGCAATGTATGCAATGCATGCAATGTATGTAATGTGTTTCATGTATGTGATGTGTGTAATGTATGTGATGTCTGTACTGTAATGTAATGTAGTGTAGTGTAGCGTACTTTTTTTGTAATGTAGTGTGGTATAGTGTCATGTAATGTAGTGTAGTGATCTGTTATGTAATGTAGTGTAGTGTGATGTAATGCGATGTAATGTAAGGCAAGGAAATGAATGAACGAATCAACGAGTGGCTGGACGGATGGATGGATGATGTATGTATGTAATGTAATGTAATGTAATGTAATGTAATGTAATGTAATGTAATGTAATGTCTGTCTGTATGTCATGTTATGTCATGTTATGTCATGTTATGTCATGTTATGTCATGTTATGTCATGTTATGTCATGTTATGTCATGTTATGTCATGTTATGTCATGTTATGTCATGTTATGTCATGTTATGTCATGTTATGTCATGTTATGTCATGTTATGTCATGTCATGTCATGTTCTGTTATGTAATGTAATGTAATGTATTGTATGTATGTATGTATGTATGTATGTATGTTATGTCCTGTCATGTTCTGTTCTGTTATGTAACGTAATGTAATGTAATCTAATGTAATGTAACGTAATGTTATATATGCATGTATGTATGTGTATGTGTGTGTATGTGTGTGTATGTGTGTGTGTATGTGCGTGTATGTGTGTATGTATGTAATGTAATGTAATGCAATGTAATGCAATGTAATGTAATGTAATGTAAGTATGTATGTATGTAATGTCATGTCATGTCATGTCATGTAATGTATAGTAATGTATGTATGTATGTATGGATGTATGGATGGATGGATGGATGGATGGATGGATGTGTGTATGCGTGTATGTATGTATGTATGCATGTATGTATGTAATGTATGTATGTATGTAATGTAATGTAATGTAATGTATTGTAATGTAATGTAATGTAATCTAATGTATGTATGTATGTATGTATGTATGTGTGTGTTATGTTATGTTATGCCATGTTATGTCATGTTATGTCATGTTATGTCATGTTACGTTCTGTGATGCAATGTAATGTAATCTAATGTAATGTAATGTAATGTAAGTATGTATGTATGTATTCAATGTCATGTCATGTCATGTCATGTAATGTAATGTAATGTATAGTAATGTATGTATGTATGTATGTATGTATGTACGTACGTACGTATGTATGTATGTATGTATGTATGTTTTGTATGTTATGGTATGAATATACTGTACATGCCGAGATTGCCGAGATGAATGACGGCATATACACACACACACATATATATATATATATATATATTCACCCCGCTTCGCATGGGGTGGCCGCCCACACCGCAGGTTTATTTCGGTCCGTGAGAGGGGCTAAGGGTGGTGTGGAATATGAGGAGCAGAGCAGCACAGGAGAATTGACATACATAACTGCTGGGTTCGTGAATATTTTTTTAATTTTCACTTTCCCCCCCCGTGGGGGCTCCCCAAGCTAGGGAATTTTCACTTTTCCCCCCCGTGGGGGCTTCCCAAGCTAGGGAATTTCACTTTTCCTCCCCAAGCTAGGGAATTGTCACTTTCCCCCCCCGTGGGGGCTTCCCAAGCTAGGGAATTTTCACTTTTCCCCGCCGTGACAGCTTCCCAAGCTATGGAATTTTCACTTTTCCCTTTCTTGGAGACTCTCCAAGCTGCGGAATTTCAAATAGCTAGACAACGACGCCTAGATAGTCCCCCAAATCCCGTGTTCTTTGAATGTGTTTCCATGTTTTTGCAATGGTTTCCTTCAAAGCACGGTACTTCACGCTTTTGTCGCCATAAAACCGGTCCAAAACATCATGTTCGACAATGCTTCCAATTCCCTTATCTCCCCAACCGTTGAAAATACCGCTATTTACAGTGTTTTCTTCAATTTTTCCATGTTCCAATGCCGGTAGCCAACTCCAACATATATATATAAGAAATCCTTCCAAAACATTGTTTTTGACAGTGTTTTTCCAATGTTTCCAGTCAAACAGACGGTAATTTACACGTTTTTTGCCATAAAGGCAGTAAATCCTTCCAAAACATTGCTTTTGACACGTTTTTTGCTATAACGTCAGTCCAAAACACTTGTTTTTGCAGTGTTTTCAATGCTCTGGCATCCAAAAACCCTGCAAAATCTTGCTATGGACAATGTTTTTTTTCATTTTTGGCCGTTTTTCCATTGCCGGAAAGCTACCAAAATGACCCAAAATTCCATTTCAATACAGACACCCAAAAATCATCGAAAAATGTCGAAAACACCACCGAATTCTGGTCTCGGTGCGAAACCGTTTTTGGGCCCCCCGCAGCTAAAGCTGATATAGTGACTGCTATATTAACAAATGTGATTGAGCATTTAGTGTAGCTGTTTGCACCCCAATAAGCACGCCTTCACCGCCAAAGCGGTGTGGGCGGATTTATACATGCAGTGTATCACTTGAGTGGATGAATCATTGACTGCAAGCTTTTTGGGGTCAAGTCCGCCAATGCACCTCTGTGGTGTAACTGAGCTCTTGCGTGAGTCCAGATTCCTTGGCCCGTGAGCGACTGCGCAGGCCTTGGCTTAGGCAGCATTCTTTTGCTGATCGTGCTGAGTTGGCTGGGTGGGCTGCTGACAGGCCTCCTGATTGCAGCTGTCTGTTTCTCTCAAAGCTGTCGCAAGGTGCTCCTTTTCCTGCTGCAGAGCTGTGTGGGGCTGCTTGCTCCCTCTGTGCCTGCTCAGTTCAGTGATCGCACGTTGCAACTGCAAAGCCGGTTCTGCCAATACCGGCAAAGTGAATGAGCGACAAGGCTGTAGAAGAGCTCACCTTGAAGATAGGCGGGCTCGAGATTTCTGTGAAAAGACGAGCTGATAGTTCTTCTGCAGAAGAAGCTGGTGAGAGTGTGTACCCCTTGCTGGCCCTAGCGCCTCTGCAGTCGGTTCGGCTGCCAGTGAAGAGCGTCCAGAAGCTTCCCCACCTTCCAGCAGTTGGAGTGCGGTCGGTGGTTTTAGAGCTTGGAGCGCTGAGTGGAAGAAGCAATTGCTTGAAGCATCCTTTGCGGCGGAAATCCCCTCCCCGGACTTACAGTGCGTGGAGCATTTGCAAAAGCAGTTGTCAGCTGAGCAGTCAGGTTGGACTGCTTTGGCCCGGTTGGGTCGTGCCCTTCGAGCAGGGTTGTCTGCTCGGAACAAGTTGGACGGGGTGGGCAGCTACGAGCGCTCCCCCGATCTTGGCCTGACCAACCGCATTTGTCACAGTGCCCAGAGCTATTGCCAGGCTGTGCCGTCACCTGGATTGCATCAGCTTCACCCCAGATCTGTGTCCCACGCCTTCCCCCCTCAGGCGTACGTCCTTGGTTCAAGGACACTATGGCCGCTGGAGTTGCGGGCCTAGCTCAAGCAGATGTGGAGTCCTGCATTGTGGAAGCGCGGGCTCGTGGGCTGATGCCATCCTACCATTTTTCTTCTGCGGCCCTAGACACAGCTTTGTGGAGAGCACAATGCTATGTGTAGCGATACAGGGCTGGGTGCTTCATGATGATTCTGCCTGGTACCCACGAAGTTGGAGATTTTTTCGAGATGGCAGTTTCCTTCGATTTCTTCGTGCACCATGCAAGCTGCCGTGCAAGTCGAAACGCGCGTGGCAGAGCTCTTGGACAAGTCGATGCGCTGTTGGTAGATTGCCCTTGGTCCGTGCTGGGCTTCCTCAAGCGTGCTGCAAGCCTCCGTGGGGACGCTGCTCAAAACTTGGTGAAATTCGGCCACCTGTCGACCATCGCGGGAGGGAGCCGTGTTTGCTGCCGAAGTTATTGCAGAGACCATGGACGACGAAGCCGCAGGGGACTATGTTTCTTGCGAAGAGGCTGCTGTCATGGAGGAGACCGCGGAGCCAGGGATCGAGCTGGGCCATGTGACCTTCCGGCTTCAGGCTCACATTCGAGATTGTCTGAGTCAACAGCAATCATCAGCAGCTTAGCCCGCAGTGCCGTCCCCAAAGCAGGGGGTATCAATGCCCAGGTGATGGAGCGCTTGCGCGACCTTGCTGGCGCCGGACCCGCGCGTCTGGCTGGTCACGAGAGGCGCGGGCAGCACTTGGTCGATCCATGCAAGACGGTGCAACAGGAGAAGGAGCTGGAAGCGGCCGATGGGGACGAGTTGGATCTTCTGACCGCCGAAGCTTTTTCGGACCCCATCCAGAAGCTCATGTACTTCCAGATGAAGCAGAGCATTGCGGCAACCTCTGCCCAAGCGCGCTGCAGGAGGAGGAGAGCTCGGACAGCCCAGGACCAGGCTCAGCCAATTCAAACTCATCACCACAAATTGCAAGCAGTGAGTGAGCTTGAGTCTCCAACATTTGGGCGACAACTTCTGGCTGGCCGTCCAATGCCATCTAGGAGGAGGACAAGGCAGTGTTTTGCGAGCCTGCTTTGAAGATCCGGATTGGGTTGCAATACAAAGAGCTGTTCAGGTACCGCTTTAAGAAAGGCGGCCACATCAATGTGCTTGAGTGCCGTGTATACAAAAGTTGGTTTGAAACACTGTTCGAAGCGCTGGGGCAAGCATCGCCTGCTGGGGTTACTTGATAGCAGAGTTTCCGTGGGGAGCCCAGCCCTTAGATCTTCGCTTGGCTTAGCGCTTGGTGGAGGCCTTTAACTGGATGCCTGCATGTCAAGTCAGCTTGGAATCGAGCGAACGGGCCTAGCAGAGACCGTGACATTGAGCCCGCTTGTGCAGAGACTGCTCCTGCATCAAAGCTCTTCAGCATGGTGATGTGGCACCTTTTGAGATGATGCTCCAGGCCGCTAAGTGGGCCAGACCAGTTGGACGTTGGGTGCGTTTGCTTCTGCTGATTTCAGGAGACGTTGAACGGAATCCTGGACCCTTGCCTAGATGGATCTTTTTGGCGGGCTTTCGCGCGCCGCAAGTCAGAGGATGCAGAGTTGCTTCACCCAGTTCAATTCCTGGCTTGGTGTTAGGCTGTCACTGACGTTAGATCAGGCCTTGGAGACCGCCGAGATGGCCAACTTGACTCTCCGAGCGTACGGGCGAATGCTATACGCCTCTGGTCGGTCTAGGTACCAACTGGTCTATACTATCACTGCAGTGCAGCGCTTGCGGCTTGAGTTCAAAAGTCTACTTGGTGGAGCTTGGCATGTTTACAGGATCTGGCAGCTTGAACAACCCGGCCAATGCCGAGCAGTTCTATCAGCGCCCATATTGCACGCTGTGTTAACGCTTGGATTGCTTTGAGGTTGGAATCAGTTTGTAGGTGTCATCGCCATTGGGTTCGCTGGCATGTTGCGTCCCAACGAGTTTATTCAACTGATTCGGCAAGATGTGGTCTTGCCGGAGGATGCCTTGCTGAAGGAAGAGGTGATGTATATCCACATATGCAACCCCAAAACTGCTAGATTTGCGCGCGCATCGTCAACATGCCAAGACCGATGATGCCTCCATAATTCGTCTGGTGCGGTGCCTTTTTGGTGCACTGCCTTTGCATGCGAAATTGTTTGGTGCCCGCATGGCTGTGTTTAGACGAAAGTGGAATTATCTAATGGACTTATGCAGATTCCTAGAAGACAGGTAGCTCGAGGAGCCACTCCTGGTGTTTTGCGAGGCCCGCGCAAAGACCTTGGAATTTTATGTGCAAGAGGTGGCAGCCCAACTTTTTCTTCATCAACTGTCACCTCATGCTCGAGGGCTTGTTTCTTTCTTGGAACAGCACGGCCTCATTGAGCTGATGCATTACTTTCCTGAGCGATTCCCGGCGGCGTCTGCTGGTTAGATGGATTTGCACGGCAGAATGGAAGAAGTGGATGCAGCGTGCTTAGCTAGTTTTGATTTTGGCCTGGCCCTTGAAAACCAAGATGCCAAAGGCTACTTTTTGTGACTGGCCAGTCTGTAGAAAGCATGGCGTGCAAACGCCACCAGGCAACTTTAAACTTTAAAGAAATGACGGGCGAAATGAGAGTGATATATATATATACATACACATGGAAATGCACATGCAACTGCAACTGTGGATGTATGAACTGCAAATGTAAATGCCATGCCATGTCAGTTAAAGTACGACGTACTGTAATGAAGAGTATTGTTATGTTGTATCATGATCTAAGGTTATCATATAGAAACGGTTTGTATGTAAGTTTAACCTACAACATATGTACAAACATGTTGTGTGCGTGTATAATTTGCACACCTGTAAAAACATATATGAAACACTACGTATCTATCTATTTAGATCGGCTGGAAACAGGTTTATTTTCTTTCTAGGTTGCAAAGGGCTTCATTGCTGAGTCTCACAGTTGCATGGTTCAAGTTGAGTTTGGATCAGGGTTGCCAGTGATTCGTTTGAGAAGGGAAAGGGGTTGAATTTTGACTTTCGGTTTGGTTTGGAGGGCAGTGGGGTGGAAACGGTTGAAGGAGTGAACGGCTCTATGTAGGTTTGCGAGGCTGCAAGAAGGTTGGACGTATGTTAAAAAACAGTTTTACACTCTAGGTTTGTTCAACAATACAACTGGTGTACTTCCACGGGGTACAGCAACAACTCTGAATCAGCAATGCGCGAAACCTAAAATTTGAGAACCGAACTTTGTCAAATTCTAACTATTCAGATTTTCTCAACAGTCTGTTTTATCCTTTGGGCCCCATTTTAGCTGAGCCAATCCCAAGCGAAGCATGTACTTAGTCCTGAGCGAAGCGGTATTGCAGAATCACAGTTGGGCTTCATGTGTTCCAGTTTGCAGTGGCTGCCAGGCTTCATGAAACCCTCTGCAAGCTGCAGAGTGAGCTCTTTCGAACTCGTTGGGCACCTTGAGAGATATGGTAGTTCTTATCAGTTCTTACAATATTTGGTAGTGTGTGTACAAACGGCATCAAATTGCAAGGCATGCCTTTTTGTGCAGTTTGCTTTGGCTTCTGTGATTGCCAAAGACTTCACAGATTCTTATGGATCCTATGGGATCCTTACGGATCGCGGTCCAAACAGCTCAGGTGCGGATCCTCTCAGTGAGAGGGCCCGTGAGAATCACATACGGCCAGAGATGGGCATCGCACAAGAGGTGCTGTGTGGAATCGCTGGTTACTGCTGGCTGTTGAGGTGTCACAACTCTGGGAACTCGAATTTGGATGGTGAATGTATATAAATGCCCTTTTTCGAATGTAATGTGTTTTCTTGGATCATTTCTTAGATGGGCTTTGGGCATTTAGTTTCTGCTGGTTTCGGTGTATGGGCTAATGCGATATTTTTGCATGGCAGAGTCAGTCACTAACATTCACCCTTGAGAAACAGGTAAAGGTAAAGGTAAAGACTCTGGGCACCGGAATGGGCGACTACGTTGCAAGGCGGAGACTATGGAAATGGCGGCAGTTGCTGAAGAGCCTGCACAATTAGGAGCGGGCAGTGCATTTCTTGTTGTATTTCTGCACTTTCTGCACTTTCTGCACCTTGTCACTGTTACATAGTGTGAATATATGTGAATATGGTGTGACTGTATGAATCGAATCTTTCCGTTCCACCGGAGGCGCAGGGAATTTTTGCCCTAGGGAAGTTGTGGAACTTACATCAACTTTACTTAACATAAACAATATTAAACAATCCTTTGTGTATGACGATGTTATTGTTTTGGGGACGAACAGGTAACTATACCTCTCGGCCAGCCTATTTTGGTGGATGTCAGTCACTGAAACACCATGAAACACCTATTAGTTTTGATTTGACGAGTTCGACTCTTAGACGTAGGTCCTGGCTACGGTTTCAGTTCTGTTCCTATCCTGGATTCATTCCGGGCTCCGACAGGTTGGATCTCGAGCAAAGTGTTTTGGATCTGGGTGTGCCAGGTGTGGACGAGGCTTCGCAGCCAGCTGAAGTAACCGGCCTTGGTGATGCCGAGGAACCGGGGGGAGAGGCTCGTATAGGCATAAACTTTGCATAAACTACATTGAGATCTTTCCACAAGTTTTCAATAAGACTGCCAACATGATCTAACATGTGACATTCTGTGAAAGTACGTTCTGTACCGATCTGTATCATTGTGAGTGGTTGAGTGTCAGCTTCCAGGACTCGACGGATGCTGTACCTAGTGACCCTAGTGACCGTGATCAGCCAACCGGAGATGCGCCAAGTCTGCCGCTGACGGTTCCGGCCACAGACGATGAGGTGCTTGAGGTGCTGAGCCCCAAGCGCACCGTGACGCCACGGACCCCTACGCCTCGCGCACCTCGCGCACCTCGCGAGCAGATGGAAAACCTGATGCGAGAGATCTTAGAGGATGCCTCGTCACGGTTCGAGTATGTTCGATTCTACTGGATGTGAGAAAGCCACACAGGCAGAGTCTACGAAACCTGCAAATGAATACTGATCTTTCCTCTATTGATTCTAATGGTACTGGATGGGTACTGTAGGTTCCAGAAAGACGGTTGAAGGCAGGACAAAGTGTCGAATGTTTGAAATGCAAGCGATATTTGGAGCATAATTACGAGCAAAGATTTGCAGGAGCTGTGCTTCGAACACCTGGTGGTGCGCAACTCGCAGGGCTATTCGTTTGGCACCTGCACCGGTATTCAGCTGCAGCTGGATGGTGGAGAGGTGGTGGCTTCCAAAGATGGCTTGGTCTACGAGCCCTTTAAGGAGTGCCGCCTACTGTGGGACAGTGCCGGTCACATATTAGAAAGGAAAGGCACTGCCAGCATAGGATCCACAGCCGGATATGAACAACATACCACAGCAAGGAAGAATGAGAACTACATTTTACGGCACTCAAAAGCAGAAAGCGGTTTGTGATATGCAGAGAAGGTATTCAAGAGATTTCAGTGTTGGTGTCCAAAGTACCTCAGCAAATCTGGAATTGCGTGGCTTCATATGCATGATTGCTGCATGATGATAAGGCTTTGATTTGCACTGACCGACAAGCAGAAAAATGTCATCGATAGCCATACTTGCACACTGGGAAATGGGAGATCTTGTGTGCCAGCAAGTCAATGCAATCAATGCAATCAATGCAATGATTATCCCGAAATAAATCGCGTTAGCTGAGGCGTCTTAGCCCTATGCCCAGATAAAGATTCGGCGCGGCTTCCGGTGCAGGTTCCAAGGCGTTTCCCGGTTCCGGGAGGTTCCGGAGGTTCCGATAAAGGTTCCAGGGTTGTTCCCCAAGGTTCCTGGATGGTTCCAAGTGGTTCCGGTGCTGTGGTTCCGGAGGTTTCAGGGTTCTGGCGTGTTTTTTTGTCTTTTCCTCCCATTCCGGATGTTTTTGGAGGTTCCGACGCTGGCGCTGGGGTGGTTCGGGTAGGCCCGAGGTTCTGGTGCAGGTTCCGGGGTCGGTTCCTCTTACAATGCACACAGCATGATACAGCTTCCGTTAAATAACACTACGTGCGCCACTGCATGTATGTGTATAGATTGTATAGCAACTGGAAATGTTGAGTAAGCGATTTACCGAATTACCTGTGACTTTCTTGCACCATTCGATCCCTCCAGCCACGGAGGACTTCATCCTAAAGCTGCAGGAGACTGGCAATTTTTGTGTCTTTATTACATGGTGCTCAATCCAAGAGGTTCAGACATTTTAAGACCCTTGCTCATGGTCAGCCAGGAGGTGCTGTTAGTGTTGAAGCTTTGAATGCTGAATGAACGTAGAACAAAATTCAAAGCTTTGTGCTTGCTATCTCCAAATCTGTTCCAATTCTCCAAGCAAATGAGCCTAGACTCTTTGGGAGGTTCCTTCATGATGCATCGCATGCGTGCAGTGAAAAATACACAAGTGCTATCAAGTGCTCACATACCTAAAACTTGCTAAGTTGATTGCAACCGATATGGAACCTTCTTCACGACTTTAAACCTCAGAAATTGACTGATCCTCTTGAGCCTTTCGGGATCTGCACTTTGATGCTCCATTTCGGGTGAGATTCCAAACGCAGATGTTAAAGAGCACTCATTCGTATACTCATGCTGTAGGAATCTAACGATACATCGGAGCTTTCATCATAAAAGGCAACGACCGAGTTTTGGTCCCAGTGCAACTACACAGGAGGACCAGAGGGCAAATGCTCCAAATGCTCCGTCTGGGTGCCTAGAAAAGGTGTTGGATCCAACTGATTGGTGTTATTTTGAGGTTCAAGGTGTCTCTACGCTGTTTTTTTTTGGTTCTTTTGATCTCACCCATTACACACAACAAGAGCCTCGCTCGGTTCGCTTCTGCATGAAACTGGAGGAATACGCCAAACCACACTGGAAACTGCGTTGCCTGGTATACCAAGAGCCCAACAATAACTTGACAACTGCCAGCACTGCCACAGACACAGCTGCGAGATGGATGCGACAATTTCCCAGGACCAGCTACAATGAGCTCAATGGCCATAGCACTGCGTCCATGACAAAGGTGGAGAACGTGGAGACAGGTGCAAAGTGCAATTCACGAAAGCAAGCGTCAGCTAGCTGGAGTCTTCTTGCTTTAGCAAGTATTCCGGGGGCTGCTCAAGGACATCACGTGATTTTTCACGCGAAAGGGGGGGACCCCCCACCACCACCACCACCACCAGCAGCAGCAGCAGCATCATCATCATCATCACCATCACCATCACCATCACCATCACCATCACCATCACCATCACCATCACCATCAACAGCACCACCATCATCATCATCATCGTCATCATCATCATCATCATCGTTATTCAATTACATTTTATCATTATTGGCAATTATTGGCATTATCACGAAAGTCTTCTTGCTTTAGCAAGTATTCCGGGGCTCCCCAAGGACATCACGTGATTTTTCGCGCGAAAGGCTCCCCCCTGCCCCCTCCCCCATATATAATATATCATATATCATATATCATTTTTGCATCCTCGTTGGGACGAACAATGCCGCGACACGATGATGACAGTCCCTCCGCAACTCACCTCTTCCCTTCCTTCTTTCTCCTACCCCGCTAGCTTTCGTCATCCACCCCCGGCCTCAAGTTTGATGTCAGTTGATGGAGCAAGTCAGATCGGTGGCACCATTGGACCATGATTCTTATTCTGCTCCTCGAATTGTGGTTGCCAGTGGTAGTTTGAGTCTCAACCCGGCTTCAGATCCCTTCATTTGAATATACAGTTGAGTCACAGGCAACGCATACAAACTGTACAAACTGTTCTGGAACGGACCGACAGTAGGTGCTTTGATTGCGGAAGGGCTGTCAGTTCTTGTAGTAAATCATGGCATGGTCGTGCCTGGACAGGACAAAATCAGAGAACTCAATGGAGAGATGCCCCCTAGTATCTACAATCGTCAATGTTCTTTGTTACAAATGATCCCATGTTCCTACACTCCTGGTAATGGAAAGTAAGGAACTCCAAGCCAGATCTGGCAGTGGACACGAAAAGATACCAAAAGCACATGCAAAAGCATCCAAAAGCCTATTTTGCTCTAGCTTTAGTGACTGCTTCATTTAGGAGACTCAAGCCGCAGTGGAAGGGAGCCCAAAGGACCGAATGCTGGTGTCAAGAGGGTGCAGGGCTGTGGAACAGGGTAGATTGCTTCGCTTTGTGAAGTGACACCTAGGCCTTGTTTGGGTTCTGAGTGGAAGGTCTTGGAGCGCCCTCCGCACCAGTGACAGATGAAAAATTGTCACCTTTTTCCAAAGCTCAGTTTGGAGCAATTGAGATTTGAATGGTACAAGCATGCGGTTGAGTTTGCTGAGCTGAAAGACCACTGAATGTAGCACACTGCACGTGGCAATTGATCCAACACATTCCACTTCAGGTGTATTTTTGAATGTGTGCCCCTTGCTACTTTTCTGGCCTCATCAGCCTGCATTCTATCAAGGATCAAGGCGACATTGTGAATACAGTGCTCATCCTGTATCACAGACAAAGTACAGTATAGGCAGTATAGGGATTGGTGGAAACTTGATTCAGTTCTTCTAGGATCGTTCAGCCTTGCCTTTCCAACATTGACTAGTTAACACTTAACCTATGCTTCGAAAAGCGCATACAGAGCTAATGGTGCCTCAATTCATGCAAGAAAAAGATAAGAACAGTCTCTGGGTGCTTTGTTTGGTCAATGGCAGGATCTAGCCAGAGTCCCTGCCGCCGGCGAGGCCAAGGGTGCTGAATTTGTTGAGCTAAGTTTTGCCGAGTTGATGCGAGTTGCCGAGTTTGTCGTGTATTGAAGATGTTGAAGTCTTTTGACCTTTTTGAGTTTGCCTGCTATTCAGACTCCGATAGACCATGGAAAAAAGCCAACAGATTCCACCGATGGTTCAGCTGAAGAGCTTGCCTTGACAAAATAACTGGAGCTGAAAGCAGCTGCAGATCAACCGAATCAACCGGGTTGGCCCTGCAAGCATATGCTGCAAGCATATGCTGCAAGCATATGCTGCAAGCATATGCAAGCTTAAAAAACCCATAGGTTGTTGGCAAGTCGGCCCCTTGTTCTAGTGAGGGCTCAGTCCTCGTTCCAGCTTTTGACACGCATTTGTTTCAAGCTTTGATGAGCAGCGCATACCTGTTTAGACTCCCCAGCCCATGGATTGCTCTGCAAGTGGGCTGTCCTCATCGAATTTTGCAAACAACTTGATCGAGAGCCAGGCGACGGGCAAGGAAGAGGCAAGGGAACGCATCAGGAAGACTCCGCTGTCTCTATGATCTCTTTACACGCAGAAGTTGAAGGCCTCTCAGAATTTCCTCGGAATTGAAGCATGTGCCATGGCTTCAATTTTTTTTGCTTGGCTTCAATGCATTGAAATAGAAATACCAAAAAGATGTTGTAAAATAAGATGCCAAAAAGGCTCTAGACTAGACCCCTCACTGATCCCTCACTGATCCCTCGTTTTGCTTCTTTTTTGTGGATAGCGTGGTGTTAGTCTAGGCAGCGGTACAACGCAAGCGCAAGAATTCAGCCTCCGGGCAGAACCTACATCAAGGTGATTGAAGCCACCTCTGCTGCTAGCAAGATTCCCCACTGGCAACCGGCTCTGAAATTCGTAGAGGCAATGGAGGGGTCGACGCGCCCCACCAAAAAGAAGGCCGCTAAAAAAAGGGCAACCAGAAAGAAGGCCGCTAATGGAAAAGTCACGCGTAAGCTTGCAAAGTACACAGCGGAAATCAAATCCTGTGGTACACGTGGGAATTGGCAGTGGGCATTGTGCCTGTTTGAAGAAATGCCAAGTGCCAAAGTCACTCCCAATGTTGTGACTTACAGCGCGCTCATCAGTGCATGTGATAAGAAGGGACAATGGCAGGCAGCACTGTGCTTGCTTGAGAAAATGCCAAGTGCCAAAGTCACTCCCAATGTTGTGACTTTCGGTGCTCTTATCAGTGCGCTTGGAAATGAGGGACAATGGCAGGCAGCACTGTGCTTGTTTGAGGAAATGCCAAGTGCCAAAGTCACTCCCGATGTTGTGACTTACGGTGCTCTTATCAGTGCGCTTGGAAATGAGGGACAATGGCAGGCAGCACTGTGCTTGTTTGAGGAAATGCCAAGTGCCAAAGTCACTCCCGATGTTGTGACTTACGGTGCTCTTATCAGTGCGCTTGGAAATGAGGGACAATGGCAGGCAGCACTGTGCTTGCTTGAGGAAATGCCAAGTGCCAAAGTCCCTCCCAATGTTGTGACTTACAGCGCGCTCATCAGTGCATGTGAGAAGAAGGGACAATGGCAGGCAGCACTGTGCTTGTTTGAGGAAATGCCAAGTGCCAAAGTCCCTCCCAATGTTGTGACTTACAGCGCGCTCATCAGTGCATGTGAGAAGAAGGGACAATGGCAGGCAGCACTGTGCTTGTTTGAGGAAATGCCAAGTGCCAAAGTCCCTCCCAATGTTGTGACTTACAGCGCGCTCATCAGTGCATGTGAGAAGAAGGGACAATGGCAGGCAGCACTGTGCTTGCTTGAGGAAATGCCAAGTGCCAAAGTCCCCCCCAATGTTGTGACCTACAGCGCGCTCATCAGTGCATTTGAGAAGAACGGACAATGGCAGGCAGCACTGTGCTTGTTTGAGGAAATGCCAAGTGCCAAAGTCACTCCCAATGTTGTGACTTACAGCGCGCTCATCAGTGCATGTGATAGGAAGGGACAATGGCAGGCAGCACTGTGCTTGCTTGAGAAAATGCCAAGTGCCAAAGTCACTCCCAATGTTGTGACTTTCGGTGCTCTTATCAGTGCGCTTGGAAATGAGGGACAATGGCAGGCAGCACTGTGCTTGTTTGAGGAAATGCCTGAAGCAAAGCTTGGTGTCAACAATGTTGCATACAATGCCTTACTGAACAGTGCGCAGATATGCAACTCAAAACTTGGCGGATATATTTTTAGGTTTGGCTATTTGCCGATGCTCTCTAGTGCGGCAGTATTCGGAGAAGTCGAGATTGATCTGCATGCTCTTTCTGAAGGAGTATGTCGAAGAAGTCTCACCAAAAGTTTTTATCAATCCAGAATCCAGAATCAACTTTTTGAACTGCTTCAAACTTGTTGGAGGTCTGCTTCAAACATCTTCAAACGGACAAAACATCCATGCTTCAGCCATTTTGGGTCTTGTGAGGAGCTGCTGAGCTTGCTCTGCGTTGGTGGCTGTCCACCACTGTGACAACGTTGGTCACCCGCTCAGAGAAGAAGTTGATGTTTACCATCATCACAGGATACGGCAAGTCCAGAGGAGCAGAGCAACGAGGAGATGCTTGGACGCACTTAGTGACCAAAGTGGGCTTGCTCCTTTGCTTGGACTCACCGCTTGGATGTTGGAAACTCTTGGAGTATCTTCCACATTTGGTTCCCGGGAGCTGTTTATTTAGTAAATTATTTTTTGTAGTTTACTGTAGTTTTTTTGATTCCTCCCTTCTCTCTGCTTTTCTTTCTTTTTGTTTCTCTGCTTTTCTGCTTTTACTTCTACGCTTCTCTGGTATTTTTTGCTTCTCTGCTTTTCTGCTTTGTTGCTTCTACGCTGCTCCGTTGTTTTTGCTTCTCTGCTTTTCTGTTTCTTTGCTTTGTTGCTTCTCTGCTTTATGTTTTGTTTGCTTCTCTGCTTCTTTGCTTCTCTGTTTTCCTCTCTGATTTGTTGTTTCTATGTTTTTTGTTTGTTTGCTTTTGTGCTTTCGCTGCTTTCTGCTTTTCTACTAAGTGACTTGTTCTTTTGCTTGATTACAAGTGCAACCACAGCTACATTGAGAACAGGACCAGCAGCACAATCAGAGCAGCAAAAGCAAACGGACCCCCAAGAACAACAAAAGCAACAACAAGAAGAACAACAAGAGCAACAAAACAACCACAGCGGCAAAGCAGGAACACAACTAGGAAAGAGGTTGTCTCTGTGTTCCTTGGGAGGAGGCGCTGCGCCCTCCCCTCATGCCCCCTCCAGCTGTGTCTAGTTTATTGTTTTGTGCTTTCATTTTTAACCTTAAATTTCTTTGCTTTGGTGTAACGACCATGAGATGTAATAAACGCGCTGGTTAACAAGTTAAGGTTTCCCAATGCTTCAAGATGCTTCAAGTATTATCCAAAATGGAAGGTCAAACATGCTGATATTATCATCTGCAAAATCCTGCAATACCATGCAGCTTGACAGGGTCTATCTTCCAAATCTCGCAGGTGCCATGCAAAATGAGAGGTTCTATCTCCAAAACGCAGGTTGACGTTGCAAAATGCTGAACATATTGCACATACCACGTGAACTATTTTTTTGTTTTCTTGCTTTTTTGGCCTTGATGTTTTTGCCAGTTTTTTTCCTTCTTGGGCTTTGCAAAGCTTTAATTGAGGGCTTCTTGACTTCATGGCTTTGTTGGTGATTCACCGCAACCAACACAAGTATAAGGAAATCACAAACACTGCCTACACCCAAACAATGACCACACCACACAACTAACAGACAACAACCAACAACCAACAACGTCTTGCAAAAAGCATGCCAAACGCAAGATTCCAGCTCCAAAATGTTGCTAATAGCAAGCAACATGGAAGATTCCAGCTCCAAAATGTTGCGTTCCAGCTCTAAAATGTTACAAATAGCATGCCAAATGAAATATTTCAGTTCCAAACGTTGCAAATATATGCAAATATCATGCAAAATGGAAGTTTTAGCTCCAAAATGCTACACATAGCAAGCAAAATTGAAGATTCCAGCTCCAAAAATGCTGCAAATAGCATGGAAAATACGCACAGCGAGAAAAAGCACCCTAAACAATTTCCTACCCTTTGATTTCATGCTCAGACTCAGCTCTACGGAGTTATTGGTTACTTGTAGAGACTCAGCTCGGCTTGGCTGGAAGTTCAACTGTTGTTGTCTCCATCAGGATGTTAGGGCGGCGGTCTTCGAGATGATGAAGAACTTTAATCTCGAGCCACTTGATTTGCAGAATCGACCCCTTTCATCCACGGTCGCTCTTGAAATTCTCCCTGATTCTGCCAACTCTACTCTTTGAAGCTCCTGCTCTTTGAGCAAATGTCCCCCAAGACAGGATGAACTTCTGATTTGCTTATATATATATATTATAATATTATATAACTTATGTAACTTATGTAACTTGTCAGAAGTTAGCTTTGGCTCAAAGAAATGCTCTGTACATTGCCCCTTTCTCGATTCAGCAAGGCCACAGACAACGGCCAACCCGGGCACATTTGTGTTGACCTTGGGCAGCTCGCCAAACTGGACAGTGCTGCAGTGCTGCAGTGCTTGATTAGCCTGACATTGGATGCATGGAAGGGAATGCATGGAATGACAGAGCATGAGGGAATTATCTTGACACATTTGGTCCATGCCAAGCTCTATTGAATACTATTGATTTCTGTTTCTGAGGCAAAAATGACTTGCAAGGCTTGCATAGAGCCTCTGCAGTTTTCCGTGGGTGATCGTCAGAGCCTCACTTGCTGAGTCCAGTTTCTATTGAAGCACTGCCTAGAGTTACCTACATTTCTGCAACGGTTAGGGATATTTTGCCGAACTCCAAATAGAGATGTCCAAACCATGGTATTGATGGCTTCGCGCAGCCCTTTAATGACAATGACAAGACAAGCGTTATTTTTGGTCCATCTCTTTTCATCAGTGAGGACAATCCCATTTTGCATTCTATCTGGCTCCAAGGAACAAGTTCGCGCAGATGGCCGGGAGCATCTAGCCTTGAACTTGAACTTGGACATAGGACCAAGTCCACCCAGAAGAGCTTGTTGAAGCACATCAGGCTTTTGGAAGATATGGGCCTCGGTGAAGGTTCTCCCACGCGTTGGCAATTCTGCACAAGGGCCTCTGAGAGTCCTGGACTCTGCCATCATGATTGAACTTGACTTGGATGGCGGCATAGCCGGCATAGCCATGCTGGTGCTTGTACCGCTTCCCAGCGACAGTTCTCGGTGGGTATAGAGTCTATCTGACGTTTGGCTGGCTTTTCTCAAGGCAAAACATGCCACGAAACCAGCGCATGTTTGTAATTTTAATCTCTTTATTCGCTTTTCTCTGCTCAAATTTATTGCAACATGGCTCATTGAGACAGCCTATGCACTTGCGAAGCCAGAGAACAAAGCTTTCTCTTTACAAGCTGGTTTCATAGTTGCTGGTAAATTCTGGCAAGCTGGTAAATTCTGGCAAGCTGGTAAATTCTGGCAAGCTGGTAAACTTGAAGATTGTGGCGGTCAGAGACATTGCTGCTGCCTGCCACTACCGCAACATCATGACCATCGTCTGAGAAACTTTCCAAATGGCACAATTGCTCTTTTAACTTTTAGTGAAGTTGTGTACATGTCCAGATGCGAAGAGGTGAGCAATAGTCAAAGGAAGTTTCATAGAGAAAACTCCGAATCGCGCACTTTCACATTCTCACTGGCCCAAAGATTGTGTCCAGTTGGCAGGTGCCTGAAGTAGAGAAGTAGCTCAAAAGATCATTAAGTCCAGTTGGCATGTTCCTGAAGTAGAGTAAGTAGAGTCGAGGTAGAGGTAAGGTAGGGTAGAGTAGAGTGGAGTAGAGGTAGAGGTAGAGGTAGAGGCAGAGTAGAGGTAGAATAGAGGCAGAGGGAGAGTAGAGGTAGAATAGAGCAGAGTAGAGGTAGAGGTAAAGGTGGAGGTGGAGGTGGAGGTACAGGTGGAGGCAGAGGTAAAGTAGCAATTGCAAATCGAGTCTGAAAAGAACATTGTCCTAGGCCTTTAGTTTAGGTTTTAGCCTAACAATTCTAGATATGCATGTGAGGAACGTATATAAATAAGCATCTGCAAATTTACCTTACTTCTTCGACTCTAAGATGATTGAGGACATATTGAGATTCTTCATTGAGACTGGAGAATCTGAATGAATCTGAGAAACCTCACTTTGCATGGCCTCAGGTGCCTCAGCAGTGGAGGCGCCTGGAAGCTCAGATTCTCCATTCACATGTGATTTGTCAGAACTCGTCACATCCTTGGTTGAACGATACAAAACTAGATTCGTTTTCGTTTTGCTTTACCAATCCTTTTCTTTGTTTTACTTTTAGCTTCGTTTGGTAGACATTGGTATGCAACAGAATCTGAGGGTCCCAGCTCTTCTTGTTAAGACATGACTGGAACTAAACATGTGGACACGCCGAATCCACAGCTGTGCCCCATGCCCTTGACCAGTTGAAACCTCCGCCTGTCCACAGGATTTGCCTCTGTGAGGTTCTGCAAAAGATCATCTCTTCTTGCTTTCAAACCATGCCCCATGTCCCATATCCCACTCATTACACTAAACAAGACTCGTGCCTCTCACAATGGCCGAATGCCTTCAGTTTGGTTTGCAGGGCCCAAGTTGACTTGCTCTAAGATCATGGGAATTTCCACCTCGACATCTAGTCACAGATAGTCACAGACTCTGCCGCTATCTTTGTCTACCTTTGCCCAGTTCCGGAGCTTCGAGCAGACAAGACGTGGCCGGTGAAAGCCGTGGTCGCAGTTTTGAATCTTGTGGGAGGAATGCGGAAGAAAATCTGAGAGAAACACAAGAAATGCTATAAAGATTGGACAAAGTTGTGATGCAAGCTGCCAGGCAGCAACAGGAGTTTCCTCGTGTCCCACAAATAACTTCAACATTTTATGATTTTTGTGTTTCAGCAAGCTCGAAAGCTAGCGCTTTAAGTCAAGTGGCTTGCAACAGCTACGCACGGTTGACTGAGCCGTGATGTTAAATAAGCTACAGTACATATATCTATATCTATACGTATATATTGTTATACACATATAAAAGCAAAGGTCTTCGCCAATCAAACTTGTGGCCCAAGACCTTGCACAGCACACCGGTCAGAGGACATCACTGCTGCGGTTGCCCATGGACGCCTTGGCATCAACTCACTCCTGTCGCAGCGACTCTGTCGATGCAAGAGCAGCTTGAACATGCTTGAACATGGTTCGAGGCATGGTTCGAGGCATGGTTCGAGGCATGGTTCGAGGCATGGTTGAGCATGGTTGAACACAGGTTCGATTCCATCAATGCTGTGCTTCTTCAGCTCGGAAAAGAACCCTCTGAAGGCCAGGTGCAGGAGGTCTTGCTACCAGCAGTTAAAAAATCACGGGAAAGCCTTCAGCCCATCTTGAAGTACTTTGCAACCGAAGGGGCTGCTGCAGCAATCTTCACCTCTTTGAACATTTTACAGCGTGACTATGCACGTGATGGAAGTATCAAGTTGGATGCGCGTGACTACACAATTGGCATTTCAGCATGTGCCAGGAGCAAATTATGGCAACAGGCGTGTTGGCTTTTTGCAGCAATGCCAAGTGCAGGAGTTCAGGCGAACGTCTTCAGCTACAGTGTGGCTTGCACAGTTTGAGCAGACCTTTTGAATCTTTCTGATATACATATTTACTTGTCATAGCCTTATACAAATTGGAAGTATGACCTATATACAGTAATTGGACCTTACAGCAGGCTTCATAAGCCCATGTTCAGAGTTTCATGAGCTTGAGATCTCCTTGTGCAAAGAAGCATCTTTTAGTTTTGCGTTTTAGGGTGTTCCCACCGAGTGGCAGTAGCCAACAACAATGGCCGGCTTTTGATTTCTGCCATCTAGAAAGAGGATGGAACAGCAACGCAGCTGAGCAGGAGCCAACAACTCAGTTTTTCCAGCTTTATAGTTGGTCAATATTGTATATATATATATATATATATGTATATGCTCTTCAGGCTGGGAGTCATGCATGGTGAAATAGTGCCCAAGATTCACAATGAAGTCACGAAATTCTTGATGTTCTTGGCAGTGGTTAATTAGAAATAAACCTAGAAATCTCAGCTTCGTCAGAGGCCGCCATCAGTGCCTGCGAAAAGGGCAATCAGTGGCAGCAAGCCTTGCGTTTCTTTAACCAACTGACCCAGGCTGCTGTCGACCCAAACGTCATTAGCTTCAATGCAGCAATTAGTTCGTGCGAAAAAGCAGAGCAGTGGCAGCAAGCCTTGTTCTTGTTTCAGACGATGCGTAGTGCAAAGATTCAGCCGAACGTCATCAGCTACAATGCGGCCATCAGTTCTTGCCAGAAAGGTGGCCAGTGGTTGCAGGCCTTGTGTCTATTCCACGCCATGCCAGAAGCGAGTCTTGCAGCAGATACTATCACCTTCAACTCAGCTATCAGCTCCTGTGCAAAGTGTGGACAATGGGAACAAGCCTTGAGCTTGTTTCAAACGATGCAGGCGACTGTGCAGCCTGATGTTATAAGCTTCAGTGCAGCTATCAGCTCCTGTGAAAAGGGCCTAAAATGGCAACTGGCATTGAATCTTCTTCAGATGATGCCCGCAATGAAAGTGACACCCAACGTTATCAGCTTCAACGCAGTCATAAGCTCTTGTGAAAAGGGCAACCAATGGCAGCAGGCCTTGAGTGTTTTCAACATCATGGCGAAAGCAGAGGTTCAGCCAACAGTGATAAGTTTTGATGCAGCCATCAGTGCATGCGAAAAAGCGTGGCTGTGGCAACAGGCTTTGGGCTTGCTTCAGTCTATGCAAATGGAAACAGTTCAGCCGGATGTTATCAGTTTTAATGCAGCCATCAGTGCTTGTGAGAAGAGCGGTCAATGGCAGCAGGCACTATGCTTGTTTGAAGCGATGCCAGAGGTGGAATTGTCGCCAGACATCATCAGCTATAGCGCAGTGATCAGCTCTTGCGAGAAGGTTGGACTGTGGCAGGAAGCACTGGGTTTGTTGGAGGCTATGTGCACTATGCGTATGCCCAAGTCACAGACATTGGAAAACCTGGCAAGCTTTCTCACCCCTGGTTTTGGGGCAGCCCTCAGTGCATGTCAGAAAGCCAGGCAGTGGCAGCAGGCTCTCTGCTTATTTGATGCAATGATTGTAGAGACGATTCCCCTCGACGCTATCAGTTTTAATGCTGCTATCAGTGCTTGTGACAAAGCGGGACAATGGCAGCAAGCATTGTCTTTGTTCGAGTCAATGTCTCACAAGGAAATTCAGCCTGACGTTTTCAGCTTCAGCGCAGCCATCAGCTCTTGCGGAAACAGTGGCCAGTGGCAACGAGCCTTGTTCTTGTTTCAGACGATGCCACATGCAAAGGTGCAGCGGAACACAGTAAGTTTTCTAGTTGCCATCAGCTCCTGCGAAAAAGCTTCTAGCCTGCATTAGCCTGCACTATTCAGATTTTGTTTTTCATGTTAGTCATGGTAATCATCACACAGCTTGTAAAGTAGTACCTTAGATTTCATTGGCAGAGCAAATATAGCAACCAACTCAGTACAAGTTAGGCCTGGCAGTGGCAACACGCGTTGGTCTTGCTCGTTGCGATGTTTGTGTCTGACATATTCCCGAACGTAAGTTGCTTCAATGCAGCCATCAGCTCTTGTGAAAAGGGCCGAGAATGGCAGCAAGCATTGAGCATCTTCAGCTCCATCAGAACTAATTCTCTTCAGCCCGATACGATCAGCTACAGTGCAGCGATGAGCTCTTGCGAAAAAGCGGGTGAATGGCAGCATGCTTTGTGTCTCTTCGAAGACATGTGCTTCGCGAAAGTTCCCGTTGACGTCATCAGCTTCAATGCAGCGATTAGCTCCTGTGAGAAGACAGGACAATGGCAGCAGGCCCTATATCTTTTACAAGCTATGCCAAAAATGATAGTTTTGCCAAACATTATCAGCTTTAATGCTGTCATGGGTGCTTGTGACAGGGGTGGAAAATGGCATCAAACACTGTTTCTGTTTGAGGCCATGCCCCAGAGAAATCTTTTTCCAAATGCAATTAGCTGCAGTATATCGATTAGTTCCTGTGAGAAGGGCCAGCAATGGGAGCAAGCCATGAGCTTGTTCGAAGCCATTCCCCAGACCCTTGGTCTTGACCAAAGTGCACTGCAAGTGGATCAAAGATGGGAAAGCGGGCAGAGTTGGTGTGAGGTGGACTTGAGCTCCACGAAGTCCAAAAGACACTTGATGCAAGTATTATAATGTCTAGTTCACAATATTTATATCCGGAGCTTTTAGTTGATTGTAGTAACATTGTAGTAAATGCCCAGTATGGCTTCTTTGGGAAAGGCGAGAAAGAGAACATCCGTTCAATCTCTGAAAATAGCTGCGCAAATAGGCTGGACAAGTTTGACTTCGGGAATAGCCCTTCTGTTGCTTTCAATTTTCAAGAAACTCCAAGGGCTTTGAGGTTAGCCCTTCCTGAAGAAACTTCTTCCGAAAAAGGCTCCGACTCTTGCTGGCTGTGAGGTTAGCATCTAATTTCAGCGACACACTACAATTTTTGCTGAAGCACGTGTGCACAGGACTTTCACCCATTGAAGATTCCCGAGTATGGCAATGCTAATTCTCAGAGTGTGAGCTCCACGAGCTACATGAGCTAGATATACAGTATGAATCAGCATGACACACAACTCACACAATTCAAAATACAACACAAAATACAAGAAATACAACCTGCAAGCACTGCAAGATGCAGAGGTGGGAGAGAAAAGGCTCTGCCAATGCTGAGGCCTTCCTAGCCAGCGGAGAAACGGTCAGGCGGCTGGCGCTAAGCAGAGATTATTGCAGTGTTTTTGTTTTTGTTTGTTTTTTTTTTAATAGCATTTGTGGAAATGGAGCTTGTGGATATATCTGGATATTTGTGGATATGGACACATAAAAAATAAATAGATAGATAGATAGATTCATAGATAGATCGATCGATAGATAGATAGCTAGATAGATTAGATAGATTCGATAGACTAGATAGATTAGATTAGATAGATCAGATAGATCAGATAGATTAGATAGATTAGATAGATTAGATAGATTAGATAGATTAGATAGATTAGATAGATTGGATAGATTAGATAGATTAGATAGATTAGATAGATTAGATAGATTAGATAGATAGATAGATTAGATAGATTAGATAGATTAGATAGATTAGATAGATTAGATAGATTAGATAGATTAGATAGATTAGATAGATTAGATAGATTAGATAGATTAGATAGATTAGATAGATTAGATAGATTAGATAGATTAGATAGATTAGATAGATTAGATAGATTAGATAGATTAGATAGCTTAGATAGCTTAGATAGATTAGATAGATTAGATAGATTAGATAGATTAGATAGATTAGATAGATTAGATAGATTAGATAGATTAGATAGATTAGATAGATTAGATAGATTAGATAGATTAGATAGATTAGATAGATTAGATAGATTAGATAGATTAGATAGATTAGATAGATTAGATAGATTAGATAGATTAGATAGATTAGATAGATTAGATAGATTAGATAGATTAGATAGATTAGATAGATTAGATAGATTAGATAGATTAGATAGATTAGATAGATTAGATAGATTAGATAGATAGATAGATAAATAGACACACACACATATATATATAAGTAAATAATTAAATAATTAAATAACTAAACATATAGATAAATAAATAGATAAATCAATAAATACATCAGAAAAAATGATGAATGGTACAAACATAGTATGATCGCTTCTCCAGCAATTTAGCCGGACGTGCGGTACGTTTTTTTTCTTTTATTCTGTGGTGCCATGTGCTAGTTGCAGATCCATGCAGACCTCCAATCCTTGGCAGATCTCGCAGCTCTTGCTCTTAACAGCTGAGTTTGCCTGAGGGTGTGTCCAAATGATTTATGAAAGTTTTGTCCAGACATCAGCTAGTTGCTCGGTGTTGGATCAGTTCTGATTGTGTCAAGAAGAACGCACCACGGAGATCCACCGAGAACCTTTATTTATATCTTAAATGTGTCAATTATCTCCAAGAAGTTGCAAAAGCTAAGTGTGTCCATTTCTTCGACCACATTGGCAATGTGAGGCGGTTGCCAAAGTGGTGCCGCGGAAGGTAGTGGGGGGGAGTGGCTTATGAGCAGAACTAGCATCTTAATTTTGGCGAAACTGTGCAGCCCGTATCATTCTCTACCATATATATATATAATATACTCCTTTGCCTGGTGCCTTTTTATTGTGCACAACTGCTACTGGGGCACCTTGTACTGTTAGGCTTGATGCAAGTATGGAAATATTTCAGAGAAGCTGTCGCTTGCAGTTGGAGATGGTTCTGAATTATCAAGGGATACAAACAGAGCCTATCTGCAGGGGACATAGTCCTGGCTATTGCTAGTCTGGGAAGTACTTGAAGGCATTGCTGGTAAGAATTTGTAGATTACTTAAAGCTGGTGACTTCAGGAAAACTCAATGGCGGACCTTGTGCCGCAGTTTCAGCTAATCCCTTGCGGGTCTGACATCAGCATCCAGGTCTTGTTATTGTGTACCTTCGCTTGTGCTTGACTTGGCTACAGTCTTCTCCTTGGTTAGCTGGCCAGGAAAGTACGGTGAAGACACCTCGAGGCTGGATCAAATTTCAACAGATGTCGGTAATTGCGGTGATATTGGTGGAAAACCACAGTTGGAGCCAACCAGGAACTTGGAAAAATCATCCAAAAATTACAGTAAATATTTTGCTGCGTCTCGGAGTCAAACACGGTGAAGTCTCTGATCCAAATTCGTTGAAGGTCTCAAGTAAATGTTCTCCTGTGTTCCATGCGCAGAGAATTGCAGAGCTTTGCAGAGCTGTATCCTGTCCGTAGTGAACCATTGCAGTCTGCAGGCGATTTAGCCCGGTCCAAAGTTGACAAGAAAGGCAATGGGGCGATGGGGCGAACTGGAGAGTTGTCGAAGGATTGATTCAGCTGGTTGACTGAGTTGACCGTGCGGCTTGGTGGCATCACGGCATTCACGACGTGTTTTTTTTGGGTCCAGACCATGATACATTGTGGTCAACACATGTCGACGCATGTCATCAAGTTGTCAGGTGCTCACCTCGATGCAACAACATTGGCAGCACGCGCAGGAGGCTTGTCTTATCCTGGTGCAAGTTGCTCGTGCCAACTTAAATTTTTGTTAGACAAAGTCTTGAGAATTCGAAGTGCATCTAGTGGTTTCACCATCTTTCATCGCGTGTTCGCTCCTTGCCCTTTTCCCTTTCTGGCACTTCCCACACCTGGTACAGTAGGTGTTGTACATGCTGCTGCCATGTTTGGGTCATGTTTCTGGTGAATATCACCAGATTGAGCACTCGAGGAGAGCTGTTGAAGCTCCTTGGTCATGTACTCCGGAAACCATGGCAACAGAGTTTAGCAAAAGTCTGGCAAAGTCTAGCCTTTAGAATGATGATGGAAGCAGTGTGAGATATGTGAGTCGTATGACTTAAAGCGCCCGGGAGATCGCGCGAGACACGATGTTGGGATTCCCGTGAGGCGGCTCCCAAGCGTGTTCAACCTCCGAAGGCTTCACACCGTCACTGGTCCAAGGGGATGGCCGAGGGGATGGTGGCATCGGTGGCACGCGTGGTCGACCTTGGCAGTTCTCAGGGTTCTCAGGGATAAAATATGATAAAATGCCAAGAGATGGTACGACATACTACCGATACTACGACATACTATGACACACTACGACTGGAGTGACTGAGCCCATGGCAGTTCCCAGGTCAGTGGCCAGTGGACAGCAGCAACCTCAGCCCTGAGCCCTGAAATGGCACAGATTTCAGTACAGATGTCACTGCTTAGTCTACTTAGTCCTACTCTTGAATTTTTGAGATGGCTTTGGATTTACGAAACTGAGTCACCATCTTGAAGGCTCTCCAGGAATGCCTCTTCAACGGCCGGCAGCTGTATTCTCCAAGGCTCAAAATGAAAACGATGGGTGGGCAAAGATGGCTTGCTTGTCTTGCCGAATACACTTGGGGCAGCTCATATAGATTCGAGAAGCACGATGCTGTTTGGCACAGTAGTTAGTGAAATGCTTGCAGTTTTACTTTGTTTATAGTCTTGACCCATATGCTACTCGTAGAATTGTGGCCCTCTTGCAGCCACTCCTGTTGCCAAACGTTCGCCATCTATGAATCTATGGTGCCAAAACTGAAAACGAACAAATATCCACGATGCCAGCCTGTCTTTGTCAACAATGGACATGGCCACAGCTTGATTGCCAGTCTTACACCCCCAAAAAAGTGGTTCCAGATTCCAATGGATATTCAGCTGTTTGAATTTATGTTTTCAGCAAGACTGGCACAGATTCCAGGACCCTCGTGCTCCTCCACACATGTTTCTGTATGTGCAACATGTGAAGTGTAATTCTGTAAAATCGAAGGAAGTTTAGAAGTCAAACTTCCGACAAGATTGGACAGATGGAAAAGCAGAGGCGGGAAGAGTCAGAGAAGAGAAGAGAAGAAGAAAGAAGATCAGAGAAGAGATAAAGTCAGAAGACAGAAGATGCAGGTGCGCGAAAAGGTAGCAAAGTCGCGAAACATTGTGTTTTTCCAATGATTTGTGGCTCTGGAGGGTCGACAAGTAGGCTTGCTAAAGTGGTGGGTGCGGAGCCGTCTGGGGAGATGAGAGATGAAAAAGTGCACGCAATTTTGGCGCGAAGCACATTTCGAAGTCAAAACGCGCAAAGCACACCAGGTTCGGAGCACTTTTGGAAGTTGAGATGTTGAAAAAGTGTACGCGGTTGTGGCGCGAAGCACATGTCCAAGTCAAAATGTAGAAAGCACCTCACGTTCGGACCGCTTTTGGAAGTTGACATGTCGGAAAAGTGCAGGCCGTTGTGGCTCGAAGCAGATTTCGGAGTCAAAATGTGCAAAGCACACCAGGTTCGGAGCACTTCGGAAGTTGAGATGTTGAAAAAGTGCATGCCGTTGTCGCGCGAAGCACGTTTCCAAGTCAAAAGGTCAAAACCACCACATGCTCGGACCACTTTTGAAGGTTCAGACGTGGTTTTTGTGTGGCAGGCGCAGGGGATTCTGCATCTTGCCAAAAGTGAGCAAAACTGGGGGGGAGGGAGTTTTGTCGCATTTTCAAAAACAATGGCAGGCGTGGGGCATTTGATGAGGATCTGGAAAGATGCATGTCACGTGGCAGGCGTAGTACAAGAGACATGTTTATCAGAGATGTTAGGAGGTCAGGGCGCTGATTTCCTGAGAGGCGTCGCATTTTGGAGCATCAGATTTTCAGGTTTGCTAAGATGATTTTGCGTGACAGGTGCAGCACTTCGTATGACCAGGCATCACATTTCCGTGGCAGGAGAAATACTTTAGACAGGTGGCGTGGAAAAATCGCAAAGCGCTTTGGTACGCGGCCGTCAGCCCTGGACTCAACTTTCAATTTTGGAAGGAGGTCTCGCAGAATTGCTTCGTTTTTGATGTTGTCAACTTCGAAAGTTGAGGACGTCTCGCAGAGTTGTTTCGTTTTCGACGTTGTCAAGTTCAAAAATTGAGGAAGTCTTGCAGAATTGCTCCGTTTTTTGTGTTGTCAAGTTCCAAAAATTGAGGAAGTCTCGCAGAATAATAGCTTCGTTTTCAAGCTTGCAGATAGACAGATAGATAGACAACTGCAACTACAACTACTGCTACCGCTACTACTACACGACTACTGCAGCTACAAATGCAAATATACTACGATACATTACACCACACTAATCTAACTACTACACTGCACTAATCTAACTACACTACACTGATTATACCTAATTATATACATCTAATTACATCCAATCTAATTACATCTAGTTACATCCAACTGCATCTAATTACATCTAATTGCATCTAATCACACTACACTACGCTAATTACACAGCAACAACAACAATGCTGCTGCTGCTACTACTACTACTACCACCACCACCACCACCACAGCTACAACTACAATTGCAACTACTCTACGTTACACTACACTACACTAATTACACTGCAGCACGCTACAACTACAACTGCAACTACAAATACAAATGCAACTACACTACGTTACACAACACAACACTACACTACGCTATTTAAATTACATTAAACTACAGCTGCAGCTACAACCGCAACTACAACTACAACTGCCACTACATTACACTACGCTAATTACACTGCACTACACTACGCTACAACGCTATATCACACTAGAGGACACAAAGCTACTGCACACTACACTACACTAATTACACCACACCACAACTACAGCTGCAACTACACTACACTAATGACACTACATACAACTGCAACTCCGCTACACTGCAACTACAACTACAACTGCACTACACCACACTACATCCAGCAGTTGTAGTGGGGTGACCACTGCAACCATTGTAACCGCTCCAAAAATCACAACTCCAACCACCTTTCTGTCCATCAGTGGATTCGCTCTGCCATCCGTGATTCACAAGAACCAACCTGTCCTATAGGTTTTCTAGTTCCCCACAACTTTGTGTGGGGTTTTGTTTTTGTTTCTGTATCCCGCGCCTCCTCCTCCGCCGCCTCCCGCGCCACTGCCTCCACCCATCTTTCACACACAACTTTGTCACAAACAACTTTGTCACACCATGTCACACCCCATCTTTCACACGCAGCTTTGTCACACACTATCTTTCACACACAACTTTGTCACACACCATCTCTCACACACAACTGTGCACCATCTCTCACACATCTCTCACACACATCTCTCACACACAACTGTGCACCAACTGTCACACACACACAACTTTGTCACACACCATCAATCACACACAGCAACAACTTTGTCACACACCATCTTTGACACACAACTTTGTCACGCACTATCTTTCACACACAACTTTGTCACACACTATCTTTCACACATAACTTGGTCACACACCATCTTTCACAAACACAACTTTGTCACACACCACTTTGTCACACACACAACTTTGTCACACACAACTTGGTCACACACCATCTTTCACACACGGCTTTGTCACACACCCTCTCTCACGCGCCATCTTTCACACACAACATCGTCACACACACACACAACATTGTCACACCCAACTTGCTCGCACACAACTTGCTCACACACACACAGAACTTTGTCACACACCATCAACCTGCTAGCTCACATCCATCTTCGTTTTGCGTGGCAGGCGTGGCGCTTGAAGACATTCATCTTCGTTTCACATGGCAGGCGTGGCGCTTGGCGACATCTACCTGAGTTTGGCGTGGCAGGCGTGGCGCTTGCGGCGCTGGTGGCACTTCTGGCACTGGGATGGGTCTGGTGGCGCGCTTGGTCGCTGTTAGTCGCCCGTGACTCTGTGGTAGGCTTGCCACTTGGCAACATCCATCTTCGTTTCACGTGGCAGGCGTGGCACATGCTCACATCCACCTTCGTTTTGCGTGGCACGCGTGCCACTTGTGGCACTGGGCTGGTGGCGCGCTTGAGTGACGCCGCGGCACTTTGCGTGGCAGGCGTGGCCCTTGGCGACATCCACCTTCGTTTCACGTGGCAGGCGTGGCGCTTGGGCGCATCCAACTTTTGTTTTGCGTGGCAGGTGTGGCGCTTGTGGCGCTGGGCTGGGTCTGGTGGCGCGCTTATGGTCGCCGTTAGTCGCCCGTGACGCCGCGGCACTTTGCGTGACAGGTGTGGCACTTGGGGACATCCACTTTCGTTTGGTGTGGCAGGCGTGGCACTTCTGGCACTGGGCTGGGTCTGGTGGCGTGCTTGGTCACTGTTAGTCCCCGTTAGTCGCCCGTTTTGCCGCGGCACTTTGCGTGGCAGGCGTGCTCCTTGGCGACATCCATCGTTTCACGTGCGCACTTGGCGACATGCACCTTCGGTTGACGTGGCAGGCGTGGTGCTTCTGGCGCTGGGCTGGGTCTGGTGGCGCGCTTGGTCACTGTTAGTTGCCCGCGGCACTTTGCGTGGCAGGCGCGGCGCTTGGCGACATCCACCTTCGTTTCACGTGGCAGGCGTCCACCTTGGTGACATTCATTTTCGTTTTGCGGGGCAGGCGTGGCACTTTCAGGCATCCGCCCTCTCTTTGCGTGGCAGGCGTGGTACTTATATGGCACTGGGGTGGCTCTGGTGGCGCGCTTGGGCGCACGCCGCGGCACTTTGCGGTGCAGGTGCAGGTGTGGCACTTGGCGACATCCACCTTCGTTTTGCGTGGCAGGCGTGGCACTTGGGATAGGCGTGGCAGCGTGGTGGCTTTGACCTTGCACCGTTTAGTTGTGCGTCACTGTGCATGTGTTCCTGTACCAAGCAGACCGACGTGATGTCGTCTGTCACCTCGTTGGCCGGGGGTGCTTGATGACGCAAGTACAAAGCAATGCGCAATGTGCTCAGGCTGCGTCAAGTGGGAGGCTAGTGGTCACCAAACTGCATGCTCGCTTTCACTTTGGGTGAGTCGGCTTTGAAACTTGGTCACGCACACAACTTTCACACGCACGCACACAACTTGGTCACACACAATCTTTCACACACACACACCTAATTTGTCACACACATCTTTCACACACAACTTTATCACGCACAACTCTTCACACATAACTTTTTTTTAACTTCTCGATCCTCTACCACCTCCCTTGTCTTTCCTTCGTTACCCATCCCGCCACAACTTTTGTTTCTGCCTATTGGAAGAAGTTGACTTGTGAGGTTATCCGGTCCTTTCATTTTGAAACTTCCGCCACCGCACTGGTACCACATTAATAGTTATACATAGCTTGGTTTCTGTCACACTTCTGTCGCTGGACCATTAGACTTCATTCTTTGTTTTCTAGTTCTCCTGTTGCCCTTGTTGCTCTTGTTGCCCTTCCCAATTCGTCGGAGTACTTGCAGGTACCAGTACAGCTGGTGGCGCTACTGCAGTGTCCGTCTATGGTGCGTACACTGCGCCAGCATCACCACTCAGGCGCTGAGCGAAACTTGTGACAAGAAAATAAGAAGCCCACACGAAGTCCACACGAAGGTGTTCCGTGTATTCCTTTAACTGACCAGAGGCAAAGCACTTATGTAGTCAGCACTTGGAGTCATCAACTGGCGGCAGCAGCCAATTGAACACAAATGATCCGCTGGCAGGCATGAGCGAGGTCAAGGCCCAAGCTGATCTACCAGCCTTTTTGGCTCCGAGATCTTTTGACCCAAACTCAAAAGAAATCCAAGAGTGGGCTTCAAAGCATTTCAATGCTGCTTTCTCCAAATCTTTGTTCAACAGCCTTGACATGCAAAGAGTTGTGAATACAAATGGCGCTATTTTTGATGCTTCACTTCAGTTTTTCTGACAAACACAATCCTTCTGAACACCTTTGATCTGAATATGTATGAAGTATTCTCTTGGATCGCGCGAATTCTGCACTCCTTCTCTTGCAAATACCAATCCCCAACACCAAGATCGTTTTTCCACACGTTTGAATGTGGTTTGGCCAGGCTACAACCTGACATGCAGTGTGAAGATTTCGTGATCGAGGTAACCCTCTTGCCGACAGACTAAGATGTAGGTATCAGTGCAAGTTTGGTGTTCTTCCCACCCTTTTTGCAAGCTGGTTGCTTGCAGGGCGCACGTTTTTTCCCGCAAGCGAACTGGCCCAACAAGCGCTCGCTGAACTGGTTTGGACAAGCAGAACCAATATTGAGGTGAAGTAACTGTAATTTAAAGCATCATTGAATGTGTTTTAGACTTTTGTTCTTTCACACGAAGCTAAGGTTTGCGACTGGAGTTTGGCGCAACCGGGCCTCCATGGAATTTGGAGGTCCGTATTGAGGAGATTTGAAGAGACTAAGAGGTTCAGCTTGGCTTCTGAAGTTACCTTCCGTTTTTTCATTCTGCCTTATCCCTTTGCCTGTGCGCGGCATGGCCGACCAGGGCTTGAATCCGGCCCTGACGCAGTCTTCCTGCAGTCACAGCGGTCTGAGAGTGTGGTTTCCTAGCTGTCTGGTTTCGAAGCTTCTTTTTCGGCAGAACCTGCTTTCGGAGAAACACATACTTGGACATACGACAACAGTGCTGCAGCAGTTCTTCTTCAACATTCATGGAATCCATGTTGCCTTCTGTTGATTCCTTCTGTTTCCATCCAACTCTCCTGTCGGAGTCCAAGGCCGCCATGCCGCAACGGACCGTTTGGGAAACCTAGATTTACCGAAGATTTGCGCCTGACGCGCAATTTACTTTTTCCCCAAACAGACCGTTAGGGGTTCTTAATGCATTCTTAAGGTCTCCGCCTTGGTGTTGGATGGTGTGTCCGCCTTCCCGAGGGTCTTGTCTCCCCTTGTCTCCCCTTGTCTCCCCTTGTCTCCCCTTGTACCCCTTCTTGTTTCCCTTTGTTGGATGGCTTGTCTCCCCTGGTCTGCGATTGCACGCCTGGTGTGTCCGCCTTCCCATGGGTCTGGCCTCCCTTTGTCTCCCATTGTTTCCTCTTGTTGAATGGTATGTCCGCCTTTCCGACAGTCTTGTCTCCCCTTGTCTGCGATTGTACTGTACCCCTTCTTGATTCCCTTTGTTGGATGGTGTGTCCGCCTTTCCGAGGGTCTTGTCGCCCCTTGTCTCCCAGTGTACCCCTCTTGTCTCCGCTTGTCTCCCATTGTACCCCTTCTTGATTCCCTTTGTTGGATGGTGTGTCCGCCTTCCCCAGGGTCTGGTCTCCCACTGTGCCCCTTCTTAGTTTCCCCTTGTTGGATGGTGTGCCTTGCCGAGGGTCTTGTCTCCTCTTGTCTCCCATTGTACCCCTTCTTGTTTCCCTTTGTTGAATGTCCGAGGCTCTTGTCTCACCTTTACCCCGTACCCCTTCTTGGTTGCCCTCGTTGGATGGTGTGTCCGCCTTTCCGAGGGTGTTGTCTCCCCTTGTCTCCCATTGTGACCCTTCATGTTTCCCTTTGTTGGATGGTGCGTCTGCCTTGCCGAGGGTCTTGTCTCCTTTTGTCTCCCATTGTGCCCCTTCTTGTTTCCCTTTGTTGGATGGTGCGTCCGCCTTCCTGGGGGTCTTGTCTCCTCTGGTCTCCCATTCTACCCCTTCTTGTTTCCTTTTTCCGAGGGTCTTGTCTCCCTCTCTCTCCCACTGTGCCCCTTTTTGTTTCCCTTTGTTGGATGGTGTGTCCGCCTTCCCGAGCATCTTGTCTCCCCTTCTCTCCACATTATCTCCCTTCTTGTTCTCCAAACAGTGTACTGCTCCAGGGGTTCTTAACGCATTCTTAGGGTGCCCGCCTTGGTCTTGTCTCCCTTTGTCTCCCCGTGTCTCCCTTCTTGTTTCCTTTTTGTTGGTTGGTGTGTCCGCCTTCCCGGCCACTGTCTCCACTTGTCCCCCGTTGTCTCTTCACATGTGTTTGCCTTCTCGATGTCTTGTCAATCCCTTGTCTCCCAATGTTTCCCATTGTCTCCCCACATGTGTGCCTGTGTTGGATGGTGTGTCCGCCTTCCCGACGTCTTGTCTTCCCTTTTTGTCTCCAATTGTCTCCCCACATGTGTGCCTGCATGTTTTGGATGATGTGTTCGCCTTCCCGAGGTCTTGTCTCCCCTTGTCTGCCCGTATTGGATGGTGTGTCTTCCCAAGGTCTTGTCTCCCCTTGTCTCCCCTTGTCTCCCATTGAACCAATTGTCTCCCATTGTCTCCCATTGTCTCCCATTGTCGCACATTGTCTCCCATTGTCTCCCATTGTCTCCCATTGTCTCCCATTGTCTCCCATTGTCTCCACACACGTGTGCCGCGGTCCGCCTTCCCAACGTCTTGTGTCACCTTTTTGATCCTTTTTGTTTCCCATTGTCTTCCCACATGTGAGCCTGTGATGGTATGTCTGCCTTCTCTGGTCTCTCCCTTGTCTGCCATTGTCTCCCCACATGTGTGCCTGTGTTGGATGGCATGCCGGCCTTCCCGAAGTCTTGTATCCCCTTGTCTCCCATTGTCCCCCTTCTTGTCTATCCTTGTCTCCAGTTGTCTCCAATTGTTTCCCATTGTCTCCAATTGTCTCCCATTGTCTCCCCACATGTGTGCCTGTGTTGGATGGTCCGCCTTCCCGAAGTCTTGTTTTTCATTGTCTCCCATTGTCTCCCTATGTGCCTGTGTTGGATGGTGCTTCCGCCTTCCCAAGGTCTTGTCTCCCCTTGTCTCCCATTCTCTCCCCACATGTGTGCCTGTGTTGGATGGTGCCTCTGCCTTGGATGGTGTGTCCGCCTTCCCGCGGTCTTGTCTCCCCTTGTCTGCCTGTGTTGGATGGTGTGTCCGCCTTCCCGACGTTTTGTTTCCCCTTGTCTCCTCACATGCGCGCCCGTGTTGGATGGTTTGTCCACCTCCCCAAGGTCTTTTCTCCACTTGCCCCTTTGTCCTCCCAATTGTATCCCAATTGTCTCCCATTGTCTCCCTTTTTGTCTCCCCATCTCCCCTTGTCTCCGGTTGCGCGCCATTGTCTCCCATTGTCTCCCCACACGTGTGCCTGTGTTGGATGGTGTGTCCCCCTTCCGAGGTCTTGTCACCCCTTGTCTCCCATTGTCTCCCCACATGTGTGCCTGTGTTGGATGGTGTGTCCGCCTTCCCGAGGTTTTGTCTCCCTTGTCTCCGAGTTTGTCTCCCAGCTTGTCTTCCTTCTTGTCTCCCAACTTGTCTTTCTTTTTGTTTCCCTTTGTGGCGGGTGGTCTCATTTTGCATTTTTGCCCAAACAGTGTGCGGTTAGGGGTTCTTAATGCTTTCTCATGTCATGTGTTTGACCCTGTTCCTCAAAAACACGTCTTGAATCCACCCACTGTTTGGGGTCTACGGTGGTGTAATTTAGTCACTGCCAGTGGATTTGTCTCAAGAAGCTTCCCACTAGTTGTACTAGCCGGCGGATGGTTATCATCACGGATTCGGCGAACCCGGTTTGCAACTGTATCAGCATTAATTAGTCAGCATTAGCCCTATACTGAAGGGAAAACAAGGCTATTCATTCAAGGCAAGGCCCTTCTCCTTGGTTTTAACAGAACCTGAGGGCGCCCCTTCTGTCAAAGTTTCCCTCGCTGGCTTCTCTTCTTTAGATGGAGCGCTCCTGTCAGGTGACTTCGGTTCTTCCGACCCGGTCTTTTGCACCTTTGCCACTCTATCCACAGCAGGTACCACAGGCCGTTCTGCTTTTGCTTTGAGGGAGAAATCGAAAAAACTCATTGCTTTTGGGAAAGATGGAGAGGATTCTATGAGTTTCATTCGCTCTGTCCAGGCCTTCTTCTCGCCACGCGGAGTGCTAGGAAGCTAAGCCTTGTGGCATATTGCTACAAAGACAAGTTGTACAATTGACGCTGTAGGTTGAGATCATCATCACAGTCGATTCCTTTCATACTGATCATGGCCCATGAAAAGTGTGTCAGAACAAAAGACATTGCCATCAACGTGAGTTGCTCCACTTCCTGTCAAAAGAACTTGAACTGGGCTTTGATTCAGCTCACACTTCGTATCAATTTTGCCCGGAGGATGGGGTTTGCTAGTTTGTTTCTCCAATGCTAAACTAGAGTCGAAAGACTGGTTGAGGTTGAAGTTGCTTGTTTGCGATGCACTGCAGATGAGAGCAACATTGTGTTCATGGCTTACGCAGGTCATACAGGTGGCAACTTGTAGACAGACTTGTATATAAGTATGCCTGAGCAGACGCAATCATTCTCTCACAAACTCGGACACATCCGACATTCCTTTCTCTAACCAACTATCGCAAACTGTTACAAGGCGCTACTTACTCATGGCAACCATTTTGTTAGTACACGGATCAGTGTTTTTTGGCCAGTTGTTTTGCAAGGTATAGGTTACTTGTTCAAGGGTTCTTCAAAGGTGTTGTTGGTTGAAACTGGAAGGCAAGCATACATTCAGCCGAAGCAAAGATCAAAACAAGGCAGTCTTCGACCCTAACTGAATCTCTTGGTGCCACATGAGAGGACGTGTTGGCATTGTTGTGCAACAGGATAAGTGAAGACATGAAGCACAAAGCGCTGCTCCATGCTTGCTCTCATTTTAGGACATGAAGCAAATGCTTGTTTCAAGCATATTCTAGCCAATGCATTTCCTGTCTGCCTGGAATTCCTTGAAATTGCTTGATATGTTTTTACACCCTTCGGTGTTTCGGAGAGTTCAGTCCATGCAGTGACAACTCTGAGGCCTCCGGCACGGACTGCGCCAGTGCCGCGGCCTGTGCTTCAAGAAGGTGGCACTGTGTGGCGCCCAAATATCCCAAATCTGGGGTGACACAAAGATGGCTTTAATATAGGGGATTGCGAAGGGTCTCAGGATGTTTAAGGACCATTGGATACTTGTATCATAATATGGGACCCCAGAATAAACAGATTCAGTACGCAACAAGGGTTTCTGGATGGATGCTGATTTCTTTTAGAAAGGAATCAGGATAAGAGGCTCACTATGGACACCTCGAGCAGGAAGTGTCAGCCTTGCAGGGCTGCATGGGACAGCCAAACATGACTGGGGGCTGAAGGGAATTTTAATGACACATTTGATCATACACACAGTATTTGTTTGTCAGCCTATACGTGGAGCTTCCAACCATTTTTGTCGGGGGCAGAACACTCAAGGCTGCATCAAAACGCATTCCGATTCAATCTTGGATATCTTGGCAGGTTTGCAGACGGTGCCGTGTCAGGCTAACGTGCCTGGGAGTTGTTACCACATGTGGTCAAGGGCTTGCGAATCAACATTTCTGCGCAAAACAATTTTTGAGGCAGTGCGTCTTTGGAAAACGTCCGTAAGCAAGGCAGTTGTTGAAACATGCACACTTTCATCATATTCATCGTGGCGAGTACTTGCTATACTTGGCGCTAAATCTTTTGGATCGTGCAAAACTCCACATCCTCAGCCGCCAGCAATGATATATTTCCTCTGGCAATCGTTGCCCTTTGTTCAGGCGGCCAGCATTCTGCGGCTGAGTCCCAGACAGGCCCCACATCACACCATCGATTTGGATCGATTTGGCAGGGAAAAGTGGTTCATTCGTGTTGGAGACGCAAGGAGAAGCGACATTGCGTGAAACATCACCAAAGTGCACAGGGCAGTATCACTTGCCAACAAATGAATATGACTTAGGTATGCTTAGGTCACATGGAGCACGTTGCTTGGCATCATCCAGGATCTTGATGCTGTCCTTACACCCAAGCAACTCAAGGATACTCGTCCACGCTTGGTCCACGATTTGTCCACGCCTCCTTGGTGCCATGGACGAAAAATGCGTTGAAGGGTTACAGAAGTTGCAGAATCATTTCGAGAGTCTCGAGACGGAGCCACGTAGGCACCTTGGCACAGGTTTTCAGGTACATACGGAAACATTGAGATTTTTGTCATCCAGGGAAGTCTGAGGCTCGGATTTAGACGGTCTAAGCACAACCATTCGTCGCTTCCCGAGCGAACAACATACAAGCGAATGAAGCACTTTTTGGATCATTTTGGCAAAGAAACAAATGGCAACCCGAGGCAGAGGGAATGACTCAAAACGGAGGTGATTTCTATGTGAGTGCGATATCTAATGTACATATACCAGACGATTCCTTGTGACCTTGTTTGTGTTTTCTGCTAAGTGGCCTTTAGAAAGAGGTCAGTTAAGAAAAACGTAGAAAGAGGTCACTTAAGGAAACGAACCAAACAGTGGCCTACCAGTGACACGCAAGTGACACGCAGGTGACACGCAGACAGCCAATCCTTAAGTGACCTTTTCAAGGCTTAAGTAACCTTTTCAGGGTCCTAAGTGACCTCGTTTCATCCCACCTCGAAACCCCAGTGACACGCAAGTGACACGCAGTGACACGCAGAAATCATGAGATCAGCCAGGCAAAGAGGTCACTTAAGGATTCATGAAACGAGGTCACTTATGCATGATTGATCTTGTAAGTGACCGTTTGGCACTTTGGGTCTAAGTGGCTTCCATTAGAGGGCAGAAGCAACTGCCTGGTATATATATATACATAATATATTTATATATATATATATAAAATAATATATATATATCTATAATTATATATGATATATGTGTGTGTTTCTCCCGACATACTACAAGTGCACAAATGCCGCATGGCGCAAACGAGGCCAGACGGTGTCCAAGGCCAAGGGTTTTTCAACCCTCCACACCTCTTGCCCAGGCATTTGCTGCAAATCCTGCAGGAGATGTGATATGCAGTTGGGCAGTGGCTGAGGGACACAGCAGCTTGCTCTTCCTGCTGTTTTTTTGTCCGAATCATTCAATCCTTCCTTTTGGCCCTCTTCTCCCAGTTTTTTCTATGAGGTACTCTGCCTGTTGGAGCGGATTGTTTTTATACCATAATTATTCGAAATTGAAGTCGTGAACTGTGGGAAGTTGAAATGAAACGAAACTAGAATCCTCCAATCAGCAGTCTTGGTCATGTCTTATCTTTGGATTTATCGAAGTGCGGCTGAACAGGCCTGGGGCACTGGAACAGCAACCAACCAAATGCATGTCCTCACCACTTACCCCCTGTGTGTCATGATGCTTGCATTTCCTGTCACTTGTCCGTTTCACTTTCTCTTTCTCCTTTCGCAGCACTGACAATAAATAAGAAGCAAGTATACGCTGACAAATCCGGATTCAACTTATATATTCATTTTGGAGCTGGGCTGGTGCAAGGCAGCCCAGTATCGGATTCCATTAAGGTATTTCAGCAGCCTCTATGGCTTCTTGGGCTGCTTTCGTTCTTCTCATCTCTTGGTTCCAAACCCTGGGGCACCCTTTTTTTCTCCAAGCATGGATAACTTTGTCTACAGTGAAGAGAATAAGCGCCTTCTGCCTCGCACTACCGCAGGAGTTTAAGTTTCACTCACACCATGTTTGTGGCTTCTGCCTTTTTGTCCGTTTGCTATTTGTGTTCTCTGATGATGGCATCATTTGCTGATATCCTAATGCACAGCTTTAAAATTGTTGCAGATCATGGCTGCAGTGTCTGGTTAATGAAATGTTCAAGCTCTGTCGTTGTGAAGGTTTTCGCGTTTTTTTTTTGGTTCTGCTCGGATCCATTTGACACCTTCGATTTCAACTTCCTTCAGCATGCCCTCCCATTGGAACTGCTGTTAGTTGTTCTGCACCGCAAAGTGTTGTGTAAGGGAAAAGCGCGGAGACAAGGCTAGACACACACAAAGGCAGCTGCACGCCGCCAAGAGGAGATTTCCACAATGAACCCTGAGCTTCTTGCAGAGACCCAGAACTACATCATGTGCCGAAAATCAGCACGGCTGCCAGCACAACAGACACGCAGATGCATCCAGATGCATTTGTTCCTTTTGATAGGTTTGCATGGTTGATCTTGTCTCCACTGTAGCACCGCCTAAGTCGTATTGGCCAGCTTTCGTGGCAAGACTTTTGTATGACAGGAAATCGGGTCTCTCTAATGTGCTGGCGATCAGCTGCGGTTCTTCCCATGTGGTTGAAGCTTGTCTGGCAGATGAAGACTCAATTTTCCAGGAGGAGGCAGAACGCATTTGGGATACAGCCTGTTGCATTTGCTATGCCAGGAATTTTTGCTATTGTTTCATCGCTGTTTCATTTGCTTCTTTTATTATTGTTTCTCAGCTCTTCTTGACGGAATTGACGAAAAGAAAACTGTGGGGACTGCTTGCTGCGGTCAAATTCAGGTTCTTTTCTCAAGCCGGCCTGTTGTGATATTGCTCAAAACGTTGATAGTGTCCGGTTTCGGGAGAAGATCTCAGCCTTTGCCAAGCTGCTGCACACTGGTGGTATCTACTTCCTCTACTATGCTGGGCATGGCATGGAGATCAACGCCTCTTTTCACTTCATCCCCAAAGGAGCTCAAGACGAGTCTGAGTGCATTTCTATCGGAGAAGTGATGGCACACTTTGACAAGATGGCACCTGTTGGATGTCAAGTGATTTTTTGTATCAACGCTTGTCGAGAAAGACAGAAGTCATCTATTTGCGACCCCTTTGACAATGAGTATGGTCGTTCAAACAAATATTACATTCTTTTTTCAACGTCATCGGGCGAAGAGGTTCCACTTGAAGAGCTCGTCTTTCAAGAGGTGGTTGCAACGTTCATGCCCCAATTCACGTGTGACAATGCCTTGTACATTTTGGACCAAATCAAAGAGAACATTCAAACTATAGATGAGCAGCAGAACCCACGCCTTTTTTGTGGTGGTCTTCTTGACCCATCCTCCCGGGCTTCTTCTGGCAGCAGCTTCTCCTTTGCAACACCGGCAAAATGGACAGATCTGCTGCAAGGACAGTGTTCCAGCAAGTTCAAAAGACTGCTTCAAGCATTTCCAAGGGGGTACTTTCAGGAAATGCTGCCGAGTGTCCGCGATCATCGTTTTCAGCTGACCCAAAGCTACAAATCCTATCAAATATTGGTGTGTCTCTCTGTGTGATATGCGAGGTCATCTTGTCCTGTGATTTGGGGAGACTCCTGTTTTCAACTCTAAGTTGGAGAGACAATGAGCACTTAATTCTTGAAGCCTGGGACCTATTTTTGTGCGGTACACCTCCAGGATACACGCTGATGAAACCAAGCACCTCTTCTTCATTTCGGGAATCGCAATTGAGCAAAAAGTGGTGGACCTGCGACTGACTGAATTCCAGAGAGACTGTTTCCTCAACACATGTCAACTGATTCGAGTTGATAAACTTTGCCAGCTTCAAACCAGTGGACGCGTCAATCAAGGTCATGACAGCAAGTCTTGGGACATGGGCAAAAATCTAGTCACGGCAAGATACGGCACCTATGGCGGTAAGAAAGAACCATCTTGAAACCATGTCTTGGAAATCCTAAAAGTGCAAAATATGTCATTATTTGCCATCCAGTTGCCACTGAAAGGTCAAGAGGTTTGACTCAAAGGTCGGGGCTGCTTAGAAAGGTCCCATATCAAATTTACACCACCAGCCTGCAAGGATAAAAGACACACGGGAGGATCAAAGACGCAGATTGAACCGCTTTACGGCTCCAATTTTTGTCCCTGCTCCTTGCCACATTCTTACTGTTCGAACTCTTCGTCATGTGAAAGAACATTGAATGCATAGGCAGCCAGCACTGTTGTTTTTGCCTCGGAGCAATTCACAAAGACTCCATTCTTTGGGATTATTTGGGTTCATTTGTGATGGTTGTTCTCAAATCCCATCCACTTCGACTGATGTTTTCCACCGACCGCAAATTTTTTCTGGCTGTGAGGCTTGCGTCGTTATTGGGCATACTTGTGGTAAAAGCAAAGAGGAAAGAATCGAGCGTTTCCAGAAGCAGGGACTGGGTCCAAACTACTTGATTGCGGAAGAGACTCCGCAAATTACAGTATGTTTTTCTCCAACAACGTAAGCTGCTGGGGTCTTCAGCCCAGAATAGCTCCGGTGTGCACTGGTGAAGGCGCCGGGTCAGGTTCAACGAGGTTCCAGAGAAGGTTCCGAAGGTTCCGGAGAAGGTCGGGGAGGCTTTGGTGCAGAGTCAGGTCAGTTCAACAGGGTTCCGGAGAAGGTTCTGGAGAAGGTTCCGGAAGGTATCGGAGAAGGTTCGGAGAAGGTCGGGGAGGCTTTGGTGCAGAGCCAGGTCAGGTTCAACACGGTTCCGGAGAAGGTTCCGGAGAAGGCCTGGGAGGCTTTGGTGCAAAGCCAGGTCACGTTCAACAGCATTCCGAAGAAGGTTCTGGAGAAGGTTCCGGAAGGTATCGGAGAAGGTTCCGGAGAAGGTCTTGGAGGCTTGTGTGCAGAGCCATGCAGGTCAGGTTCAACAGGGTTCCGGACAAGGTTCCAGAGAAGGTCTGGGAGGCTTTGGTGCAGAGCCATTTCAGGTTCAAGGTTCCAGAGAAGGTTCCGGTGAAGGTCTGGGAGGTTTTGGTGCAGAGCCAGGTCAGGTTCAACAGGGTTCCGGAGAAGGTTCCGGAGAAGGTTCCAGGAAGCTTTGGTGCAACCAAGGCAGGTTCAACGGGTTCCAGCACCTGGCTTGGCAGCACGCTTCAGAAAAGATTTGTAAAAATAAAACGTGTCGGCTGTTGGGGAAATCACCGACGCTTATTTTTTCCAGTCTGGTGGATCTTGGCAAGTGGAGGCAAGCCTTCGTTGACTCTGCTTTACAACAGGAGCAAAATATGTTTTCTTGTAGTGTTGGAAGATGTGAAGAATGGAGATATTCGAAGCCTCCATTCATTGCTGCATTGATTGATTGATATTGCGTTTCTTTGCTTGATTGATGGCTCGATTAATAGCATGATTGCGCTGATTGTTCGGTCGATGAATTGATTGGTGTTAACCCTTATGCAGTTGTTGGAACTCTGCTTCGAAGTTGCCACTCAGGATGGTTGCTACTACCTCTTTGTAAAGGAGCATCTCATGGCGTGGGAGTACAATCTAGTTCTTTGAATGCACCTGATTGGGGTCCTTGTGATTGATTCCCAGCATGCTTGTAGCCTTGTAGATTTCACAATGTCACTCTCTGATTCTTCCAGCTTCGATGTAAGAAAAGTGCCACTGCAGCCAATTACAGGGTGACTAGGTCTGGTATTCGTGTCAACCAAACAGCATACAACATACAATTTTCAGCTCATAAAGCTACAGCTGAAATCGCAAACATAGACAAACAAGGAACATTACCAACATAACCATCCATCTCAAAATTGCAATGACCCTTTCCCCGAGACTCTATACAGTAGTGATTGGCATTGGCATTGGCTTAGTCTTAAGTTCCATCGCCGGAGGCATACTGGGGCGGCTCATGTGGTGTGATCGAAGGCGAAGGTAAGATGGTCGGCAAAGGTCAGATCAACGAGTTGCCTGGCAAAAAAAAATTAAAACTGTGAATTCAGACGATGTTGGAGTCAGAATTAGTCAGAATCCGTCAGCTGAGCTGTTAGTAAAAACAAACTTGCATATATCATATATATATACACAGTTGACATCAATTTACTTTTATATTGCTCCACATGCATGTGAAGGTACCTACCGTGTCCACTTGAACAGATTACACGTGCATCAACACTGCTAGACATCGCTTCTTCCTGTTCCACTAACGAAAAAGAGATGCTTTCTAATGCCTATACCTTTATACAAGTATATACCAGCTACATGCATGTATATGTATGCTGTAACATATAATATTATACAATTATATGCCATGCTTCGTGTGCCATGGGTGCCTTCGAGCTTGGGTGCAGTCACTCGCCTTTCCAAGCGTCTAACGGTTCTAACGCTTGAACAAAACGGCCTGAGCAAACCTGGGAACTTTTTTTACATGTAAAAAAAGTTCCCGGGTGGCTCTTTGGAGTGGCTCTTTGTTTGCTTTTGGTATTTCAGGTTGAAGACCTACGCCATCTCAATTGCTTTGGAGGGCAGTGGTCAACATGACTACACCGAGGAGCAGTATGAAACCTTGATTGATTTGATGAAGGACAACCAGGGATTGGCGGCGCCATCGATTAACACACACAGACACACAAGCATGCCCAGGTTTGGGACGGAGGGATTCCTTGCCAGACTCTTGTGTGTAGGATCCGTAAACAACAACCAACCACTTCACAATGAACAATGGATACAGATGTCAAAAAAACTGTATGTCTACGTACAAATCATTTAATTAACTTTGAGCACCCCCGTATCTCACTTTATCTCATTGAGCTGGACAACAAGAAGAAAATGGAACAAGCATGCCTTTATGAGCTCAGATGTTGGGAAATGTGACTTGGGATGGGCTGCCCGATCTTTTTGCTGGCATGTATCTCAACCAGGTTCAATCAGGTTGATGTCGAAATTGATTGTCCTTTAGGTTTGATGTTGATTCCAGACTACTGAGAGGACTTGAGGGAGAGATGGCAGTTCAAAGCATGGAATGTCTTGTCAGCTGCTGAAGTGATACAGCCGCCTCAAAAACAAGAAGATGCAGAACCAGGGCCGAAGTTCGATTGGCGGCGCTTAACAGAACTTGGGCTGTCCTTAGATGTGGAGGCTGGGAACCTGTTGTGCGAGACAGTGGGTGCAATTGAAAAACGTGGCTGTTGGTGACCATTGTCAGTAATTCTAAGACATCCAAGGATGGTTTCTTTGGTGTACAGACAAAGGGCGCTGCAAGCCCTTGAGAATGGTCACCCTGAATGTGTGAGGTTTTCTGGACACTAAGGGATTGGGGAGGACCATCAAAAAAATATAATTCGCATCAAAAAAATTAATTCATCAAAAAAAATAAATCATCAAAAAGAAACTTACAGAAATGAAAGAAAAGGAAGGAAGGAAGGAAGGAAGGAAGGAAGGGAAGCAGGAAAGGAAGGAATGAAGGAAGGAAGGAGAGAAGGGAAGCAAGAAAGGAAGGAAGGAAGGAAGGAAAGAAGGGAAGCAGGAAAGGAAGGAAGGAATGAAGGAAGGAAGGAAGGAGAGAAAGGAAGCAAGAAAGGAAGGAAAGAAGGGAAGCAGGAAAGGAAGGAAGGAATGAAAGAAGGGAAGCAGGAAAGGAAGGAAGGAAGGAAGGAGAGAAGGGAAGCAAGAAAGGAAGGAAGGAAGGAAGGAAGGAAGGAGAGAAGGGAAGCAGGAAAGGAAGGAAGGAATGAAGGAAGGAAGGAAGGAGAGAAAGGAAGCAAGAAAGGAAGGAAAGAAGGGAAGCAGGAAAGGAAGGAAGGAATGAAAGAAGGGAAGCAAGAAAGGAAGGAAGGAATGAAAGAAGGGAAGCAAGGAAAGGAAGGAAGGAAGGAAAGAAGGGAAGCAAGGAAAGGAAGGAAGGAAAGAAGGTGAATGTGATCAAACTTGTCGTCAAAATTCAAGTGCGTGCTTTGCTGCCATGCTGTGACAAAACCACAAAGGTGGATGATATGGCCCACCATGATGTGGGCGGGGAGGGGGGGCGGGAGGGAAGGGGGAGGTATTCCGGTTCGTAGCTGGGTTTTGTTCTTTTGGTGCTATTGCTGCTTCTAGGGCTATACTAGTCGTACTTTTTAACATCAAGCCAGTGGCCGGGTGGCTTTGTGGGTGCAAATTATCTTATCATGGAGAGATTGGGTGGATGGTATGGCCCACCAACTGCTACGTCGAGTATTACGGTATGACTGCTACCGCTGTATGCAATGACAACGCCACAAAGGTGGATGATAAGGCCCACCTATATTGCGAATGAATGTATCATGACCATGTGACGCTTTGCAAGGGGGAGGCGCTGCGCCCTGTTTTTTTTTTTACTTGAATCCTACGTGGGTACTGCATGAGTATTGAGCATATTTATATACGCTGTCAAGGCTCACGAGAGGTATAGAGTAATCCTGTGGACACCACTCATGTGACGCTTTGCGGGGGGAGGCGCTGCCCCCTCCCGCCTTTTTATTTAACCCCCCCCCCGCGGCTTGTGACAACGCCAGAAAGGTGGATGATAAGGCCCACCTACATTGCAAATGAATGTATCATGACCATGTGACGCTTTGCGGGGGGAGGCGCTCCCCCCGCGCCCCCCTCCCGCCTTTTTATATTTGAAAGCCCCACCCGCGGCTTGTGACAACGCCAGCAAGGTGGATGATAAGGCCCACCTACATTGCGAATGAATGTGTCATGATCATGTGACCCAAGGCATTTCCAGGGGGGGAGGCCAAACATGTGGCTCTTGTTGAGTTACTTTGGTTATAGTTGAAAACACCAAACATACAAAGCGAACCAACCAAGCAACCGAGCAACCGAGCAACTGACCAGCCAACTAGCCACCCAGCCCACATGCTTGGTTTGTTTCTGTGCTGTGACAACGCCACAAAGGTGGATGATACGGCCCACCTATACTGTTCTGTTGGGGGGAGGCGCTGCGCCCTTGTTTTTGTTTTAACTTGAATCCTACGCGGGTACTGCATGAGTATTGAGCATATTTATATACGCTGTCAAGGCTCAAGAGAGGTATAGAGTAATCCTGTAAGGGAAGCATACTTCATCGCGTAGCCGTGCGTTGTTGTGCAAGCTTCCGTATACAGCAGGCCCACCCACCCGTGCCTGGAAAACATGATGGAAAGAATGGTTTTTGTAGCCCATTGGATTCAATGTTGTTTGGCCCAGTGCCTCGTTATTGAACAGCTTGCGAACCAATACGTGTTCCTTGTGCGATGACTCGTACATGTCGGCGTCGACCAAGCCCACCCAACCGTCCCTCCCAAGTATATTCCTTTTTTAATATACTTTTTCTGATAGTAATAATTGTTTTACCGATGACCCCCCCAAAAAAATTAAATCATCAAAAAATAATTTAAACATATTTTTGGATGATGCAATGCACAGATTTCATGATGCTTGTATTTTGCGTTTGGCATGCGCAGGCCAGGATATGAGGGCATAATTTTTTTTGAAGAGTTTAATTGTTTTTTGATGGATTTTTTTTTTGATGACTTTTATTTTTTTTTGATAGCTGACTCAAGGGATTGCTGCTCTCATTTGTGCGAGGAGCGCTTGCAGCCTTCTGACAATTTTGAAGAAAAGGAACTACAAAACAAGATGAAGGAGTGGGGCCGCACGCTCAAATGGGCAGGGAGGGGGTTTGTTTGAAGACCCAGGCGTCTTAGCCTTAGTGGTATGTTATGGTATGTTGCCCTGTTTGGGGTGAGGCATCTCGTCCTAGGCGATAAGAAGGAGTTCAAAAGGAGACGTCGAAAGTTGAAGTGCTTCCTCTCACTTGTTTTCTCCAGCAAAGGTTATGCTTTTGGAATGGACACGGATGAGCACTTTCGGCGACGCTTGAGCGCTTTCCGACAGCGATATCTTCAACATATAGATCTAGGCGATTGCGGTGGGAAGACTCAAGAATCTCAAGAGACAGGGGGAAAACAGTTGCCTTTTTTGAGCTCGCGCTGTAATTGTCCCATCATGCTCCAGGAGGAAGAGTACCATCGTTGGAGTATTGATCCCAAGGCAATAACTTTACAACACGTATACCGTATATAGTATTTTTCCCCAACAGCAAAACTTTGCTATGGGGTCTTTAGCCCAGATGAGCTCTGGTGCGATCCGGTGCAGCTTCAACACCAGGTTCCGGGCAAGGTTCCGGAGGGTTCCGGTGGGTTTCGATGCAGATAGCCGGTGAGGTTACAGAGGGCTCCGATGGAGATACCTTGTGAGGTTCCGGAGGGTTCCGGTGCAGAGACTGTGTTGAGGTTCCGGTGCAGGTACTCGTACTTGGTAAGGCTCCAGAAAGTTCAGGTGCAGGTACCTGGTGAGGTTCCGGAGGGTTTCGGTGCAAATACCTTCTGAGGTTTGGGAGGGTTCCGGTGCAGATACCTGGTGAGGTTCCGCAGGGTTCTGGTGCAGATAGTCGGTGAGGTTCCGGAGCATAAGCATTTAATTTGTTTGGGGCAGAAGCACTTAAACGCAACTTATGATGCACCCATATACTTGTAGATTTACTGGCGGGAGGCGCAGGCACCAACATTTTGAAAATCAATTTAGCTAGCTGCCAGGGAGCGGGGCAGAAGATATGACCAACAATCTGGCAAACTGAACTGCACCGATGCAGGCGCAGAGACCAGGGATAGGTACAGCTTTTCATAGGAATGGTTCGTATCCCCGTGTGCAACATCATTGCATGATTGTATGTGTATGATTGTATGACAATGTGCGCATGATGTCATGATGACGATCATGAGACCATATACAGTTGGTAACAGCGTGTCATCCAAAATGATTGCGCTTGTATCAATCTGTTGGTTGCTTGCCGAAGATCCAAAAGCAATTCTGCTACCTGCAGCAATGAACACATCGACACCCAAGTAGACACCGCGAGCACTTGCACATTGTGTGTGTATAATGCATTCCAGGGCCCTCATTCCTTTACCAGCATACAGCACCATTGCATGGTTGCATGTGTATGATTGTATCTGTATGATTGTAAGACAATGTGCGTATTATGTTATCATGATGATCACAAGACCATATACAGTTAGTAGCAACGTGTAATCCACAGTGGTTGCGTATGTATGAGTTTGTGTTGGTTGCTTGCCGCAGGACCGAGTTATGAACACAAAAGTGTGCAACGAGAACCCTTGAACATTATGTGTTTGTACTATTTTTCATGGGAATGCGTCACATACCTGTGTGCAACACCACGGCATGGTTGCCTGTATGTGTATGATTGTATCTGTATGATTGTATGTGTACGATTGTATGATAATGTGGGCATGATGTCATGATGACGAGCACAAGACCATATACAGTTAGTTTCGTAGCAGCGTGTCATCCAACATGATTACGTCTGTATCAATTTATGTTGGTTGAGATACCTGGTGAGGTTCCGGAGGGTTCCGCTGCAGATACCTGTTGCGGCCCTGGAGGGGTCCGGTGCAGATAGCTGGTCAGCTTCTGGAGGGTTCTTGTGCAGATACCTGTCAAGGTTCCTGGCCCTGGTTCCTCTACCATTGTGCAGCACCATTGCATGCCTGTATATATGTGTATGATTGTATCTGCATGATTGTATGTGTATGATTGTATGGCAATGTGCGCATGATGTCATCGTGAAAATCGCATGACTATGACTACTAGAGTTAGTAACAGCGTACAATCCAACATGACTGCGTATGTAAAAAAATGAAACAACACAGAAACTTTCAAACTGTTGGGGAAATCACCTGAGTTTATTTTTTCGCTTAGGCACATAGAAACGATGTCGTCACGGCCTAGCTGATGAATTCTGCGTCCACTATTATATATATATATATACACGTATGGTATTGTGGATGAACTGACTGATTCTTTCTGATCTTGCCTCAGTCTACTCGCTTCGGTCCCTTTTCGTTAATTACTAGTTTGGGCCACCTGAAGCTGGCAGGGAGGACTTGCGATGACGTTTGGTTTGTTTATCGGAGTTTGTCTGTCGATCTGCCAGTGGAGGTGTGTTCCCGGGCTGCCGCTACTGCTGTGACCCGCCACAACAACAAGAAGAAGCCTACTTGCTTCACGAAGACATTTGCAACAAGAACTCACTACTTTCGGTCCAATAAACCCACCATCAGTCTTAGCACAAGGATGAGCCTTCAAAGAGCTTCAAAGTATAGCTTTGCTGCGCATTCCCTGCGCATGCCCTGCATGCCTTGCAACTGGAGGTGGCGCCACGTTTTCAGGCTACGACACGGCGGGAGTGGAATCCTTACTGCAGAAACTTGGCTGGATACTTCCTTGCCTCAATGTTAACAGATACATACAGATACTGCATGCCCTCGGGGCCTGAGAAAGACAAAAAGATCAGAGCAAAAGAAACATGGGCACGACACACTGCACTACCAAGGCAACGACAGAAGTTGATGGACTTGCCTTGAGACAATGCAAAGCCTGCTAGGTCCATTCCTTGCAAAATCTCTGTTCGCCCGTCTCACAACATGCGCAACTTCTCGGCTCCCAATTCATAAAAACATCGTGGCAGAACCGAATGGAGTAGTCCCACGAACAGCGAGCACTGGAGGTAGCAAGTTTGTTACACAATCCTTGGGTTATCTCAAGGATCCTGCAGAAGTTTCTGAGCGGTTGGAAAGAGAATTTTGCAATATTTAGCATGACTTTGATACTGAGCACCATACCTCGCACAATTCAAACTGCGGACAGCTGGAGATCAACGTGTGTTTTTGAAGTAGGTTCTCCATGCGTGCTTCATTGCTAGCTGCGTATATATAAATCCACGGTATTCCACGGTGCATTTTAGCAGCCGTGCAAAGCTCGCTGTGGCAACAAAAAACGGGGGGAAGAGGGCCTAAGGTGCTATCGTGTGACGTCTTGGACATCAAACATAAGTCACAATCCCATTGAAATCCATTGACATCATTCAATGTCATTGGATGTTCATGGTGGTTTTCCTTGCAGTGATTCCAGAACTCACGAGGCTAACTTATGACAGCGACTCTGGTTGTTGATTGTCTCGTGAAGGCCACTCCGAGACCGATGCGGGAAAACACAGACGGCGCACTGCCAGTGCTTCTTGGCGGCAGAAAGCCGCTGTGCACCGCGCAGGTCCCTAACAAATACAACATTTCTTGCGACATGAACATATAGACGCGTACTGTTTGCTCCCGCTATGTCATAAATAGTCACAACACATTAAACGCCTTCCCCAAAAAGGGCATAGGAGCACTCAAGTACTCTCAGCGATACCTTCCGTGGATCTGTCTTCATGCTTGGTCAGATCGTCAAAGGATTGAGGTGGACTTGCAACTTTCACGCACACATGTATAAATTATAGTATATATTCATACATAAATTTTCCGATCGTCCCAATGACAAGATTTGCACTGGACTGTGTTAAGTGCAGCAATCTACATACCCAGAGCAACACTGTGCGATTTTCATTAGCTTAAGACGCACGGAGAAACTGGCTGTGCGTTGTTAACTATGCTTTTAACACCGCCACATGGGTTGCACAGCCATTGCAATTTTCCGGAGTTTCTTCGTCATGCTGTGCACACAGACAGAAATTTAAATGGCCCGCTTGCCTCTCAGGCCAGCAATTGACAAAACTAAGTGTAAGATACGTTTTTCGTGCATCAAATCAACATTGTCTCACACCGTTGCTTATGTGGAATTTGAATGAATTTGATGGTTTACTTAGTTTACTTGCTTTGTCCTTCATCAGGAATGCCTGGAACACGCCGCCAAATGGAAGCACTCTTCAAAGGACGGGTCAAGTCCCAGAGAGCCAAGGTCAAAAACTGCAATGGCAAGTTGTAGTCCTGACATGTCCTGACTAACTGTAACCAACTGAGAAAAAATGCAGAGGTTTTCAGGTTCAAAAGCCGGACATTGTTCCGAGAATGTGACAACCAATGTGGAGCACGTCTTGAGCACATCTTGAGCACCAGGCCATGGCCCAACCAATCGTTGCCCAGCGGGCACAGCACGAGCTCGGCCTATGGCGCCCATGGAGTTCTGAGTCTCAACGGTCTCAACGGTCTCAACGGTCAGTTGGCGCAGACGGTCAGGGATTCCCAGCCGCTTCAAGGACCTTCCGTTGGGACCAGAGATTATTAATGATTCATGATTATATAAATACAATTACACCGGCATAGACCCCAGATAGAAAAGGTTGGAACTGATGGTTCCCAACGTGGGAACCAAAGGTTACCATGGCAAGGAACTGCCGATTCCCAGACCTTGAAACTTACGGTTCCCAACCTGGGAACCAGAGGTTACCATTGCAAGGAATTGCCGGTTCCCAGAAGTTAGAATTTATGTGTTCGAAGCTAAGCAACTATCATTGTCAGGAACTGCAGATTCCCAAAGTTTGAAACTCATGGTTCCAAACCTGAAAAAGCATATGTTACCAGTGGAAGGATCTGTTGATTCCAAAAAGTTAAAACTCGTGGTTCTTAATGTTGTTTTGTTTTGTTTACTGAGCCGGTAACAGAACCTTTTGTTTTGCTTAATGGACCGGTAGCGGAATGTGTGCGTTCGGCTGCTGGGCCGGCTTAAAAATGTTTTTGCACGAAAAAGGTGCATGTCAAAATGATATGAAAACAGTTTCTTTACAATTTTTTGGTTTTTGCTTAATGGACCGGTAAAGAACGCTTTGTTTTGCTTAATGGACCGGTACCGGAATGTTTGCGTTTGGTTCATGGCAAGGAACTGCCGGTTCCCAAAGGTTGGAACTCACTGTTGCCAACGTGGGAACCACAGGTTACCATTGCAAGGAACTGCCGGTTCCCAGAAGTTGGAACTCCTGGTTCCCAACCTGGGAACCATGGGTTACCATTGCAAGGAACTGCCGGTTCCCAGAGGTTGGAACTCCTGGTTCCCAACCTGGGAACCATGGGTTACCATTGCAAGAAACTGCCGGTTACCAGAGGTTGGAACTCACTGTTGCCAACGTGGGAACCACAGGTTACCATTGCAAGGAACTGCCGGTTCCCAGAAGTTGGAACTCCTGGTTCCCAACCTGGGAACCATGGGTTACCATTGCAAGAAACTGCCGGTTCCCACCTGGGAACCAGAGGTTACCATTGCAAGCAACTGACGGCTCCCAGCGGTTGGAACTCATGCTTCCCAACCTGGGAACCATAGGTTACCATTGCAAAGAACTTCCAATTCCTCAAGGTTGGAACTGATGGTTCCCAACGTGGGAACCAAAGGTTACCATGGCAAGGAACTGTCGGTTCCCAGACCTTGAAACTTACGGTTCCCAACCTGGGAACCAGAGGTTACTATTGCAAGGAATTGCCGGTTCCCAGAAATTAGAATTTATGTTTTCGAAGCTAAGCGGCTATCATTGTAAGGAACTGCGGGTTCCCATAGCTTGAAACTCATGGTTCCAAGGCTGCAAAAGTAACGTTACCAGTGGAAGGATCTGTTGATTGCAAAAAGTTAAAACTCATGGTTCTTAATGTTGTTTTGTTTTGTTTACTGAGCCGGCAACAGAACCTTTTGTTTTGCTTAATGGACCGGTAGCGGAATGTTTGCGTTCGGCTGCTGGGCCGGCATAAAAATGTTTTTGCACGAAAAAGGTGCATGTTAAAATGATAGGAAAAAATTTCTTTACAACTTTTTATGGTTTTGCTTAATGGACCGGTACAGAACGCTTTGTTTTGCTTAATGGACCGGTACCGGAATGTTTGCGTTTGGTTCATGGCAAGGAACTGCCGGTTCACAAAGGTTGGAACTCACTGTTGCCAACGTGGGAACCACAGGTTACCATTGCAAGGAACTGCCGGTTCCCACAAGTTAGAAGTCATGGTTCCCAACCTGGGAACCAGAGGTTACCATTGCAAGCAACTGCCGGTTACCAGAGGTTGGAACTCATGCTTCCCAACCTGGGAACCATAGGTTACCATTGCAAAGAACTTCCAATTCCTAAAGGTTGGAACTGATGGTTCCCAACGTGGGAACCAAAGGTTACCATGGCAAGGAACTGCCGGTTCCCAGACCTTGAACTTACGGTTCCCAACCTGGGAACCAGAGGTTCCCATTGCAAGGAATTGCCGGTTCCCAGAAGTTAGAATTTATGTGTTCGAAGCTAAGCGGCTATCATTGTAAGGAACTGCGGGTTCCCATAGCTTGAAACTCATGGTTCCAAGCCTGAAAAAGTAACGTTACCAGTGGAAGGACCTGTTGATTGCAAACAGTTAGAACTCATGGTGCTTAATGTTGTTTTGTTTCGTTCACTGAGCCGGTAACAGAACCTTTTGTTTTGCTTAATGGACCGGTAGCGGAATGTTTGCGTTCAGCTGCTGGGCCGGCATAAAAATGTTTTTGCACGAAAAAGGTGCATGTCAAAATGATATGAAAACAGTTTCTTTACAACTTTATGGTTTTGCTTAATGGACCGGTAAAGAACGCTTTGTTTTGCTTAATGGACCGGTACCGGAATGTTTGCGTTTGGTTCATGGCAAGGAACTGCCGGTTTCCAAAGGTTGGAACTCACGGTTGCCAACGTGGGAACCACAGGTTACCATTGCAAGGAACTGCCGGTTCCCAGAGGTTGGAACTCCTGGTTCCCAACCTGGGAACCATGGGTTACCATTGCAAGAAACTGCCGGTTACCAGAGGTTGGAACTGATGGTTCCCAACGTGGGAACCAAAGCACAGCACGGTGCAAAGCACCCTGCACAGCACTTCACAGCACCCTTCACACCACCCTGCACAGCACCTTTGCGAGACTTCGCCACCGCAGTCTGGATAGCGCACCTTTGCCAGACTTCGCCACCGCAGTCTGGACAGCACCCTGCACAGCACCCTGCACAGCACCCTGCACAGCACCTGCACAGCACCCTGCACAGCACCCTGCACAGCACACCTGCACAGCACCCTGCACAGCACCCTGCACAGCACCTTTGCCAGACTTCGCCACCGCAGTCTGGCACAGCACCCTGCACAGCACCTTTGCCAGACTTCGCCACCGCAGTCTGGACAGCACCCTGCACAGCACCCTGCACAGCACCTTTGCCAGACTTCGCCACCGCACTCTGGACAACACCCTGCAGAGCACCCTGCACAGCACCCTGCACAGCACACCTGCACAGCACCCTGCACAGCACCCTGCACAGCACCTTTGCCAGACTTCGCCACCGCAGTCTGGACAGCACCCTGCACAGCACCCTGCGCAGCACCCTGCCCAGCACCCTGCACAGCACCCTGCACAGCACCCTGCACAGCACCTTTGCCAGACTTCGCCACTGCAGTCTGGACAGCACCGTGCACACCACCTTTGCCAGACTTCGCCACCGCAGTCTGGACAGCACCCGGCACAGCACCCTGCACAGCACCCTGCACAGCACCCTGCACAGCACGTTTGCCAGACTTCGCCACCGCAGTCTGGACAGCACCCTGCACAGCACCCTGCACAGCACCCTGCACAGCACCTTTGCCAGACTTCGCCACCGCAGTCTGGACACCACCCTGCACAGCACCCTGCACAGCACCTTTGCTAGACTTCGCCACCGCAGTCTGGACAGCCCTGCACAGCACCCTGCACAGCACCCTGCACAGCACCCTGCACAGCACCCTGCACAGCACCTTTGCCCCACCGCACTCTGGACAACACCCTGCAGAGCACCCTGACAGCACCCTGCACAGCACCTTTGCCAGACTTCGCCACTGCAGTCTGGACAACACCGTGCACAGCCCCTGCACAGCACCCTGCACAGCACCTTTGCCAGACTTCGCCACCGCAGTCTGCACAGCACCCTGCACAGCGCCCTGCACAGCACCCTGCACAGCACCCTGCACAGCACCCTGCACAGCACCTTTGCCAGACTTCGCCAGACTTCGCCACCGCAGTCTGGACAGCACCATGCACAGCACCCTGCACAGCACCTTTGCCAGACTTCGCCACCGCAGTCTGGACAGCACCTTGCACAGCACCCTGCACAACACCTTTGCCAGACTTCGCCACCGCAGTCTGGACAGCGTCCTGCACAGCACCCTGCACAGCACCTTTGCCAGACTTCGCCACCGCACTAGTACAGCACCCTGCACAGCACCCTGCACAGCACCCTGCACAGCACCCTGCTCAAAAGTTCGCCACCGAAGACCCCACCTTTGAGAAGTAAGAACCCCTATAGCTTGCCAGCTATAATATGATTATTATTCATTCTCGGATTCCTGCTCACTTTCTTCGCAGTAATTGTGAGGCAGACCGGTTCTCTTTACCTGCTTACTTGGCTTCCAATCATTTGGATGTGTGGGTCACTGGTTCATACATGTACAGTATAGCTTTCAAACCACGAAAGCAAACCCGTGGCAAACTTGGGAATATCAATATAATATGCTTTGTTGATCTTTGTTGAAGGAGTTGGGCAGAGTATGAAGGTGTTTGAAGATCTTCGGTCACTGAACGAATTGAGATCGAACAACTTCCGGTGTCCGAGGCAGTCACTGTCAAACAGAGAGCTGCTTCCAGCTCGCCGGTGAGACGTTCTGGATCCCAATTTGTTGGTTTGATCCGGGTGCGAAGCACACTTAAAAGCGAGAAGCCACTCTAGCGTCTACCCAGGGTTCGTACTTTCGAAATGCCAAGAAGAACCAAGCAGTGGCACTCCAAGAAGTAGCTTCCATTGCAGGTCCTTGAAAACATATTGGAAAATATATGAAAAAATAACATAGCCGACATAGCCCCTACGTCAGAGTGTGCTACTCGTACTGAGGCTTCGTCCAGCCGCCAGTGTTACAGTCACCGGTCATTTTTGGAAGGCGGTTTCTTTTGTCAAATTTGAGACGGCAGTTGCTGTGTGCAAAGTTTTTCCTTTAAAGTACAACAGTTTCAAAGAGTTCTGTCAGAATTCATGTGCAATGTACGTCTCAGCACAGGCATACTGACTAGCTCTAGGTATTGTTCTGTGGGCTGTGGCTGGTCCCAGATGTGGTAAGGGCGCAAACCACAAGTCTTCTCACCATTTTTCAATTCTCGCATTGTGGAATGACCAGATCGGAAATTGCTTGAAGTCTTAAAAGTAGCCTCCTTTAGATCAAGTCACAAAAGTCCCTTAATCTGCGAGGTGATGCTCGCAGAACCAAGCAGCGGCAGATCACGCTGTGCGACGGAAATGGCTGGTCAAGCAGGAAGGAGAGGCCGCACGAGGCAAGTGGAGCGGCTGACAGTGACTGAGATAATAAACTGCTAGAGTGCTCCTTCAACTCTCGTCATGAATCCTGCTTCATTCAGCAAAGCCACAGCTTATGATCTTGTCATTTTGAGCATTCAGGATTACCCAATATGCTCAGTGCCTCTGGATTGTGTGTCTGCAAGCGCTTGGTGGACGATTTTCTTCCCGCGGCCTCTACACCCAGAGATAAAACAGGATAGAACCCATCAAGAAGGGTTTAATCTGCCAACAGTTCTATATTTAGATATGAATTCTCGAATGCTATTCGTATAAACTTTTGTCGGTAGTAGGTAGTTCTGCGTTTGATTCAGTCAACGATACTGGCCCTGCGCCGATGTGTTCTCCACAGCCAGCTTTGCCCGAAGGCTGAAGAATTTTCGAAGCTTCCATCATTTTCAAGAGACAGTCATCAGTCATGAGTGACATCTCGCCACGGTGCGGAAAAAGGCCAGCTTCTTCACAGCCTTGTGCTACAACCATGTTTCCAGAAGTTGCGCCGTATATAGAATGTTTGAACATTTTTGAACGACCTGTACATAACTTGCAGGACTGGTGACACCACTTTCAAATCTTAATTTCAACTTTCAGCTTGGCTCAATAGACCGCCCCTATGGCAGGTTGGTCATGACAGTCATGACAACTCATGAGAGTTGAATTGCAACGACAAGGCATGCAACCTGAATGCATATGATATGTCAACACTATGACGTAGCAAATACTAAGGAGTACTGGCTGACAAGCTCCTGTTTGCACCCCATGGACTCAACAAAGACCTTAGGTTTCTGGTTCTCTTCGATTTGTGATTTATGTGCACATGCAGGAAAGACACCGTTCTTTTGGAGTTTCTATGCGCAAAATTGCACATCAGTTTTGAGTAGATGGATCGTTTGATCCAGCCATCCACTGTTTTGTCACTGCCTGAGAAACGATTCTTGTGGCAAGCGGGAAGGCAGATGGGCTCACTCATAGGAATTAAGAACAGAACCAGCAGTGGAGCATGCAACATCATGCAACTATGAATTGGAGAACAAAGTGGAAAAAAGTAAACAGGGTTGCGAGAATCTCCTGGCTGGTTGTCTTACAGTGTCCCAGTTTGAAGTGGTCCAAGTCCAAGTCCAAGTAATCATTTGGATTCATGTGGATGGAAGGCCACCCACAGGCTGACTCCCGAAGCCCATTGTCTGGTGAATTCTCCTCGGAAGATTCCAAGGCACAAAATGCCCAGCATAGCTGTTGTATGTTTTTGCTGGTTTTCATCAATGTTGGGTGTTCCAGATCCGACCAAATCCAGCAAGTTTGTAAAAGAACTCAGGACAGGACTCCAGGACCCATTGATGGACAGAAATCATCAGAAATCTAAGGGGTTGAGTCTGGCTGAGGTTACAGCGATATGCCGGGAATCTCAGCGATTCACGCACCTTTGGGCCCCTCACCTTCGCCTTAGCCTGCCGAGTTTATGGCATGTCCTAAAACGTGGTGGCGCCTCTAAGGGGCCGTGCGTTTGTGAATGTTGTGGATTCATGGCGATTTTGAGAGTCACCAAAAAATGGTGGTTTCGGAGGATTTCATTTGCAATCGATGTTAGAAAAACATGCAAAACCTCTCCAAGGGTTTGCTTAGAAGTGTTTTTCGACAACTCCTCCAACAATTCGCGCGCTTGTTTCACGTCTTTCTGGCAGGTCATTTTTTTTGCCATATTTGAGTATCATGTTATATATGTATAATATATATATATTTATTATAGAATTATATATAAACGTAGCTGGAACTTGTATGAAAAGTACAAGATAAGTTATCATGACGTAGCACTAACTCTATGTGACGTAGCATCAAGTAGTTTTTTTAGGGATGTTATTGCCCCAACCCACCCCACCCAACCACCCCACCCCAAGCGTATGACGTATCAAAAGGGAAAAATGGGAAAAGTATATAATCTAGCGTGCAGAGGATGTGGAAATGCAACAGAAGTTCTTATGACGTAGCATCACGTTACTTTTGCAAGTGCAAGGACGTTATTGCCCCAACCCAACCCACCCAACCCACCACACCCAACCAACCCCACCCCAACATGAAGCAATTAGAAAAAACGTAGACGGACAGAAACACAAACAAGGCAGGGGAGTAAAAAGTACACAAACGCACGGCCCCTTACAGGCGCCGCCACCTAAATCCTGGGAAAGAACTTCAGCAGATCGCCTGCTCCTGTTTTTCCCAGCATATTTTATATCGGCCTCGACAAACTTGGCAAACGACACGGTGAGCTGAAGGGTCGCAGTTCGACCTCACTTGTTGCCAATACACAAGACATGTATAAAGAGATTGAGATTGATTTGCACACATTTGCGCCAGCTTGGATACTTGATACGTTGACTCGACATGCGTGCAGGAATAGGTTTTGTGGCAAGAGATCAAAGACCAGCGTTCGTCCCGGGTTCGTCCCGGCTGGGATGGACCACTGGACCACTGATTTTGCTTCACTTTGATTCACTTTCACCGGGTTCACTGCCTTGCTTGTAACGCCGCAAAGTGAGAAGCTGAGGTACCAGGTGAGATGGCAACATCGGGATCCACCTGATGAAGGCCTTCCATCAGAGTCGGTTTCCTCAAGTGGCTTGTGGATCTTGCGGATTAGAGATGACTGGAGACTGGAGATGAGTCGAGATGGCTAGAGGGGATGACTGGAACGCATTTTCGGCTCAAAAGGCTTTGCTTTCCGGAAACCATAAATCGCGGAACAAGAACACAAGGGCTTGTCCAAAAAAAATCTGAGAGTCAGGTCTGATTGTGCAACTTTGAACAAGACTCCAATTCCATCCAATTCCCAAGTGCCACCCAACGTGCTCCAAGGCAAAGAGTTGGCACCGTTGGCAAATCGGTGAAACTGAAAACCAACTGTTTCAGGACTCGTTGGTGCTCCCAAAAATATTTATGGTTCTGGTCTACAGTTTACAGAAACGCTTGTACAGAAAATGCTCCGAACATAGCATTGCTGCAGGTCGTTGCATTCTTTTCATTTAGCTGCGTGGACATCGCAAGCTCATGACAGAGAAGATGTATATATATATAAAATAAAACATATTCTAAGCTAAATTAATGATGTAGTATAGCAGTTTCTTTTAGCACTTATCAAGTTCGATCTCACTGCGGTGCTGAGTTTCAGACCTGCTTTCTCGTGCCTGCCGCTTTGAATGGCACGCAGGATCAATTGGAACGATGACTGTGATGTGCATCAATACCAATATGAATTGTGCAGCTCCAAGGAATTTCCTGACGAATGTTGACAAATCTGACACAAAATATGACAAAGAAATATGACAAAAAAAAGGACAAATTGACAAATTCTGATTGCAAGTGAATATGACAAATTGCAAGTGATCAAGCACGGGTGGTTCATCATGGTTCATCTCCTCAGGCCGAACCCTGAAGCCACTCGAGAGGAGGAGGGGGAAGGGCAACATGTGGCGGAGATAAATCCAAGACAGTGCCTGTAGTGCCTGTAGTGCCTGTCAACACTGTCACCACACAGGTTACACAAGGACATCGCCCTTACCCTGCAACCTGGGTTCATTGGTCCAGGAGCGGAAGATGGTAGAAGAGGCGCTCGAATTTGTTTGATCAACTGATCGTGTAGTGATTTAAATCCTGAATGGACCAATGGATGTCTTTGCAGTATTGCTCAGAAGCACCAGAAGGCTAAAGATGTTGTTGAAAAGCAGAAGTAACACGTGACAACCGAGTACAACACAACACAAGAATACACATATCTCATCGTATTTGTTCCCATGACTTGACTGTCCGCTGCCATCTTGTGATATGTTTCAGGTTTGGAACGGTTTGAAGACGACTCTGGAGCATTTTGTTGTGCGACGCTGCGACCTCATATCGTCCGGTGAAAGATGTCGACCTTTCGGACGCAAATGGCAATGGCAACTTCGGTTCAGGCTTTCAAAATTGTTTTCAACTTTGAACTGCTTTATGATCTGTTTTATAAACTGTCAAAGTGCGCAGATCGAAAGAGAAACTCCAAAAAACGTGGCCAACGAACGACGCTTTATAACTGCAGTGGCCACCCAGGTCCTGGCCTCATTTTCTCACCAAAGCTGGTGCCAGACTTCCGCGTCCCTTTGAAATCAGGCCATGACCTGTTTGATCCTGTCTGCTGAATTCCTCAGTAGCAGTCAGCACTCAGCTGCTTTAGATTCTGGCCATGCCGGAAGAGATGTGCTTTGCATACGGGACCCAAAGACTTGGCCGTGCTTTGGCATGGCATGGCTATTGCTTGATTCTTGTTTCCTTCTTTTGGTGCCACATTATAGGGACAAAATGGGACACCCAGACCCCGTGTGGTACTGTGGTACACTTTACACGCTCTGGCCCCTGAGACGATGATTTCGACAGGTGGCGAAGTCAAAATCTCTTTCGTAGCCAGAACACCTGGGGACCAGGCCCTTTGCGGCGAGCCAGAGCCAGAGTGGGCAAAATTTGATGATGCATCATGCTTGGCCTTGGATGCTTCATCATGCTTCATCAACCTTGAAACTTCGGAAACTTCACCAACTTCCAACTTTTGGTCACATAGCCTTGGATGTCCCATGTTTCCTGCCTTGGATGATCCTTGGATGTTGAGCCATGTTTCCTTCTGCCTGCAGATCAATGCTGGGCTTCTGGGTCCAGCTGCAGTAGTTGGGCAGCATATCGCGGCTTAGCTTCAATTTATGACCTCAGGGAATGCATGTCACCGTTTAGTATCTTGAACATGGGAGCTGGCAGGAAGTTCCGCTACAGACATCAGTTTCCTTCTGCAGAGATTAATGGAGCGTCCTGTACTAGTATACTGTACTAGTACTGTATAATTCAGTATCAAAGTCAGCTGGCAAAGAAAATGAAGACGTGGCTCGTGCAGCGGACAGCTGGTACCGACTCTGTCCAAATGATGAAGCAGTGACAAACCGGCAAACCCCAAGCCCTTCAGCTCACAGGACCAGCCATGAGAGCCATGAAGATGTCTTTAAAATTCTTTGAAACATTGAGATGAATTGAGATGGGACACGGAATTTAGAGTACTTTGGGTCCATGCGATGGTATGAGGTCAACAAGTTGGCGCAGCCTTTCAAGATTCAAAAGGCGCAACGCCATGTGTATGCCAAAAGGATCTTGCAACAGTCAAGCCATGGCTTTTACCACACTAATTATTGTCATTTATTGTCGGTATAGACTTTGTGATTCCAGCCCTGGCCCAGCTTCAAGATCCACTTTGTGAACACTTGGTGTTGCCCAACACCTCGGATCTCTTCTCTTGACAGGTTGGAAAGCGGTACTACAGCAACTGCCCTCAGGTCCGCAGAGCTTGGGAACGGGCTTCGATTGACACGCTGTGCAATGTCATTTTGATTTGCCATAATTTGGATCCCAAGTCCTTTTGGCAGTGTGGATTTGGCTTGTATCGCCTTATGGCTTTTGTTGATGCAACAGGTTTCTTCCTTGGAAAAGGACATGTTTGGTCAAAGTGATTGCTTCACCAGTCTCTAAGATTTTGCAGAATTGAAAGAACATGTCAAACCGTCAAACCTTCTAATTTGTTGCATCTGCGAAGCTCACTGAGCCTTGCTGGGAGGCGAACACCGGAAAACAAGTCTTTATCAATGGCTATTGTGTCGTGGCCCTCAGCGGAAGCAAAGACTTCCATTCAGCGCTGCATAATTCTACTGCTACAGGGACATAGAGATGGCACTCGGACATGTAAAAATATGTAAATATATATATAATATTATTAACCATAAACATTGTGGCTTCTGCCGCACACGAGAACTTTCCTGGAGCACTTGAAAGTCTGTAAGCGGCGTCAAGGGTTTAGAAACTGTTCTTCTGAACTTTGAAGACCTCGGGCCTAGGGAACTATGCTTGGATTCATACAGACATTTCTCAGTCCTCGGACATGATTTGCATAATATGGTGTCGTGGTATGTTGTTGTCCAGTTGTTTCATGCCTTCTGGTGCGCGGCTTGAGGTGAACATGCTGAATGTTACTTCAGCTGGACCACTTTTGCAGCTGGATGTGTACGCTTTGACACGTTTCGCAGAAGTCAGAACTTTGCGGCGGTTGGATGACTTGGCAATACTTGGCAGACATTTTTACCAGTCATTCTTACCATGCTTCAGATGCAGGCTTCAGGTCTTGGCGTGTCCTCCAAATTCATTTTGACGTGGCTTGAGCAGCTCTAGCTGGATGCAATTTCGCCAGGGTGCACCGGCCTCTGAGCCAGAAGTCGATGATCGAGGTTCTCAGGGAGATTTGTGAAGGCCGCACCGGAATGATGAATCCAGTTGATTGGTTCCTGGCTAAGTACTAGTACCAATACGAAGTTCTGCTCAAAGAGGCGAGCAAAGACAAAATAAGCAGTTAGTTGATGTTAGTTGTATAATTCAGGCAACTTGCCTTTCAACTGCCACAATGACTCTTTCCCAGTGCCAGGCTTCATTTTCTTTTGCAAAGCTATACTAAACCATACTGCCCTACCACTGCAACCCAAGCTTCTGGAAGTTCACTAGTAACAGCGTGGCATCCTAATCCGAGCTGATTCAAACCACACGGGTTGCCTCGGCAGACAGGCAACGAAAGCGATGTTTGGGCCTGGACCCAAACATATCCCAAACATATCTTGAAAATCTTGAAGATTTTTCAGAATTTCTTCACGTCTTCACGGGGGTTTGTGGCATCCAACGAAAAAAAACCGTGTTTGAGGCAACACAAAAGTGCAGTGTTCTGTACAGATCCCATCGCATTGCAACTCGAAACAGCAAGGCATTTCAGAAAGACCCAGATGTAGCGGCTGAGTGGAAGCGATTTTGTGTGCGCCCTGCCTTTGTAGCTGTGGGATGTCGAAAGACCAAGGGCAATGCAGGATCCTAGCAGTGCCTAGCAGGGCCATGAGCTAATTCTTGTGTGGTCTCCATAGATAGAAGGAATAGATTTTGTGAAGCAGATGAGACCGATGAGATTCTCAGCTCATTGCTGTCTCTATTTGCAAAAGATGGCCAAAAAATGCTCGGGCACCGATGCATTTGCTGAAGAATGCCGAGTAAGAACGATTGTGCCAGGAAAACGCGACGGTGGTTACCCAATACAACGCCCGAGTCTACAGGAGCCAAGGGTGAAAGCGTGAGAGTGGCACACGAGTCACAAAGTTGAACCTATATTCATTGTCAAAGCACCTTCAACACAGACATTTTTTTATTTATTTTTTACTGTCAGTGGGTGACAATCAGACGAGGAAGGCATCCGGTACAGTAGCGACAGAATCCACTGAGCCGTGAGGATCAAAGCCGTGCACTTTGACAAGACTCCAGCTGATGAGCGAGGGAGCTCAGCTCTCCGAAAAGACAATGCATTTTATGTTACATTTATACAATTATTGACACACACAATATATATACATGTAGATGCATACGTATATATATATATAATATGTTGTATATTGCAGCAGAGCACTCAGCCGTTGGAGAATTGGTAACAGGCCAAGTAACATGCTGATGCGTTAAGAGATGCGGGCAGACTCAACAAGGATTTTGGTGACTACATTAGATTGTTGACAGAAAGCTTCAGGAACTCTTACGCACGTGATTGGTCGTGCAGCATGCGCTCAAGATACTGTACACGATACTTTAATTTCTGTTATACTGCTCTGCAACTTCACTGAAGTTCGAAAGCAAAGTCACACAGAAGCACATCAAATGGCATTTACAGTATCAGTGATTTTTATTTAGGGACTTACCAAGTCTACTTGATCGCATAGCGCAGCAGCACTCCTGCAGCTTGAATCAGACTCACTGAGGTTCACAATGTACCAGCGAGAAGCGAAACAGTATGCCAAGATCACATATCTGAAGTACATCGAGGTTGGGACTTTGAGACGCTTGAGAAAAGCAGCGTTGACTTGTCCTTTCCTCTCCACAAGTGCCGCGTAAGACAGATGAAGACAATAGCATTCACCGATGCTGTTGGTGAGAACTTGCCACCATGTATGAGGATGCAAACACGCATGCGAGATTGCTCACATACAATACATACAACATGGAAAGGTGTTCACCAATGGCTGTTCAGTCTGACATGCAGGCGTTCTACAGCATCCCTCCAAAGTTTTCCAACCAGCCCCTGCTGGAAGCATTCCCAGAGAAGGTGCCACTTGGGGCCATCGGTCCCAAGCTTTGCAGTTGGATTATCTATGGATCATTCGTTGTTGGTATTGGGGTGACCACCACATGTGCAGCACAGTCTTGGTCTACTCCTCTCATACCATTTTTGTAGTGCCCGTCTAACACATGCCTGCACATAGATGGAACTTTTGTGAAGGACAGCACGCTACAGCAATTGAGAAGGATGCCTTTCGATGCATTTTCACGGCATTCCAAATGCAACACCTGCAGCTGGAGGAAACAGAAAAGGTCTTCCTTTTGCCTGAGCTCTGCGTCCAGACAGGTCGCAACCGGACTTCTATTCCAAACCGCATTTGCCAATAGCAAGTCGGTGTGTGCGAATTTTGCAGTAGTTTAATTGCTCCAGATGATGCGAGACCTGTGGGCAAGGAGTTAGCACCATCTATTCATAATTTCTAATTATATATCTTTCATAGGCGATGCAAGCTTTTAAGTAAACTGATAGTTTGCCCGCTTTGGTTACCGTGAAAGAAGTTGCGGACTAGGACAGTCCCTTTGGCCCGCACGTGGTCCTGTTGTCAATGTTTGGGCTTGGAATCACATTTGTGGAAGGCATCACTGAAGAGATACGCAAGGAGTGTGGTTGCTGTATGGGCACTTCCCTCAAACTTCATACACCAATAATAATAATAATATTACACCAATAGTATATCGGGTTAATTTCCTTCCAATTGAAGACATTGAAGATGCTGTTTGGATATGTTTGGACACATATTGGCTACTGTGCGCCGTTTGCCGTCTTGGTGTTGGCAGTTAGTTTTGACGAGTTATGCTCAGATGCTTCCCACCAAAAGGTCCAAAACAGAGTGTGTTCTCAGGCTTTGAAGCGGCTTTAGGTTGAAGGTATTCACCTTGCCACAGCGCTTGGGTCACAGTTGCAATCGGGTCAGATTGGTATGCCGCATTGCCAGAAGATGTGGTGTGAAGGGTGCATGTAGAAAGCAATTTACCCTCACGCTTCGAACATGATGACTAGATTACAGTATGACTAGAACATCATCGTAGGCTTGCCGCAGATTGGCTTTTCAAACGCGAGGGCGGTTCATAACTGTGCACATTTCCACACTTTGTCGGCCACTGACAGCTACGATGGGACTGTTGCGAGGAGAAAAATACAATGTCGGAAGCACTGAAGAGCATAAAAGCTGCGCCGCAGGCAGATGGAAACTATGGGTGATAGCTGATAACATTCTTCCGGCAATTTCGCTGTTGGGAGTGTAGAACGAGAAGCAGTAACATTTGAGGTGTATCTTTAAGAGTCTGTGAACATTTTTAAGAGATGTGTTCTGAACAAAGACTGGAAACTAGAAGGCAACTAGAAGTTTATATACAGCAAGTTTTGATCGCCTGCAGACTGACAGACCAATCCTGACTTTGAACAAACAAAGCAACTTTGAGGGCCCCGTGGGTGAAGGTCGGTCAAGGTCCGGTGAAGGTTGTCAAATGTTGACATCACACGTTGACAATCTCTGCAATTTTTTATGGATGACATGGTGTACCTATGTGTACCTCTTTTCCTGGCAAGTTCTAGTCTGCACGAAGCTTGCGGATCATGATCAACAGTGGCTTTTGGTCCCAGGAGCGCCTAAATGCCATCATTGCAGGTGCAACTGCAGGGCGACTCAGTTTTGGGAACAGCCTAGTGAAATGCAGTGAGGGCAGTAGGCACCCTTTTTGTTTGCAAACTCAGCCTGATCCAAATTCCATACTTCGTTCTCTGCGTGATGGAATGGACCGCGCAAACTTTGTAGATGCTCGGATATTTTTGAGTTGGTGAGACTTTGGAAAAGTCGTGGCATGGAAGCATCCCGAGGACATGCAGAAAGATACGCTTCCTTCCTCAACTGCCGTCAAGGTTGGCTGGGGCTGCAACACACAGATATGACGGAGCCTCACACAGAGATGCATGTTTCTGTTTGTCTTTGAACAAATCTATGCTCATGGTATGTAGAGTGTGTTTGTAGAGTGTCTATGCAGCTTGAGGGATTATGACCTTAACTTGCTGTTGTTTCTGTTGTTGCTATTTCAATGTCGTGTGACCATGGTAACGGTAGCGATTGTAGCGGGACTGGCAGCATCCAATGTGATGGTTGTCATTGTGGTCCTGTGCCTTTGCTCGAGTTGTGTCTCAAGTGTTAGACCCTATCTGGTTGCCCACACACTTCTTCTTGAAGTTGGACTTTCTCATCTTTCTCATCTTTCTCATTGGATTTTTGTTTTGTATAGGAACCCAAACTCGGTCACGTGGCCAGATGTTATGATGCCAATCTTAACATTTCTTAGACACACGGGAATTGTGCTTTTTTTTGTTTTGAATTTGCATCCATGCAACGGTAGTTGTGATAGTATTTAATGCTGCTACGAAGAAATCTTTGAGTTCTTGACATTTCTCAACCAGGCCTGGGGCTGTTCTTTGAACACAGAGCCTGTGGAGGCTGCGGTGCTTGTCTCTTGTCGCTGCTCAATATAGGCAGAATAGAAGATTCAATAGATCACGGCAGCCTCTCACGCCGTGGACGTTTAATTTCCACTAGAAGTAGCTCATGTAGTGATTAACCTGCACAGCGCATACCTGCGCTTTGTACACGTTTTGTTCCTGTGGTGCGGTGCCAGGTGAATGGCCGTGTGTTGGAACCACTGCAGGTGCGGGACAATGGATAGCTCGTCAGTTTCTAGACTCATTAGACTCATTGAATAAGAGCTGTGTCTTACACAGCCATGTTGTTCAGTTTTAAAGGTATTGCTGTGCACAAGTCCCAACTCATTCATATGGGTCATCGCCAGATATCCACATTTATCTTTTGCATGCAAAGCTAGATGAACTAGGACTGGCTTGTAGGGATATCATTGCTCCGCATTTGAAGCAAATTTACTGAGTGCAAAATGGTTGTGTCGGATAATATTGATGATTGGTTGCTTGAGGTTGTGGGCTGTATTGAACCCATTGCCGGCCCATTGCCCACCTTGACCTTCACTGGTCCAAGCGATTTGTGGAAAGAAAGGTTGCATTTCAAGAGAAGAAGGTCTATCCCGTGGAGGAGATTCAGGGAATGGATATGCGACGCATGAAGTAAGCATGCTCTCCCTCTGTGACCACTCAACCTAACCGACCTACAAAGGGTTTGCATGTGCCTGGCTGCAGTTCGCTTGCGGAGCAGGTTTGCTTCGTGCGTCTGCCTGTGTCAAGTTAGAAGTTGAACAACAAATGTCAACTCCAAATGGACATGCACGTGTCCCACCCCATGGGTAGCTGTGTGCGTTTGCGTGTGTTGAGTTGCAAGCTGAACAAGTGTCAACTCTGAATGGATCGGCATGAGCAATGCACAGCGGCACAGCATGATTTGGTCAACTGAATTCAGCCCTCTCGTCCACAGCGACACTTGCCAGGACGGTAACTTCACCAAACTCCTGCGGAATGGCCTGCAGACTGGACCTGAGTAAAGTCACTCTCTACAAGACATTATCAAACTCTCTGTATCTCACGAGAATCTTTTTTTTGTATTCTGAAAGATCCAGCATACAAAAAATGGTAAGAGCAATTGCATGGTAATTCCTGTAGGATAAACCGATGGGCGTTTCGGGTCTTGAGCGCACGCATTGAAGTGAGGGAACTGAATTGACATCCATATACAGGGAACCTGTACTACATCCGTTCGGTGAGCTTGATTTGTGGCATTCCAATGGAAACAGAGGCTAGAACAAATCTGCACATCAGATTTTTCTGTCAGCTTTGGTTATGCACCTTCACCTCTCTGCTCCCTCTGAGATGTCGTTAACACAGATATTCTGGACATTCACGATCGTGTCACACATTCCTTGCGCCTTAGATGTAGTTGCCTGTAGTTTGTTTCATTGTTGTTATTGTGCGCCTATGTGGCTCTATAGACTCTATAGCCTTCAACCTGCAGACCGTCAGTAATATAGAATGTGAACCATCCCATCACACAATAATGATTCAACCTTAGATGACACTTAGATGTGTGTAAGGAAAAACAAACAAGTTGGAAGGGATTTTGTTCAAACTTCAGTGCCGGGCCAGTGCCTTTCATTGAGTTGCTGTGATTTATGCGATTGCTGCTGCTTGTTCATTTGCTTGGATAGGTTAGCTACATGCTAGCTACCATTGCTGGGTATATCGTAGCGTTCTTGATGCTTTTAGGTGTGCTGTGAAGTTGGATGATTGGTCAGCGTCTTAGAAACCCAGGGTTGGGTGGACATGTCAAGTTTCAACGCATTTCTGTTGCGATTGACAATCAACAAGAAGGCCCAAAATCATATTGATGCTGGGCGTACTAGGGAAATTTGGTATTGAGCATTCTGGTTCTGCGACAGGTTGAGCTAACATAGTGATGATGATGACTTTCTGTTCTGCCTCAAGATGAAAGGGTTAGCCAGATAGGATAGGGCTTGAGGGGGTTGGCTTGTTTTGCAATGAATTGCAAGCAGCTGATTGGGGCTTTCCTTTGTTTTTGGAGGGAAATAACATGTTACATCGTTGATTTTGAAATTCTGGTTGAACGTACATGAGACCTGATTTGATGAGTTGGGCCGTACTCTACTGATGATGTGGCTAGTGACAAGATGCCTCAAACGTTGATGTTGCTGTCACCATGGTAGACTATGGCAATTTCACCTGGTCGCAATATGATGTTGTACTTGAATTGTGATATTCTGAAGTTTGAGCCACTTGATGCGAAGCACAAAATAAGCTTTTCGGCTCTCTGTGAAAGATGACAGGATTCTGATGTACCCCGCCTCGGATGAATCGGTGCTCGACATTTGGCTCCGCTCCCTTCGTGACATTGCTCCCTGGCTCATGTCATGTGCTATGGCATGTGCTACAGTACATGTTGATATGTGGGTGTTGTGTGAAGGAGAGCTTGAACACGAAATCCTTCTTGAAGCTTAGAGTTGTTGTGACTGCTAGTTTGTACCCTTGCTGAAGCATTGACTCTTGCATGAGCTTGATTTGTTGGATGAAGAACTGACCCGAAACACACACACAGAGCGATGCGAAGACGAACTGTGTGAAAACATGTGCAGACATGTGCAACTGCAAACTGTAACGTATGTACATGTCATTTATGTGATTTCCTTTAAGATGATCTTTACGGAGTCCTTACCATGTGCCATCATGTGCCATCATGTGCCATCATGTGCCATCATGTGCCATGTTTTTGGATATCCAACACATTGTGGATCATTGTGGTGTCTGGAGGCACAGGTAGCCTTTGGGATGCAACTGGTGGAACCAAGACGAGTGATGAATCTCAGTGGTTCAAACAGTTCAAACATCAGTATATATTTGGTGCAAGTAGATTCAAAGTGATTCAAAGTGATTCAAAGTGACTCAAAAGTCTACAAAACGATGAAAGGAACTAAGGACCTGAAGTTGGTGTGCGAAGAGCCAGCAAGTTTGTGGAGAACGGAACTGATTACAATTGCAATGACCTGATCACAGAAAGGGCATGAAATCAGCGACTCATCGACTCGAGCTGCTAAGATCAAGCTGGAGCACCAACTCGACGAGCTTGATGAGGCACATCCTCGGCCACTTCTGGAGACAACACGCACCAACAAGATTCAACAACATTCAACGACTCAACGATAACATCTAACGGAATCTAACAACGTTCAATTTCATTCAATGGTCAATTTCTGTCCAGTACCTACATGTTGAAAATGTTCGCTTGATGTCTTCTGCTGGATGTGTATGGAGTGCCGATGTTTGTGAGCTTGCGCCAACTGCAAGAATCAGCTCAGTGGAGAGAGGCCATTTGTCTTTCTGCGTTCACCTGCTCCGGCGTGAGAGGCCTTGCAAACAGAAGTTAAGCCGTCAACACAATTGGTCCTTATGCTCATCCCAAACAAGGTGCTTGGGAATCACGTCTCACATTGTTGCCTCGGACTTTGCACTTTAAAGGTACCTGCCTTCCAGTGCTCGAACGGGTCAACGAATCCACAGACGGTTTTTGCATAGCTACTGCTCTACTGCTGCAGTCAACAAGTATTGTACCACAAAGACCTCCAAGAATAGTTTCAGGCATGGCATGCGGCATGGCTCCAACAATATAGCTGGATGATGCTGGATGCCTATCTCGCCGAGCGCAGGACTCACCCAAGGTATATCAACGCTTCAAGAGAAAGTTGATCGCGGACTTGCCATGTGCCTGGGCACAGAGTGCATGGGGACGGATCAATCCTGGATTTTCCAGCAATGTTGTGGGATGTTTTTTGGGATGTTTTTTGGGATGTTTTGTGATAATGAGGCTTTTCATGCCTTTTCTTGACTTTTCTGTCGCAGTTTTCTGATGTTTTCTGCCAAGGTATCTCTCAGGTGGTCAAGAGCGACACGATCCGAAAACGTCAATCCATTGCTGCGGTTCTCAGTCCGGGGACTTGGCCAGGGTGGGGATGCTGGGGATTTATGGCTTGATGAATTGCAGAGTGTCTTTCCAGTTTGTTCCCAACAATGTGGGGAAGCTTGGACTGTCCCAATTCTGAAAAGATTTGATGTGCTTTGATAGCCTTGCTTTCAACTCCAGGTTTGGATTTGCTGTCAATCCCTGTCAATGTTTGAATTCACATCAAGCAAATTTCTTCAATTATGCACTTTCACTGATCAGTCCAGGAGTATCCAAGAGTCAACCAGCAAGTCTTCATGCAAGCATTTCTGATTTTTGGGTGGCATATCCGCATAGACCCTGGTCGCTGTATGAAGCTCCACAGGCTGCTTCTTTCCCTCAGTTGAACATAAAAAAGTAAAAGTGATTCGCATCAGTTCTTCGCCCTGCTGCAAGGCAAAGTGGTTCTGCAGATCAATGCCAAGTGGGCTGCCTGGGCCAGTGATGCACCAGGGAAGGATCTATGAGTAAATCTATATGTAGCCAGTAACTGCCAGTAACTGCAAAGGGAAGCCTTGAATGGACGCACCCAAAAGCACGCCGTAAGCAATCCATTTGGTAGATCATGCTGATCATTTTTGCCCTGCGCAAAGAGATGCAACAGCAGTTCCCCCAAATATCACTATTTGTAGCTCCTGATTCATCCACGACTCAAATCCCACAGGTTCTCGGGACCTCTTTGGAACATCACCGTTTCAAAAGATCTGGAGAAGGCCGGAGTGTTGTTGGATGCCATTATGTTGAATCCTATTCTACTTAATTAAAGTGTTTAACCTCCTGCCTGATTGTGTTTGCTGGTGAGAAGCTGTGCTTGGTTCTCTTGCGATTTCGGACTGAAGCACGATTAAAGAATATATTGAATATGATTGAATAGTCTTAATAGTTTGCAGGCAAGCAACTACACCTGTGGTGAGCTGAAGGTTTCATGGTTCCCCGAGATGGTAGGGAGCTGCAGTCAGAAAATGGCGCCGTGCCTCGTAAGCGTTCACTACAGGATATCGTCGCAGAAAGTCTAAACACCACTGCCAGGGCCTTGGAAGTTGTGAGGCTGACATGCTATCGGAATGGAATCTGAACCATGCTATCAGGGTTGAGTCGAAATGATAGAGAGGGTTAAAAAGTGTGAAGAGTCCAGAGTGTGATGACCGTTGCCAGCGCAAGAGTACAAACAGTTTTGACACTGCCCTTGTACCCACTGCATCTGAAACAATTTCGACCAACTTTGCTGTGAACAACTGAGTGCCAGGAGCTGGGTGCTAAGACTCCCTTTTCCATTGTGGGCCTGGACGTTTATCGAAACAACATGGGCGAGCGAACGCTTGCCATGACGGCCACCATCGACAGGTCCTGTTTGAAACTCAATGAGCTTGACACCTGACATGTCCTGACTGAGGGGGTTTCATGGCTCCATTCGCAGCCACAGTACCTACTTGTGCCATTTTGTGCCTATGTTGCAGAAACGAGTGTCTAGATTGTATAGGCAATTTCCCTGCATTTCGGAAACGCATGTAATGAATTTCGGAACAATGTGTGTGTGTGTGTGTAGCGTCTGGTAAACGTGTTGAATATGGCAATGGCAAGCACAGCAGGAAGGTCTTCAGGCCACCAGCCGCTTGTTCATCTCATGTCCTTTATCTTGGACAGCATCCAAGCCTTGTGTCGCAGTGCGTCACTGAGATTCACAATATTTCTCGATGTCAGCTACGCTGGACAAGGTGGAATGGAGATGTGGAATCATGCCAAGCTTTCAATCTGTTATACAACATAATACAGCCATACTCGGGACAATTTCTGCAAGGACCGCAGAGAGGAACATAGAGAGGAATTGAATTTTGGTGATTTTGGTGGTGCTTCATGACACAACACAAGTCTAATTTCAGCAGCTCTTTGCGGTCAAGATAATGCACTTTGACATACTTTTACAAGAAGATGTCTCACCAAGGACCACGTCCAGCTCCATGGATCTGTACTTGATCAATGTTCATCAATCACTACCAGTGCGGTGATTCACGGTCCTAAAACAAAATGCCAGAGAAGCCAACAGACTCATTGTATCTCATTGTGGGAAAAGGATGGAAAAGGGACAATAGTCAATGTGGCCTCGTTGCAATTTGCACCATTTGAATCATTTGCTTGGTTGCGTGAAAAAGTGTCAATTCTTCTTTTGGGTCTCCCTTCCCAGTGGCCAGGAGGAGTGGCAGAGCAGCGCGTTACCCAGTTTTGCCTTTCGGGGTGGTATGCTCCAACAGTTTGAGTCCATTGCGTGTAATCGTAGACTGGTGCCATGCCCGAGTAATCCAGAACATGCCAAAAGACAAGGAACCCATCACAGTCTGGTCAGATTTCCTCTTAATCCCCTTGAAATCAGCTGCTTGCTTCAGGTCTCCAGGTCTCCAGGTCTCCATGTCTCCAGGTCTCCAGGTCTCCGGGTCTCCGGGTCTCCAGGTCTTCAGGTCTTCAGGTCTAGATCACTCCCCTGCATGGCATTGTACAGGTCATCTTGAAAGATCTTGAAAGAGCTACACTAAAGCTGTGTTTGAAGCAGATTAGACTCCATTAGACATATCGGACATATCGTTTGCTGGTGACATGGTAACAAGGCTTGTTGCAGAACATTCAGAACCTCTTCCGCCATGCCTTGCTGTGCTTTGCTGGCTGCGCACCCAGCTGGGTGCAATGAGCGGCCGCTGTTGACCCACCAGCCAAGCGTGTGCGATTCTTGTACTACTGTAGTAGACAGACATCAAGTTGATTGCTTGTTTTGTCGCTGGCAAAATGAACAACATAGTTGAATCATCTTGAACCAACCAATCTACTTGAACTACAAAATTCTTTCACACCGTCATTGTGACTCAGAAGCCAAGTGCAAGCTGAGATTTTTAATCACTGCTTCTGCATGGTTCTGCAATAAAATGTGGCTTACTTGTCGCCGAAGGTGGTGAAAATCAAGGCATTCTGCCAGACAAGATTGTTGTCTACAGGGCATCAGCTTTTTGCCGGCAAAGCGTGGGGAGATGTGCAATCTGCAGATCAGATCAATGGTCAAAGAATTATGCCCAGGGCATCCCAGGGCATGTTGAAAGGCGTGGGAGTCACTAGCATCGGACGGAAATTCTGTGATTAAGATGTGGATGATCTATGATGATCTCAGATTTGCAATTGATCAAATTCCATTCCGATTAGTCCAATTCCATTCAAAATCCATGGAATTTGCATCATTCTGCATGATTCTGCCATACCTCCATACCTCGGTCACCATCACTGGTTGTGGCGGGTCGCTGTCCAATGGCCATGGCCATGGCCTGAGGTGAGCTCCGAAGACATGGATCTGGTCTCTGCGGAGATCCAGGCCATGCAGGACGTGTGATCGCTGTCGGGCGGCTTCGGTTGGGCACTGCTGGCACTGCTGGCAGTGCTGGCAGCGGAAGTGTTCGGAATTCGACTTGGATTCGACTTAGAGGCTCAAGGAGTGGAACTTGTGCACTCTAAAGAGAAAATCTCACAAAGCCAAGGCCAAGGCGAATCAACGGATATTTACTGGCATTTTCTTGATCTGTGTCTAGATTTGCTTGTTGCCGTCCTTCTTTTTCTCCTTCTTCTTGAATCCTTCACCCTCACGTTCGCGTATTGTTTGAAGTCGAAGTAACATGATGGTCATAACGGGTCTAGTAGTGATCGCAGTTGTGTCGCAGATTCATGCAATTGTGATAGTGATTGCCATGTTGGAGGAGCACTAGTAGGCCTAGCAATGTCTAGATTTGTGTAGTACAACTGTGAGTAGTATGATAAAAAGTCCCAGTGAGAAATGCCACTACTGTTTCTATGTATCTTGTTTTGCTGACTCAGGTTTCGCAGAAGAATTCCTCTGGTACTTTCGACTTTCTGTCCCTAAAGAGTTTTGTTTTTGTTTTTTGAATGCATTCTTGCTCGTGATGATGTACCACCTTTTTAGATCTTCTTGCCTTCGAATGGTTTGAGACAAGCAGGCTAGCCAATAGATATAAGTAGATGCTAGCGGCTTTATTTTAGCTGCTTCCTGGTTGAGTGGTTCCAACATGGCAAGTGCAGTTGCAATGCGAAGGTGCCATGAAATCAATACCATTACCCACAATATAGGAACGTTCCCCCGAAGCTCCCGAATGGTCTGGCTAGCAAACTGTGCAGTGACTGAAAGGATTCGGGATTTTCGGGCTGGCAAATTTCAGGGTTCTTGGTAGTGTGGATTGTTTGTAGATGTTGCCAGTGCAGGAAGTTCTTGATGTCTTGGTCACTCGAACTTTTGGAAGACAGCCTGTCCGTCCTGTTTTTGCAAGACCTCCACTGTTGCATCGTGTGGGAGTCTTGACACATGTAACTTTCAACCTGGAACCATCCGGAACCATTTGGAACCAAAGGTAGCATTGCCTGCCTCTGTTGGAATTCCGCTTGTCCACATCCAGGCCTGAAGATAGGCCAAAAATCACCTTCATTGCGATTGTTTCTCAGCTGATTTATGAAGTACAGGTCCGGGTGCGTGATTGGGCCCTTCCCAGGAAGCACTTCATAAATCCTGTATTACTGTAAAGTAGTGATTCTTTGTCATGCTATATCCTGCTAAATCATGCCGTAGTATCACAAGCTGTTGCGTCACAAAGCATCATGCTTGTACGAAAAGGGTAAAACAGGGAGAATGCTGCCTTGATGGAAGACAGGATCCCTTAAAATCAGCCTTTGATCAGATTGAAACTGGCATGTATATATATATATAATTATATATATGAACATATACACATGTATATATATATATATACATATATATATACACAGTACAGGATGCAACCAGGAGTTTGTTTTGCGAAGGAAACAAACCTTTTGACAGGAGAAAGGTTAGTTTTCCTGGTTGAAACAAACGTTTATAAACGACAGAAAAGGTTTGTTTTGCAAGCGAAACTAACGTTTTGGCGCTTCCCAAGCTTTGGCCTGAAAGCAGTGGAAAGAAAAAAACAAAGGTTTTCTTCCCAAAACCAACGTTTCCCCTGCGAAAAAGTAAGCTTCGGGGTTCGAAACAAACCTTTTTCGGAAACGTTAGCTCAAAACAAACTCTGTTGGAGCTAGTTTCAAAACATCGAAAACAAACCTTTTTTTGACTGGTGAGAACACGTTTGTTTCGGAAACGTTTGTTTTGGGTGTGGAAACTATTCGACAAAACCTTTGTTTTGGGTTGAAACAACTAACTGCCACCCTGCCAAATTGAAAGGTTTGTTTTTCATGGGCATGGAAAACATTTGTTTCGAACAAACGTGTTGTCTGAAAAACTTCAGTTTTGAAACGTTAGTTTCCAGGCATTTCCAGGCAATAAAACTTCGTTTCGAACGCGTTGGTTGTTGACCGCCACCACCCAATTGTAGCCATCATCGTCATCTCGCTCTTGTCCTTTTTCTTGTTCCTTTCCTTTGCATTTTTCTTGTGCTGCCTCTTGTCGATGTTGCTGTTGCTGTTGCTGTTGGTTGGTTGGGTGGTTGGTTGGTTGGGTGGTTGGGTGGTCGGGTGGTCGGGTTGTTGGGTTGTTGGGTTGTTGGGTGGTTGGGTGGTTGGGTGGTTGGGTGGTCGGGTGGTTGGGTTGTTGGGTGGTTGGGTGGTCGGGTGGTGGGGTTGTTGGGTTGGGTTGTTGTTGTTGTTGTTGTTGTTGTTGTTGTTGTTGTGTCTAACAAACTTGCGTGCATTGGCAACGCTTTACTCAACAAAACAGTTTGAAAACGTTTCACGGTAAGGCTTCATTCCAAATATGTTCCGTAACGATGCCTGCATTGAATTCCAACACTACTTCCATAGCACGAAGGTCTTGCACCAGCGACATTTTCTGCATGCAAGATCCAGCCGGTCCATACTGTACCAGGCCGGAATGTCTGGAAACACACCAACGCACCATCTAATTCCAAATCGCATTTGCCGGCTTTCGAACCTGCAATACAAAAAAAACGCCAACCAAGCGCCTGCAACTATTGGCTACGAGGCGGCCGCTGCAGCAGCGAAAACGGTTTCGGAATGGTGCATCCTTGGCAATCATAATATCATAAGCCGACCGCCGTCGTCGTTTTGCATTTTGCCGGCAAGTAAAGCGGTGTAACAGAGTTTCGAAACTTTAGTTTTCCCGGCCGGTCTCTGAAACGTTTGTTTTTGGTCGGAACACAAACCTTTTCCTTCCTTTTCCGGCTCACAACCTTTGTTTCCGGACCCGGAAACTAACCCTCTCCCAGGGCTCGGAAACGTTTGTTTCTCGGCCGGAAACAAACCTTTTTTCCCAGAGTTAGTGCGTTTCCCCCGCCGCCCCCCCAAGCCAGCCAGGCCCCGGGTTTCGAAACACACCTTTTCCACTTGAAAACTATATAACCTGTACCAATTAATCCTTTAAACTTGAGTTTGAAACATGACCGCATCCATAGACATATGAGTTCCGATCCGGAGAGCCACCCAAAAGTCGGATTCGAGTCGGTTTCGGGTTTTGGGTTTCGGGTTTCGGGTTTCGTCGATTGAAACCAACTTTCGCTGTCGGTTTCGGGTTTCGGGTTTCGGGTTTCGTCGCTTGAAACCAACTTTCGCTGTCGGTTTCGGGCTTCGGGTTTCGGGTTTCGGGTTTCGTCGATTGAAACCCACTTTCGCTGTCGGTTTCGGGTTTCGGGTTTCGGGTTTCGCAGTTCGAAACCAACTTTAACAGTCGGTTTCGGGTTTCGGGTTTCGGGTTTCGATCGGCCCTGGGGAAGTTAAGTCTCCAGAGTCGGTTTCGGGTTTCGGGTTTCGGGTTTCGATCGGTCCTGGGGAAGGTACAGTTATGGCCATTTACCAGTTATAACTGGCTATAAATGGGATTATACATTCTATAAATGGGGTTATAAGTACTTATAACTGATAAATGGCCATAACTGTAGGTCTTCAGAGTCGGTTTCGGGTTTCGGGTTTCGGGTTTCGGGTTTCGGTCGGTCCTGGGGAAGTTAAGTCTTCAGAGTCGGTTTCGGGTTTCGGGTTTCGGGTTTCGCAGTTCGAAACCAACTTTAACAGTCGGTTTCGGGTTTCAGGTTTCGGGTTTCGGGTTTCGCTGGTCGAAACCAACTCTGCAGACCTCTCTCCGGATCACGTCTCACACATGTATATATGTATATTATTATATAACTAAGTATATATTTCATAAATATATTAATACTTATAATATGTATATATATATATATATATGTATATATATATATATATACGTATATATATATATATGTATATATATATGTATATATATATGTATATATATATGTATATATATATATATGTATATATATATATATGTATATATATATGTAAATATATATATACGTATATATATGTATATATATATATGTAAATATATGTATATATATACATGTATTGGGGGTACAGGGGTTCTTGAAAGGCATGCCTCTTTGAAATGGAACTGCAAAGATGGCCTCTCAGGTGTTCGCTGGCTCAGGAACCTAAATTGGAAGTACCTGCCTTATATGGCTCAGTACCTCCATTTTAGGATCCTGAAATTTGCCATTCACATGTTGGACCGTTTCCCCCTTTGATCAGAAACCACTCGATTTTCCCTTGTACTTGAAAGACTTGTGTACACTTTGAACTCGTCCCAGTCCTAGGCACGCAGAGGCAACATGAGGATCTTTGCTCGTTGCCAACTGAGTACCAGAGTACGCGGCTGTCGGATTTGGACTGGGCTACGGCAGCCTATGGCACCAATAAGCACCAATAAGAACGAATAAGCACCAATGACATACAGGCAAATGCCAGCCTTTTGGCCTTCTGAAAGCTGCCAAGCAAGGAATATCTTTCCATATCTTTCCGCCATTCTCGTCCGAAGATAGGAATATTAATGCATATGATATGCAGAGCATAGGGCTGATATTCCTGAAATGCGAGGGCCATGTCAGTGAAATCTAGTGGCGTCGAAGCCTTCTCTCCAGCTCAGTGGATTCTTTGTAAAATGTCTTTGCTCCTTGTGCCAGAATCATCCAGTTAAAAGAAGTTGTTTATCAAATGTTCAAACTGGTTGCACAGCAATATCCACTTTAAACTGGTTGCAAAGCAGTATCCGTTCGCATGGATATCCCCAGGATAGCCCCAAAATTGCCATGCTAAGATGATGACGAAAAGGGCGCGGCGAAAAACCCAGAGACAGGCCCGGTTGATGATTGGGCTGAGCAGCAGGGCTGATGTCAAACTTTCGTCCAAACAGAGCGTTTGGAAAAAGCTGTCGGTGTTCTTGAAATGTTGTTTATTTTCACACATTCTCACTTAAAGGACAGCCCTTTTCTGGGACTTGGCGACACTCCAAGGGTTGGGTGGACCAATACGGCTATGGATTCTTGATTGAAGAGAGTTGCGCGGAAGGGAGTTACAACCTTTTGCACTATGCGGACTATATCATTGATTTGATGGATGAAATATGATGAAATATGATGAAATATTAATGAAATATGATGAACTATGATGAAATTCTTGGAGGCAAACGCCTCTGAGACCAGGTACCGTGGTGGATGACCCTGTTCTTTGTGCCAGTGGCATACCGAGCTTCTACTTGATCAGCCAGGCCACGTGCAGGTGCTCTAGCTGCTGTACTGTAACTGCTCTAGCTGCTGGTACGCCAGGTCCAAGGGATGCTATAAAGACATATAAAGACACACACACATATATAATTACATAAATAAATAAGTAAATAAATAAATAGTATATATTCAATACTACTTTGAAGACATTTATGTAAAGACTATAAAACTAATAAATGCTAATAGCATCTATGAAAAGCCTTGGCATATCGAATTTCCGAACCAAATGACCTTCCTTTTCCATTTTGATGCAATAATTCAAGTGTTGTTTTTTTTGCACAAACCTTGTCTTTTTCTGCGAGTATAGCAGGCTGTAACAACCATCAGTCTTTGCAGCAGAATGCTGCCAAGGCTTATTACAGAAACAAAAACATGCACACACACACATACAAAATGCAAGTACATTTAATTCACACACACACACTAGACAAGAGTGGATCTTTTAAGTGATCCGTTGGGATTTGAATCCCCTCACGTGCAATTAGATTAGAAATGATTAGAAATGTTGTTGGGGTTCTCGGCTTAGCCCCTTGCCATTCCAGGAAATCGTAAAAAGCAGGTACGTCGATCCAGTGTCCCGGATCGATATCACAGAATGTCATAGCCGTCTTCGTTGCCTGCAGAACTATGACATTCCATGCAGCCCCCTGCAGGAAGGAAAGAAAAAGAAAAAAGGAGAGTTTTTACATCTATTCAGATGTCACACACACACACACACACACCCGGCATGAACCGGGTCAACCCTGAAAGGCAAGAGGAAGAGAAAAGCGGACACAAACGACGGGCCAAGGCCAAAACAGCGTAGGGTTGGGAGGGGAGCAAACGGACCTCCAGAACCAACCTACACAGCGAGATGGACCTAACCAACACAGAGCACATACCTGAACCCCACAACACATTACCGAGGGGCACGGGGGAAGAATTAGGGACCGAATGGGGGACTAGTTGGTGACGAAGGTGAAACAACAAAGATTATTAAAGGGGACTCAGTTCTTTCCTATGTAATCGCGCGTTACTCCCAGCCGGGAACGTTGTCAAGTCAAGCCACGTGGGCATAAACAGCTGTTTAAGTTCCAACGAATTAGGTGCACAACATGTTCAACCTCACCGGAAACCAAAAGACCAAACCTGCAGGAAAAAGACATGCCTGTTGCCTTCTGTCGCTCATGTCATGTTTCACTTCAAAAGCTTGAGCTGCAGCGACCAAAATGGAGTTTCTGGTACGAAATGGAGTTTCTGGTAGTTCAGAACGGCTTCACTGTCGCAGAGGTGAAAATACCAAGGGTCAAAAGGACCACAGGAGCAGCGGGACACCGCAGAAAAGGCTGAAAAACAAGAAGGCCGACTGTTTCACTTTACGTAACGAACTACCAAATTAAAATGTGTTAATTCGGAAGTCGATCAGTCAGCATTCACCCTGAAAAGGGCTCCCTCAGGTGGGTCCATGGCACCATGTCGGAGTCACCATGGAAATCACACTAGACAAGAGTGGACCTTTTAAGTGATCCGTTGAGAACTGAATCCCTTCACGTGCAATTAGATTAGAAATGTTGTTGGGATTCTCAGCTTAGCCCCTTGCCATTCCAGGAAATCGTAAAAAGCAGGTACGTCGATCCAGCGTCCCGGATCGATATCACAGAATGTCATAGCCGTCTTCGTTGCCTGCAGAACTATGACGTTGCCTGCAGCCCCCTGCAGGAAGGAAAGAAAAAGAAAAAAGGAGAGGCTTTACACCTATTCAGATGTTACACACGCACACACGCAGTTTGAACCAAAAATATCTCGATACGACCAAGGTCCTGTTTTGAAAGATGCTTTCGTGTGACTGCCACAGGCCATCAGCAAAGGCTCAGCCATTCCTTCTTTCTACTCGGCCGGGCGACTGAAAGTTTGGTTTGGATTTGTTTTCAACACGTGAGTGATCTTAAGGCAAATAATCTTGAGGAAGACTTTGATGTGGGACAAGCAGAATGCTTTGAGGATAGTGCTCCTTAATGCGATATGCATTGTACCTCAAGTGGTTTGCCTTAGAATGCCTTAAATACAAAGTTCTGGATTCAATAAACGCATGCTGACATCAGGCAGACTGACACCGTGGTGTATGTCTTGAGGTTTTGCTCAACGAGAACAGCTTTAACATGGACGTCATCCAGAACCTTACGTATAGGTGGAGATGCGAAGAGAGCCAGAAGGGTGGACATACTCTCACATACACTACAGTAGGAGATACTGGAAGGTATTAGAAACATGTAGAAACGATGTAGAAACCTGGTGAAAGATATTTGTCGGATTTAGGAAACTTTTTGCACAGTGGGCTTGCAAGGCTTTGCCTGATGTTCTACAACTCTGCTGGCGCTGCAGGGAATCCCAAGCAAAAAGTTGTGCAGACGGAGTGCAAATCAAATTATTGTGACCCACCAAATTATTGCGCCAACAGCCTCAAAATTGAGTATTTTCTGTTTGTAACTGTTGTAACTGGTCACATTTGTTCACAGGCATGGGTTGCGAAGATTGCGATGGCCTAGGATGGCTTCACCGAGCAAATACCATGTCCATAATGGTCGTTGCATTGGTGCGTCAGCATATTTGAGGTCCGTGTTCCCGCCCCAGTGCTCTACGCCACGAAGCTCGCGAAGATGATTGGTTCGGTGGTGCAGAAGGCACAGGGCGCAACTCTGAAATCTCAAAGAGAAGCAAAGGAACAACTTGCTCAAAACAGAAAATTCAAGAGACTATAGTGACTCAAAGTACTACACTAGAATGAAAGTAGCTCTGAGTTTGGAATCTCAATTCAGACCCTCAGGAAGACCAGTGCCAATTTGCATTGCAGGCACCCCATGCTGCACTCCAGAAGAGCCTCTTCTACTTGTGAGGTGGGACATAAAGAAAGCCTACATGATTTGTGAAGCTGGCAAACAGCAAACACATACTTAAAGTATTTTAAAGTCCTAGGCGCAGCAGACTTTGAGACGGTTTCTCTTAGAAGGGCATGATTGCATGATCTAGGAGCAGGGTGATGGTCCAAACCTCCTGAACTGTGACAAAACCTCTTGCCGTCTTGCCAAATCGTCACCCGTCTGCAGGGCATTGCAGGGCAATGAGTCTCTCAATGAATGCTCTTTGCCTTCCGGCTTGCGTTGAATTGCTCGAATGACGGGTGGTTCGGTGCTACAAGCGAGTAGAGTGGCGGAGTGGTGGGTCTCTGTCGCTGACAATTGTATGAATGATGGGAGAACGATGCCCATTGAAACGGAGACTTGTGTTTTTCTGAAAGAAGTGCAGATGTTCATATCGATGTTCATAATCGATGTTCTATAAATTCAGTAGGAGTACCACAAACAGAATCTGTTCAAATTTTATAGCTCCTGGAATCAAAGCTGTGCCAATGAGGAGCCTCTAGGGCGTGTAGCCAAGCTTCGAGCCATGTATGCCTGGTCGGCGCTGTCTATGGCAAGAACTGGGCATGTTTGGTTGCGTCATGTTGCGTCATGTTGTGTCACGTTGCATCACGTTGCGTCGTGTTGGCGTGTTCCCCTGCAAATATTAGGCGCCAGATCATTCACAGCCTCTATTGACTCTATATTGATCTATTTTGCCTCTATTTCATCTCCTGGCCTCCTCGATTCTTTTCGATTCTTTTTCAATTCTTCAGAGGACAAGCCTCACGAACACGGGTCGCACTTAAGGGCCAGTTCAAGAGCCTCAAGTTGGAAGGGGCTCATTAGGACTCAGACTCATACTCAGAAAAGATCTTCAGTTTCTGTACATTGTGTTTATATCTGTTTATGTTGTTTTGATCTGTCCTGTATCCGCCAAACCCACCTGCAATGACGAACTAATTTTGTGTTCTTCCTGGCTTAGTCCTTCAACTCACGGGCCTTTTCTGCATCTCTTTGCAATGCCATTGTTCAATTTGATTCAATAAAACACCTTGGTGCCAGTGCTGGACAGTGCCATTTGGACCCGGGTCGCCGGCTGTTGCCATGGGTGCGCAATTTCACGAGTCGTCTTGAAGAGCGCACAGCGGTTGGAAGTGAAGAAATCATTCCAGTGCATGCAGTTCAAGATTTTCCCTTCGTGAAAGGAACTTGGTGATGAAGATGAATGCCTGCCCAGAAAACACTGTAGAGAAAGCTTGGCAATGTTTTCAAGCAATAGGTGTGCAGACAGCAAAAGTTGTGAGCAGAAAAGCAAACAATATATCTTTTGATTACTTCTTCTTGTACCACTATGATCCCCCAATTTTGCGGTTCATTGGACACTGGTTCAAGCAATAGCTGCAGACTGCTGGGCAGAGCCAGCTGGACTGGCCGGGTGCTTCAGGACACGCTGACCTGTCTTGCCTTTCCGTGTTACACGGACAGCTGGTCCTCTACTTTTCCTCTCCCTTCAAAAGCTGTTGTGCTGAAGGCGTCTCCCTGCCTCGAGCCTCGGCTGCTGGTCTCGCGGCCATGCCATGGCAGTCAGGAGGCAGGACACACAGGAACCGATCATTGAAAAGAGCAAAGCCAGATGAAAAGCGATGAAAAGAGGCTGAGAAAACCGACAAAACCACCAGGACCTGAGCATGTTTGATCATATTTGATTGCTTTGAATTTTGCTGAACTTCAGTTTTGCCCTCTCAATTTCCTTCACATTGCCAGAGTTTGTCTCAGCCAGGCCACGCACCGCGGCGGAGGCGGCCTCCGGCGTCGTGCTTGGCCGCTGCGGGGGCTTGCTGCGGCGCTTGCTGTGGCGCAAGCCTGGGCAGGCAGGTCTTCAGTCGTCCCCTGTCCTTTGGATGAAACAACATTAAACAAAATGAAATGAATCAACCATATCATTTGTAACATATGTATATATATATATATATTATATACATACACATGCTATATACTATATATTATATAATTATATACAATTATATTTCTCAATCGATATGCAGTCCACAAAGGGCTACACGTCCGCAGCACTATACCCTAAGCTTGGTTGCCTACTTCACTTTAGGGGACAATAGCTTCCAGTAATCTCGACCTTCAGCAATGGGAAGGAGAAGATGGATATATCGAGTAGTGTTGTACCACTGTTTCATGGTGGTAGAGGAGTATTGCTTAAGTTCGACGATGGTGAAATGTAAATAGAAGGCATGTAAGAAATCTCCAAGGATGGGTGGTGAGTGACGGAGATGATAAACACAGTGAGCAGATTCGGCGAGTGCCAATTCTGGCCAGCATGAGGCCATCCCTAGCTTTGGGCTTCACGCCGCCCTTGCCGCTGTGGAAACAGCAGGCAGGGTAGCGGCAGACGAATGGAGATTCGGGGCTGTCTCGTGGACTTCTTGCTGTGCGATGGGAGCAGGAAACTAAAGCAATGTAATGTGGATGATGTAAAACTTCTTGCTCATTTCATGGATGCGATGTGCTAGAAAAAGCTCGGTTGAAATCTTTGGTTGGAGCTTGTGACATAGAGAGCATGCCCTCCACTGCTATTTGCTCAAGCAGGATCCACATTGGTTTAGATATTTTGATATTTTGTGATGTTAGCTTTGATAGATGCACGTCATCAACACGTCTTAAATGTTTGTACTGTATATCTATACTTTACATATCGCATATACACTATGCACGTACGCAAACATAACATACATACACACATACAGACAGACATACAGACATACAGACATACAGGCATACAGACATACATACATACATACATACATACATACATACATACATACATACATACATACATACATACATACATACATACATACACACACATATACACATACATATACATATACATATGCATATACATATACATATACAGATACACATACACATACACATGCACATACATATGCATATATCTATATCTATATCTATATCTAAATCTAAATCTATATCTATATCTATATCTATTACATTACATTACGTTACGTTACATTACATTACATTACATACATGCATACACATACACATACACATACACATACACATACACATACAACATACAACATACACATACACATACACATACACATACACATACACATACACATACACATACACATGCACATACATATGCATATATCTATATCTATATCTATATCTATATATATATATATGTGTATTGACCCACAGACTATGGCAGTTGTCCAAATCAGATGCCTCGCAACAGAGGCACCCAGCGGCTTGGCTCGTCACAGAGAGATGCCTAGGTCGAAGGTTCGTCGCAGGGGAGCCTAGTCATTTGTTGCTGGTTTTTGTCTCGATTTCCAAAAACTGTTTGCGGAAAGGCAAATAGCATGAAATGGTTTTGATTCCCAACAATATGCGACAACTTGATGAGATATCTTCAGCATTTTACTTCTTACAGTTCGCTGTCAGTTCTACATTGTTTGTTTATTTTGCATGAATTTCGTTGCTCCGTTGCTCTGTGGCGATTTCGAGGTCAGGCAGCTGTGCCATTGGCTGTGGCCCAGGAGGCACACCGCGGAACAACCTGTAGCTGACCTGTAACGATCAGCACCGAGACCGATATGATTCATTATGTCATGATCGTGACAAGTGGAAATAGTCTGGAGTAGTTTGAACATATATGCACATCTATAAAACAGTGAAAGGGAAGTTCTTGGTTTGGCAGGCTCTGCGGTGCACCACAAACCATCAACAAATAGACAGAGACAGACGGAAGTGGGCCGGTTGCACTGTGTAACTGAACAACTATGATCTAGTGCACTGGCTTTGTCCTGCCGCAGATTTGGCGCACCTTTCGAGCCAGCTTATGGGCTTATGTCACGATCCCTGCCACTTGACTGCAGCAAATCTCAACACCTGATAGCCGCTTAGCCGCTCATGTTTGGCGTTGCTGACGTGTTCCTTAAATACAGACTGAAATGCACATGTCTCAGCGCTTATACATAATATACTGTAGCTGTTGGGCACAGCAGAGAATACAACATTTTTTTGAACCATTTTCTGGTTCTGAAATATTCTGATCAACTTGGCCATAGCCCAAGTGCGTTTTTGTGCACACTTGCAACTGCGTCACTGAATATTCTTGATGCCATCGTGGTTGTGGAGGTATAGGCCCTTGGTGTAGTCGATGTCGACGTCGACGTGGTTGTGGTTGTTGCTGCTGCTTTGCTTTGTTGCTCTGCCGTTGTTGTTCTGTTCCTGGCCTGATACTGTTCCTGCTGCAATGCTCATGCTTCACATGGCGTGCTGTGTCCGTCCCACAATGCCCAAGCCTATGGAAATAATATATATATCTCTCTCTCTGTGATACACAGCGATACAAATCTTTGACACAAACATACACGAAACGGGGAGCCTTTGCCACTGCATACCCTGCAGACCCTCTTGCAGTCATCCTGTCTCCAGGTTGTGGCTGCGGTGGTGGGCTATGGCACTAACTGGGTGGGAGTCAAAATGCCCTGCTGGCATTGTTCCTCCTGGGACGTTTGTTCAGCTTGTTGATATGCCGGGCTCACAGTCAATTCAGTTTTGCATGTGCCAGGATTTTCTATCCAATTGAGTTCTTTGGAGCAGGGATGCCCAGTCCAAGAAGCTCCGAGTCAAATCACTACCGGACCCGAGGTGATACTTCCAAATATCTTAGGGTGCTGCAGCTGAAATCCGTCGGAGTCAGATATATGACTGCCACAATGAAAACATGTTACCACAATGAAAAGAATCAACATCGGATCCTTTTCTTTCTCTTTGCCTTTGGAGCATTTTTCTCGGTGGCTCGTTCACATGTCAAGCTTCGCGTCAAACCATTGGTAACAAAGCCTTGCGTCATTTGCGACCAAGATCAACATCCGGAGATGGCCGGAGACGCCCCTGGGCCTGGCCGGAACTTCTGGCCTGATTTCAGGGTGCTATGCGTACAGTGCGTACAGTGCGTACAGTGCCCGAGAGAGCAAGACATTTGGCAACCTGGCCCTCTGCCCAGCGGCCCAACGATCATCCTGCAATATCCTGCAGGTTGGCAAGGGATCGTCCCCTGCAAGACTGGGAAGATGAGCAGGCCCAACATCTTTTCTTCCACACGGAACCTACTCTCTCCGCAGAGACGCGTGTCACCAAGAGACTTGACCAAATGCATGTGGTGTGGTTTTTATTCTGAAGGGACCACAAATTGATTTACTGGAAACTGCAGAAAATGAGTAAACCGGGTGCAACAGATGCACCACAACTTGGTTCTGCCAGTGCGGGGCAGGCGGCTGGTTGATATCATCACGGAGAAGCTGTTGAGTCTCAAGGAGGCCGAAAATAAACCGCTGTAGGATCG